CGAGTTGATAAGAAGTAAAAAAAACCACCCGTTCATTGTTAGGCATTCACTGCTATCATTACACCAACGAGACCGTCGATCTTGTATTAACGACGGGATTTATCGTTCAAAGCTAAACGCTGAATTGAAAAAAAGTATCGGATAATCACTGAAGTATCTTTGAAGCAGATATCCTCCAACATACTGCCTTCGCCCTCTTCGACGATGCTGTCCGACCGCATGAGCCGGATGCGCCGAGGACCAGGACCGCTCTGTCGGGTCATTGGCCGACACACCGGAGCGTCCGTTACGAATCTGTGTAGCTCCTTGTGCATCTGAATCAAAAAATTACTTTAGATTAGAAAAATTTAATGGAAATATCAGGACATTGTGTAATGTTGTCCATGTCCAGAGTTATCCATATAATATAGTACTGAAATAAACATTGATAAAATAAAATAAAGGCAGGATATTAAAAATAGTGACTTATGTTAAGGTTTCAACTTATTTTAGTAACATGTAGTTAAAAGATTAGCCCGGAAGATATAAAACCAAAATACCAATAACGCAATATCCAACAACTTGACATACACAAAACATGCAAAGCGACTCGTACGGTGCACCAGACAGACCACACGTTGACAGAAACGAAACGGCCCCACAAAGCCCCTTCAGCTAAGCATTGGACTCTACCATGGGATTGAAAGATTCGTGAATGAGAACAGTTTCGGGTCTTTTTCGTCGGAGGGCGGGTTCGATGCGTGCGCGCGCTGGCTGCAGCGAGGAGGGGCGAAGGCGTCGTGCGCGCATCTCACGCTGCAATTTGAACGGCGCCTGCGCGAATTTGTGCATTTCCGTGTGCAGCTGCGAACATAGTGCGGGCTTATGTGCGGGCATGCGGGCACGTGCGCGTGCGATCCATGCGGTGTTAGATTTTATAATATTTTTCTTTTACATAAAACATTGTATACTATGTAAAGGTTACTTCTCGGTATGCTATTTCATCTGAACATTAAAATGGCAGTACATGGCAACAATCAAACTATTGGAAAGAAATAACAAGTAATAGGTAGTACACACAATCTTTCACAGTGTTAGTGTGAGACATACGAAAGGGACAAGTATTAGTTTAGCTATAACAATAATTAGTTATACATGCTTCGTAAACTATCTACGACTGTTACGATTATAAATGGGTACGATAAGTACGATATTTATTAAATGTAAGATCTAGAGCCAATTTTATAAAAGCAGAAATTTACAGTCACCCAGTCTCAATAGAATAAAATTTTAATCCAAATTTTCTTTCGTTTGCATTCGGTAGCAACCTAGTAGAAAAAGGTTCCTTACGTCGAAATTTTCGCTTTTATAACATATTATATTATATAAAATGAAGTAACGAAGTAAATCTTTAAAGACATTAATCATTTGATTGAATATTGAACAATTAATTCTGGTCAGGTCGGGTCTCACCTCGAAGCCAAGCTTATAGATCTGCAACAGCAGTTCTCGCACCCTGGCGTTAAGGTTGTCCCGCGCCTCTTTGCAAATGTCAGCGTCTGCGGGGAGGCGACTCCTCTCCAGGATGTGCTTTGTGTGATGCACTAAGCAGTTTCGCAGGGCCATCAAACTATTCTGAAAGTTCGTAAAGGTGTTTGTTTAAAAAGGATAAATACACACAATAATCATTATATTTTAAGTCATTAATCAGATGTTACGCTCGCCCATTATGTTATGCTTAAATAAAACACTTAATGGTTTGAAACGTGAAAAGAATTTTGTAGTTAAACCTATTACCAAATTAATTTAACTAATTATCTATGTATTGCTTGTAAAGACTAGGTTTAAGCAGGGAAAGAAGTGAGAGCTCTCTCCTCAGTTTCCATGAAAATGTTAGCAACTAGGGGTATACTGCAAAACCCTTGGCTATCCCATCTACCTCAACATAAAAATCCCCATTCCAGAGAGTTACCCGTCGTTAAGCAGTGTTCCAAGAGCTATATATAGAGAGTATATACACTCTATTCCATATGTCGTATACAACATAAAATATATTTATGTTTGATAAAACTTAAATAACATATATAACCAGCACTCACGAATATTTGTGGCTTTGATCGCAAATGGAGAGGCGGCAGTCGGCCCGCGAGGGCTCGCGCCCACTGTGCAGCCTGCAGCGTCGCCTCGCGGGAGCAGGTGTATATGCTCTGCGCTTCGCGACACAGCAGATATACCACGTATCTGATTGCAAAAGAGATCTTCAAGAAATATGTGCAAAGACTATTAAAATACTTAAACTCAGCTTCTTATAGACTACCAGTTTTTAACCCACCACAGAAATGCTCATCTCTTACTAAAGATAAACTGTATGATCGATACATAAATATCTAAATTCCCAGTAAAGGCATACCTATGATTTTCTCCCTCGGAGTTATCGTTCAACTCGACCTCTTTGAGATTATGAAACTTTTCCTGGTACTGTTTTAAGATCCTGTTCAGCTGGTTGCAAGCGATATCCCTGTTTTTATGTTAAAAAAATGTCCTCCATTAAATTTTCATATTGGAAATAGAATATTTAATATATAATTACTCAATCAAAAGTTCCAACTGATTACTAACACAAACGCAGGTGGCGCTAGTTTCCTTGCGGACGGTGCACGCGCAGCGAGGCGAATCGCGAAACTCCATTCAGCGGATAGCGTAGCGCGTGTCAGAGACTCTTGCAACGACATAGTGCGAAGATAAGAAAGGTATAGCTGTAAAAAAATATTAGAAGTTGATAAATAAGCAGAAAGGGTGTCTTAATACTTAGAACATTTTACAAATCTAAAAATTCTATTGCTAGTTTGTAAACTTATAACGCGTTTAAAAGCTGGCTATTAGTGACTAACTATCGGCGACTTCGTCCGCGTACAATCATTATTTTGGGCAATAAAATTAGTCTTTTGCAAAACTCATCTTTATCAATTATAGCCGTTAACGACGCGCGACTTTTCAGCGTTATAATATTAGTATAGATAAGATAATATTACCTGCGTAGCTGTCTCCACTGTGGCGTCGAAAGTTTTCAGTATCATTAGGAGATCCTTGCGTGTGCTGGCGGACATCGGCCAACCGCGCAACGCCGCCTCGACGTTACGTGCGAAGGACGCACGAGTTTCCGCCGCCATGTCCAAACCTTCTTTCAGTTCGTGTATTAACTAGAATCAAAAAAGAGTCCTTACATTACAATAAAATATAAATAAAAATTTTAATAAATCATGACTACGCATCTAAAATGTGGGGCCGTAGTTAAAGTAAACTAAAACTAAGTTAACTAATATATTTATTTCAACTTGTACTATTCACGTTGTACAGACAATACTTAATCCAATAAAACAATATCGCTGTTCTGGTTCAGAGACTATAGTTGCTAAAGAAAGTTTTCCAAAAAACAATCCAAGGAAACAAGGAGAAGATTCTCCGGCCGTGAGACAGGCGCCATCAATCGTATTTGTGAGTCTATTTTTTTTTTTCTATTCCCACTTTATGTAGGCCAGAACACTCCCACCACCTTTTTACGGGAGCATAGGAATATCATTAATTATACAATCCTTCAAAAAACCTCAAAAAGTTCTTCCCCAGTCCCCATTGGTCTTATTTTCCATGTGTGGAAGTCTATACCTGTTTTATTGTGAGACAAGAAGGTTCCTCAGGTCTGGAGTCGACCCGCAGAGCGAGGTAGTCGTGCAGGGCCTCCATGCAAATGCAGTTCAGCAGCAGAAAATGGTTGCGGAAGGAGGGTAGCTGCATGGATATGCTCTCTGGGCACCAGCACCCGTAACTGGAACGAATTTATATCGCCTTAATTGGGTAGGTATCTTTTGTTTTGTAGAAAGAAATATAATAGTAATTCGTGTAAACATAATGTTCAATTAATTGTGTTGAGATACTTATCACTCTTTTCTTAATATCCAAAGACAACATCAACAGGGCATAATCTTAAGATGTTATATGGCAATCAAAATCAATATATGTGCAAACATGCAACAACGTCAAACTTAACAAAACTATAAAGAGTTTATTCTAAATACTTTTAGTAATTAATTATTAGTTATAATTTAACTTTTTTGCTGTAGTATGTAGTATCGTATGATATGCAAATAAAACGATAATAATTCAATTTTTTTTACATGCTAGAGGAGGTCAGAGAAGCACTACATGAAAAATGAGATACCCCAGCTATGTACCATCTCAACAAGATTCGCTGTCGACCATTCCATCCATTTTTGAACATTCGAAAGTCAACAGACTGAAATGGCAATGCAATTAAATTCCAAAGTTTTGGTGGTTCGTGATATCCACATTGTCAGACGAAGTCTAACACGTCTCAGCGTACCTCTAGCGAGTTATTGAAGTGCATATTTGCTAACTGATGTTTGATTATTTGTGTATCATTCTTTTTTCAAATTACCGTCTCAATTCATAGATATTTTTCGCACTTGGCCCCTTCTCACTATCTTTGGTTTGTTCCATGTCAGGTTCTTCATCGGTGAAAGTGTGATCGGTCTGTGGAATTAAATGGATTTAAAATTAAATTGCATTCTGAAACCTAAAAACCTCAAACCTATGATAAAGAGTTAATATCAGTTAAAAATGCCAATTTGAGGACAAAAAAATATAAAATTGAGACAAAATATGAGCCTATAAATTTTGTAATTACTATTGACTATCAAAAAACCGCAACCATAACTCATTGCTTATTATTTGCTAGTTGTCATTTGACTTTTCGCTTTGAATTCTAAAATGATATCTGACCTGCGGCTCCTGCAGCGTGTGATATACTTTGTGCAGCAGGTTGCTCCAGATCTTGTTCATAAACATCATGCAGCGCCGTACACCCGCCGTCTTCAACATGTCGTAGTGGTAATCACTGATTTACAAAAGACATTGATATGACTACTGTCCTGTCAAACAATCTTTTTTTAATGAAATGGATTACTTTAAATCCACACAAAGCCATATCTTTTTATCTTTATTTGCGATTACAACTGATCACTCACCGATAGACAGAGACCTGCTGCCGGTCCAGAAGACGCATTTGCGTCAGGTCGTACAATGGTCCAATGTCGTGGGCGTCTGCGCGTACGCACTCCGGTTCACCCATTGACCAATACCCGCTCTCGGTGGACGTGCTCGTGTCGTTCGTGTTGTATATCTCCGAAACTACTATCTCGGGGGTGGCGGCACTCGTTCCATCTTTAACGAATAACATAAATAAAGGACAATACCCCAGCGATATAACGTCAACGTATTTTGGCTGTAGATATTCGGATGGTGTTTCTTGACGCGAAAGGAAATTTAATATTAAGAATGTCTAACCAGATCTACTATAACCGCTGTCCACTGTGTCTCCTCTCACTCCGCATCCGAGGGATTCGCTTTCATTTGCATTCCCTTGCTGCTTTACTTGTTCCTGCGAGCCGCAGTCCTTCTTTTCATTGGCGTTGTCGGAGTGGGCGCTTGCGTCGCTGCTGTTCGAGTCACTTGTGTTCGAATTGAGATTGAAACGCACTTGCGAGGGTCGATGGGCGTCCGATGATTTCCTGATGTCAAAAAGAACATTATTTTATGATCCTGATAAAGCAGACAAGCACGGGGCTCACTGGATGGTAGCTGAAGTACCCGTGGCCCAGTGACTCGGACGGAATTTCGATATTCCAACAATTTTAAAAATGTTTCAAAAATATATGTATATATATATTACCCGTTGATTATTAGCCTTACATTGTTACCATTACACCAACGAGTATTCTGTGTGTGTGTGTGTGTGTGTAAGGAAATAATAGCTATCATACGCTTACAAGAAGTCAAAAAGTTTCTAAAAATGATTGCTTTAATTATGTGAGCAATAAACAAAACGAAACGATCTAACCTACTACTAGACGTGTCCATAGACGTGTTGTTCTGCATGTCTCGTCGGCGAATCTTCATCCGCACCGTGCGTAGCATGCGCCGCACGGAAAGTAGTTTCAACCGCATATGCAAGGCCGTGTTGTACCACAAACACATTGCCTGAAACATAATTATACATTCACAGTAGATACAGGTCCGTTATGGATTACGGAGCCCGTTTGAGAATCAAACAGCATACCCGCAGCCTGTCCATCAGCATGGGAGACGCCAACGCCGGGTGGTCAAGTCTCGCGGCGTTACTCGAAGGGTACAGGGTCAACGCGCTATCGTAAGCGTCCAGTATGGAGGCCACCTCTCGCATGGCTTCACCGATGGCGTCCGAACACACCATGCACTCTATGCTGAGGCAACCGAGCTGTATGTGGATATCTGAAAGTAGGAACGAGCCGTAGGGCATTGTTGTCTACAGTGTATTTTTTTTAACTTGGCATTTTTGGTATTTATGTAAATTGTGTGTTTGCAAAAACACAATTCACATAAATCGTTATTTCCTGACCCTTAAACATTAATATTTTTCACATTTATTCACATGAAGGCACTATATAATTTAAAAATCGAAAATAAATTGAAAAAATTTTTCGACTCGGGCAGGACTTGAACCGCATCGTCAGCTTTCCGTCTGTTCTCTACCAATTGAGCTACCGAGTCCTACACTCTCGCCAATGTAATTTCTACCTTAACACAGTTAATACGCAAGTGTTAAGGTAGAAATTACATTGCGCGAGAGGTGCATGTATCAATAAGTTGAAAAAATTCGACGATGAGGTGTAGGACTCGGTAGCTCAATTGGTAGAGCAACAGCACGGAAAGCTGACGATGCCGGTTCAAGTCCTGCCCGAGTGGAAAATTTTTTCAATTTATTTTCGATTTTTAAATTAACTCTTCAATATCTTTCGCTCTTATCTGTAAAAAATAACTGATCAGTGAATCAGACTCAGAAATGTGACTGTCGAATGGCAAAGGCACTTACCATCGTGAGTATTCATGTGGCCATCGTTATATTCAATGGACAGATCTTCATTAGAGCATTCCTTGGTGGGCTGGAGCCTGGTGCCCGTTCGGCAGACTGGCTTAGAGCTAACGAATTTGTATTCCAAGATCCTCTCAATGATATTGGGAACGATATTCCTCTGGGAGCATAGGAACGCGTCCTGCAGTTCTAAAGTTCGTCCGGTGATCTTCGCCTGCAGTTCTAGCCAGATCAAGTCTTTCAGCTCGTTCTGCCACACTTGTTCTTCGTGGCTTATCTAAAAGAAACGCACTGTGATAAATCAAACCTTAAGGAATTTTTGTTTTTCCAGTCAAAGTCATCATTTATTCACGTAGTTAACTAACTAACTTGTGAAGGCCAGACTAGTTAAAAACTAAAGATTCCAAATTTGCATTTACTACCAGTTCTTAAATGAAGGACGTAAAACGAACGAGAAGAACTAGCAAGAAATTTATCGCCTAGTTTCATTTTACCGTCTTCGCGTACTTTAAGTGCACTACATATTTTTTCTCGATAGAGCGGGTTCCTCCACACCTCAAGCATTATTATCGTTAAAAATTGATTGACGTTTTAGTAACCGTTTCCACGGAGGAGACGTGTTTGTTTTACACCCGATTAAAACTTGATTGACAATGACATCGTAAATATGGACTTGCCAGTGTTAGAATATTCAACTCTTTAAGTTTATATCGAATAGAGACGAAGGATGAATACTGACGGTCCGCTTGCACCCCTTTTCGATGTTGCCCATGTTGATCAGCATGCTGAAAGTGTCGTGGAAGTTGACCCGGCTGGCCGGCAGCTCCTCGTCGCAGCGGGCCTGCGCCTCCTCGGCGGGACGGCTCTTGAGGCGCGACGACAAGGACATGAAGTGCGTGCAGGACTCCACCTTCCAAATATGCAATTCACATGTTTACTTACTTTTACTCCTACTGTTATAGCTAATGTTGACTTAGATTTTTTAAAATGTCATTCATACAAATTAGTTTAGCTACGGTTTGCTTATAATTTATAGGTTGGCATACGCTGTCCTAGGTTTTTTTATTATAAATTCATGTTGCCATATCAAGTAACTCATTTGTAACAAGTATATAATACTCACCAATGTAGGAACGGCCGTGGCACAAGGCGAGGGCGAAGGTAGGGAGTCAGCTTTCTGCTTCCAATCTCTTTCCTTCGAGCGAATCAATTTGAGACTCGCACGTTTTTTTAATCGTTCTGAAACATTATACTTTCAAATAAAAATTCGATATTCACGTAGACAGGAATACACTTATGAAAAAATAAACTGGTTTAATTTAATTCAAACAAAGGAATCTATATTTATATTTATCATTTCTGAAATCGGGCGAAGTAGTTACAGACGTTATCAAACTTCTGTCCCTTTCTCACCAGGGGGCGTAGGCTGTGTTCCGGCGACGTCGTCTACTCTTTTCCCTTCACTAACCATCCGCTGATAGCTGAGACCCGAATCAATCATGTTTCTGAAAGTTTAAGATCCGCTTTGTTTAAATTTCAAAATTATTTATTTCTTACACTAGGAAAGCGTAACATACCAGGGTCCGATAGAAGCATTGATTTAAAAAATGATAAAGTATTAGTAAAACGAATCGTTAATTAAAGAAGGAAATGCGACAAGCGAGAATTGAACCAGCCCAAGTTTTTTATTTAATTTTTAGTATCAGAGCATGACTATTTGTATGTACCATTGCATATGGGTGAATCGAGGGGCATTACCGATAGGATGTCCCGTTTATTACGAGTGATAAAACGCTGAATAACACAAATTGATTGTGATTTTAAAATAGTAAAATAGCGCCTTTTCTTGTTTAACATTCAGTAATTTAGTTAGGTAGGTATTTGAGTGCTAATAAGCTTTAATTCACGGTAATGTGTGTGGGTTTGTACATTTAGGGGTTACGGGATTCGCTATCACCATAACGAATGCTTAAAATACTTCACCGTATCTAGTGGTGGAAAATAAAAGACTACCTTCTTTTTTCCTTGTCGCGTATCCTGGAGCGGGGAGGCGTCGTTCCCAATAGATCAGCTTCAGAACCATCTCCACACTCCTCGAGGAGGTAACGGGAGGACTGGCGAGGGTGTCTCATCACTACATCATTAGTGTCGCTGAAACATATAAAAAACACCTCATTATTACTCAATCAATCAAAACACTTTAATTAAGGAGTTACGTTGTGGTGCAAGTGAAAAATGGCACATTAAATGATAAGCCAAATTCAGTTGTTTAAATTAAACAGGGTTATTTTAATTATCTACAATAAATGATTCGTTTATTATAAAAAAAACCTAACCTAAAACTAAAGAAACTACTTATCGATTACTCTAAACTTCTTTAGAATGTTATCTATCTTAATGTTAAGAGTATAAATAAATTTCAATATGTGACTGTATACATCGATTTATTTAAAGTTCCTTGTTAGGTATATGATGAAATCTACATACCTAACGTCGCAATAATACGATATATTTTTTCCTAATTTGGCATCATTTTTAGCAAAGGTAAGAAAGTTCATTGACCGACGTAAGGACGTCAAACCAGTTCTAGAGATCTTGCTGTCATGTGTGTGTTAATAATAATAAATACTTATACGAAATTTCTTGTTTTCAACATATAAGAATTGAGTTAACTTCATTTACCTAAGGATTTCCTTTTTTGGAATCATATTCTAAAATTATTCGATATGAAAACTTTAAAGATTGATGACAGTAATAGATAAATATCAATGTAGATACCACATTTTATACATTTTGTCTTTTTCTGCCAACATATAAAGCAACTAGAATCCAAGGGGATCCAAGCAGATGACATTGAATATACTGGAGGGTTGCTGAAATATAGTAAGAGTCTAATCAGGTCAAAAATAACCTTGGAATTAACAAAATTGTAGTAAAACTAAATATGGAGACAGATAGCATATCTCAAAATTATAAAAGCATGAAAGTATTATTCATAAAAATGTGGCAAATCTATTGGTTGATAACAAATGTTTTGAATGCGCATGATTAATCTTAAAGGTATGCAGTTCCATCATATTCCTAATTCTTAATAATGACTTATTACGAGTAGTAGCCTGAGAAAGAGGTAATACACAAGCATTTCTTTTATTAGTATTCAGTACGTAAGCTAAGTAATTTTCAAAAATATGTCAAAATAATACACAAAGTATACATTATTCTAAATTTATTTTATAATTAAAACTTAAAAATTGATTACAGTGAAACCTTGGGTTTATTTGGGTTGGGGTCATTAACAGAGGTAATTTAATGAAACAGAACCAGGACCTCACAATAGAGATTTTCCATTTATCCAGCGCCAGCTTAACCAGATTCATTGTATTTCTTAAGGCCCCTTTTTGTTTTTTTTGTAACTTGTGGAAATGCATTATGCACCCCTACTCCAGGGCTGGTGGTGGTGTAGGGAGTGAGGGACTCACACCCACTAAAACCCCAAGGGCTCATCATTGTGCACAGTTAAATGAAGGTGTATGGTTGGGACCTTGGAAGATTCCATGCTGGGCTATCTAACCAATGTCAAGTGCAAGCCCAAGTTTGTTAGGCCTTGCGTCAGCCGATACGACAAAGTACCCCGTCGCCTATCAAGCCAATCATCAAAAACTGGGAGTATAGCTTCTATAGTCCAAACACCAACTCTAGAGTTAGCCCACTCATCTTTCCACAATTAGATTGTAGTTTCCCGATCCTCTTTTCACAATATGTTTAAATGTTCAGGTGTTGGTTTGCCACCTGCCCTCCTAAATTGCGCTCTCATCCAATACACATCTGCCAAAGCAGCAGCCTCATGATACCAGGGTCAGATCCGGCAAGCATACACACCGCATTAAAAGATGAAGGCGCTGTGACCGCAGCAGCGGCCTATTGGCCTCGCACAAGTCTTTTGTCCGTATTGGGCATCCATATAGATTCTTGGATCTGACTACTCCTGCAAACAATTTCCGATGATCGAACATTGATCCACCAATATTTGGCATTATTTCTTAGAGCCCCTACACAAGTGCCTGTAAGGCACTAGAAGTGATTGTAGCTGCAAGGCACCGCTTTTTCTTTTTGGAAACTTCAGATGATTGCTAATGTATATGAGCTCGTCAACGAACTCTGGCCACATGCCTTCTGGGGGACTGCAGCTAACCAGACATTCACAATATAAAACTTTCTGTTTCCGTGTATCATAGGTTATAACCGTGACCAATTTGTTTGAATATTAGACAGCTATCACAAGGACAGACACCTCCATTATCATTATCACATTTGTCCAAATCTACACTAAAAGCACTAAAATAGATAACAGTGTAAAAGGAAGATACTGTGTCAAATGCCCAGATAGTACTCATATTTTTTTGTTATGAGATGAGAAGATCTATCTATCATAGCTACCTATATATATATATGTCTATAGGTCCCAGCACCAAGAATAATAACCCCGTACACAGCAATTAATCTGTAAGGTAGTTTTTCCGTCTGTGGAGTGTGTTTAGTGTTATACCCATTTAATATTTTCTAGATCCAGATTTTGATCAATATATAAAGTTACCCATAATTATTATTATTTTCTATCGAGGATGGTGTGTATCAGGTTGTGATCAGTCCACGTTATCCGCTGACCATTTCACCCATTTCCTCCTTGCAGAGGTTTTGGGTCATCCAACTCTCCCCGTGTCCCCTTCAAACCTTCTGGTTTGCTTGCAGAATCTTATTATTTTTTCCACTACCCATCATAAAATAATTAAAAAAAAAAAAAAAAAAAAATCTGTAGTTCCTTAATGTCATCTTCAGTAACTTTGTCCAAACCCATATGTATGTGCCATGTTTCATATGATAAAGACTGACATTTAAAGCCGAGCGTGTTATAACTGGCCATTAGAAATATCAATGTGCCTGATGTAATTACCAAATTATTTCTTTAAATGAAGATGTATCTTTTACTGTCAATATAAAAAGGTCACCTATAAAAATCTGCTAATAGCACTCAGAACTAATTTCACAATTACTCTAGCAACGTAGTGGCATGTATATTTGCACATACTATCAGCACTCAGCGTTTATGCTAGTATCAAGATAATATACAATCTGATATTTATAGCCGTTAATAGTGTGCCCACTTCACTTTGTATGCTTATTAATCCTTCCTACAATTTAATATAGGGATTGGTAGTCTGGTTTGATCACTTATCTGTAACAATGGGCGTACCGCAGGCTATGGACCATTCCTATTTCTTATCTATATTAATGATTTGCCATCTTATGTTAAAGACCTTCACGAAGTACTTCATACACATCACTTTTATTTATTAAACAAATAAATAACATCTACGATTTATTGTTTACACAAATTCTCTAAATGAAAAAAGATAAATCTGAACACGTAATCATAATGATATTACAAATAAAAAGAAGATAGGTTTTGTCAAGTGCTGTGTTTTTGGGTAACCCATTTATAGTACCCCTTAAAAATCTCATAATACCCTTCTTAAGGACACTTCTATATACACAAGCTTTTACTTCATTACTTCCATAGTTATTCTTTGGTATCCTTTTGGGCACGCCATTCAAACCATATTTGTTCAAAACGGCTTCGAGTTTGTGGTCTTTCCCCAAAGTCTTCAATTATTCCTAATTCTATGAAAATGTTTTATATGTAGGAAAACTTCTTTCCTCACACTACCTAAAGGACAAAATAATTCCAACAAAGCTCCATAAAAGTAGTAGTTCTTTTCAAGTAACCTCTACTTTATAAATCCCACAAGTGCAACACTCTCAATAAATAGTTATCTATGTAAAACAAAAATTGCTGAAAAGGGTTATCATTTAATCAATATTTAAATGATAAAAAGCTGGGGGGAGGACATCACAGGAAAATTGTTTGTACTAAAAGTAAATCAAGAATGTAAAATGAAACTGGCGAAAAAGGAGGACGGCTATTGCCATTCTTCTCGTTCGTTCTACGCCCTTGATTTGAGAACTGGTAGTAAATGTAAAGTTAGATTCTATAATTATTTTGTGACGTTCATAAGTGTACATAGTTACCTACATGAATAAATGATTTTTGACTTTGACTTATGTAATGAATGCTCGTTAACTTATGTTTTGTTTTTCTAATAACCACATTTGGATTCGTGTAAATTAAAAATCAGATTAAAATAAAAAAAAAAATTAATATAAAACGCCACCCCGATACTATTACTACTACTTAATATAACTATTAGATTTCACCACAATTTCAAAGTAAAATAGGGGAGAAACCCAAAACATGCAAAAACTATCAGCCACGCGTCATAGATAAGTAGATAACACTATATCCGCTAAATTTATATGCAATTATACAATCAAATTAACCTCAAAACAACCAACAGAAACAAAATATTTACTTACAAATCATCTTCCGAACTCGGACTGGAATTGTAATTTATAGGGAATCCCAATTTTGATTTCCAGTCTTTATCGCTGCTTGATTCCATTTTGACACAAAAACCGTCAACACTTGCACATAAACCTACATATTATATTTTAATTTATCCACTCCATAAATTGAGATATATTTTGTTTGATGAACACTAGACTGTCCTAATGGTAGACAGTTCCTAAAACATGGTATGATTTTCACATTTTACATAAATACTAGAACACCTCTTCAACCACTGTGGACTTTGCAGCATAATTTATTTCTTTCGTTGCAAAAACCAACATCCACACACTCTGCGCTCGTGCACGACATACCAACGGTATAGGCACAATAAAATTATCAATTCTTATTAGTCAATTCGTGATTTAGAATTAACAAAGTAGTCAGAAAAGTGACACTAATGAGTACTGACAGCTGTCATTGTCACTTGTTTCCGTCATGCGAAAACTTATCCAACAGTTTTCCAATTTTCCACTTTAATTAGGTCGGTAATGATACTATAACCTCACATGTGGTAGGTTGTATTAATGTATTATTACTACCAACCCGCCCCGACTTCGCACGGGTGCAATGCTCATTTTAAATAGGTATGAGTACCTACCTACTATTGCCTACTCAGGAACTTTGTGGAAAGACTGTATCAAGTATTAGCATCCACGAGGTGTCTTAACCATCATTGTTGCTCATTGGTAAGACAAACACGACCCAATAGAACATAAACAACGTTTACATTCTCTTCCACCCTCACCGGCCGGGCCGGTACCGCTCCGCACCGCTGACTCTGCATTTTAAATCTCGAATATCTTCGGAAATATTCATTTAAATTCCACACTGTATAAGGCAGTATAGCTGATATAAGAAATGGTAACGATTGCCATTTCTTATATATTTACTTAAATAAGTTACCTCTTTGTTTTATAATGTAATCAATAATAATTATTAATGACACACATTGACACCATTAAAATCGAATTTTTATTTTATTTAAAAAATAATATGTAATATTTTGGGTTCTACTCTTAGAAGCCCCTGCTTGCTCTGCTTTTACTATTGTTTTATCCGGAAAAGAAGTAGGGCCAAACGTAATTAGGGTCATCGTACTTGTATCCCGGCATCCACGGCCAGTAGGACTTAGGTTTCATCGAATTAATTTCTAGTTCTTCAATTCTCGACGGTATATCAAAATGATTATGATATTTTCCTTGCTGTAGAGTGTTATGTACTTTGCAGTATAGTGTTAAAATAAATAGCAGCGTCATTGTAATGCTTTTCATCTCCGAGAAAAATAAAGAGAACTAGGAACGTTAACTTACAATGAAATTACGTGTTATAAATTTACGTCACGCCGTACGAACTAACTCTAAGCCATTGTCGATCGAACGAGGACTATATAACTGCTTGATTCCACAAAAAGAGTGTAGAATGTAGATTAAGTATAGAGTACAGCAGTTTCAGTAACTTAAAATGTACCACCTACTTAGCTAAACCACGTTCGTCATTCTTTTAAAAATTCTATTACCATCCATTCCAGCTAACGGAAATTACTACTACATGCTATAGTAACCCTAAAAATTATGAATGCATAAAAATTTCACAATCCATCTTAAAAAAACATTTAAAGGTAAAGTCAATGTGTCCGTTTGCGTTGCTTTTTCTTAAAATCGAATTTCTGTTTTAAATCCCGGATCGTTATCTCTTTGGTGTCGAATATATCTTCTCCGCTCTCCGCTGCCATTGACGTTGGTCTCTTTCCGAGCTCCAGCCAATCCCCCGCTTTCTCTTTCTTAACTTTTTTCTGGTACACTATGTCTCCGTTTCGAGTGACGTAAGAAATGACCGGCGTCAACACTTGGCGCTTCTGTTTTTTTCTATGCTTCTTTTTACTTCTCATTACGTATTCTTTACTGGATGAATGACTATCGCTACTGCTCGAACTGGATGACTCCTTATGTTTGTTCTTTATTCTTTTCCGCTTTTTGTATTTTTTATCCGATGCTTTGGAATGATACGGCATCACCATAACCGGGAGTCGGGGTTGTGGGATTTGAAAAGGAGAGTTGAGTGCCATAGAGGGGTTTGGAGCCATTGATATTGCTCCTGAAGGCATTTGGAGCATCTGTGGTGATAACTGGCCCATACCTGCTCCAGGCATTTGAGGAAATGCATATTGACCAGGGAGCTGGTACTGTGCAGCAGTAATAATTACGAAAACAGAGTAAACTGATGTTAAGTATATGTAATGCATCTGTATATTTTGTTTTTACAGATCATATACAAATCGCAGAAGTAAAAAATAACAATAATATTTCAAATACTCTCTCGTATATTCCATATGTAAACTATTTATCACAAACCGTATAATATTACTACTTTCTCTTCCAAAAATGCATGTTCTTGCCATAAAATGTTCAAATACACTGTACCGAACAAAGGGCGAGTTGAGGTTTTTATACTTACGTCAAGGGTTGCATAAGATTTATTGTCAATCTCAATACACGTTATGTTAACTTCATTAATAATATACACGTGGTCGTGTATAATTAACGATGTCGGTCAACGACTCTGAAAACTTCCTTAGTTTTTAAAGTATTTGTGTCTATGCTTTTCCATATAATAAAAATAATAATAGAAAATATGGTAAGACAAGTAGGTGCCTACTTCTCAATAAAATTACCTAATTTTAGACGAAAACAATAGGCATTGTATTACAATTACGTGACTTTGTAGGTGTTGTATAAAGGCGTCTCTTTATTTCAGGCGCTCAGAATTACACTTTAAAAAGAAATCAGCAGCTACTTGACTCATTAAGTGCTGAAACCTACATTCGAGTAGAACGACGAATAGCGTAAGCATTAAACCAATTCCAAAAACAGCTTGAACAACATGATATGTTGTCTTTAACGATCGAGGTAAATATTTCAATTCGAAAATGCGTTCACGATTACTCTGCGCTCTCCTGCTTTTGGGCTTGCCTCATTTAGACGGAAAAGACCCAGAACTACCGCTATGCCCAACCAATATACAATTCTTTCCTCAAAATCTTCCAATGCATTGCCGAATGCCTACTGCTGCGGACTTACAAAATATTCAACATTTACCGAATCCCACTTTACCACCGTTCCCACCCCCGTTTTACCAAAGTCCTCTTCCTGGTAAGGAAGCAGTACCTCTACCTTTGCCGATGCCAGGGCAGAGGGTATGCCGATTCCAGGGCCAGGTATGCCGGTGCCAGGGCCAGGTATGCCGGTTCCTGGGCCGATGCCGATGCCTTTCCCTGGCGCGATGCCGTTGCCAGGAGGAATACCGATGCCTATGCCGGGTCTACCGGGACCGGCCCACAAGCTTCCCGTCATAGTTATGCCCTTTTATTCCCCCGATACGTCCTTCAAGAAGCCACAGCGGCCTCCCGTTAGACTGGATCCTAGAAAAAAGTACCGCATTAGAAAGAGACGCCCACGTAAGCATCGACATTTATCCACCACAGACGAGAGCTCTGAAACAGATACATCTTCGAACGGAGTTACGGATACATCCGAAGACGAAGGATGGTGGGCGAGAAGACACGGTACGAGCGGCAGACGAACGAATAAACACAGGGAGAAGAGGCGCAGACATCAAAGGCAAGAGTTACTGACCCCAGTGCTGCAATACGTGACCAAGGACGGTTACGTGATTTTCGAAAAAAAGATCAGTAGGGGCGAGGCGACAGACTGGCTTCAAGTCAAAGCTGAGGATAACGTCGAGGCCACAACTTATTCCAAACAGGAGATTGATGAATTTGTCGATGTGGAAAAAGAAGAGGTAAAACATGACAAAGAGAAGGCGGAAGTTAGAACTGAAAGAAATTCACAGAAACATCACAAGCGAAAAAAATACAAAATGTCAAAGAAAGTGGAGGAATAGATAGAATTAGCTTTTTTTACTATTACAATGTTTTTAATGAATGCTTTATATATAATTTTCGATTACTAATATTTGTTTTTTATACTTTTGTTAGAACGAGTAAATATTTTTTAAGTATAGCGTATAGCGTTTTTGTGAATATAAAACATATATTTTAGTGTTTTGATTAAAATAAAAGACGCACAATACCAGTCATTGATGTATTACCGTATGCAAAAAATAATGTTAAAAGCATTATTTTTTGAGAAAAATACTAAAAAGAAAATTACACGTCACGGGGGTATACTTCATCGCAGGCGCATCGATAGACGCGATTGGCATGATAACAGTGAGGAGCCATTTTCTATGTATTTCTTAAATCAGGCAATAAATTGAAAAAAAAAAAATAAAACTAGGGGATGACTATTTTTTTACTGGATTACTTTAACTTATTTACATGTATCACAAAAAAATTACCCTAAAGCACTCAAAACGTAAGCATGCTAGCATTAATAAAATGTATTTAAATAACACTGCCAATACTTAATACCTCCCGCTGGCAGTGTTGCAAATGTATTCAAAATATTGTATCCAATAACGCGTGCCATGCCTTCAGGATGTCAAATAGACGTCGAAAAAGATTTGTATTTTGTACGCAGTTACCACCATCTGTTGGCAGAATAAGAATGAAGATGAGAAAAAATTAAGTACATAATAAGTAGTTGAAGAATTCATATTCTTCAAGGGCAGACGAATCAGCGTTTGAATGTATGCTCTGCTGACAAATTGAAATTAAACTCTTTTACTTGTAGGTATAAACAAAGAGATACACATACCGCAACATGTAGAACGGAATATTTAAGATTGGGAGACGTCGGGGCCATAGCGACGTTTACCAGTTTCTGCAGGTCTGTCTCTTCACTTATACTCCAGTTGTCCTCGTAACGAGTGGCTGCTATTCCTCGAGCGACGGCTTCTATAGCCCAGAATTGCTGTTCAATATTGAGTTCTCCCCAAGCTTGCAATACTCTTTTACATATAGAAGTTGGTTCAGTCTCTGGTTTTGGAGCAATGGAGTTTAGGGTGACATTGCATAGGTGCTTGGTGAAAAGCTTGTGTTGAGGTTGCGGGCCTTTTGTGAGATCCAACGCTGCTAACAACACAGTCATATCCCCATTCGCAGCAAAAATTAGGGCGTCGCTCACAGCCTCTATAACATTTTGCTACAAAATAATTTTTTATCATCAAAATATTTCTACCTTACATATTATGTACTTCTAAACTGAACTAAAGTAGCATTTAAGTGAAAAAGTAATTGTACCCCCCTTAAAATACTTTTTTATATTAAACCAGGCTGAAGTCATACATGTGATGAAATTGGCTTTCACACTGAGATAATTAACATCTGTGACAAATTTTAAATTAAAAAATGTATATTTCTTAATTTACAATAATATATTCATGTTAAGTACAAAATATTAAGAAAAGATGGAGTCATCTGAAATAGATTAGCTGAGGATAGAAAGTAGTAGAAAAGTTTTGGGAGGCCTTTGCCGATCCTTTGGGAAACTTAGCAGAGCACAAAAACAAATGAAACATAAATGTGTATAATTGTAGAAATGTGTCACTAATGTTCTAGGTATGAATATGTTATTTTATTTAGAAAAATATTGTTCACTTTGTATTAAGTAGCACCTGCCAAAAACTTATTTATTTGTATGGTCATACTATATAAAGTCTAATGGTTATCTAATTGTTTGGTTGCAAATTATAAAATTAAAACAAGCTATCAAATAATTAAAATACCATTTCATATTGTCATAAAATATTAAGTTTACCTGTTGCATAGTGAGAATAGAAAGGAAAAGAGAAATGACTTTAGGTAGTCCATTATTCTTCCATAAAGCTACAACAAAAAGCCAGCACAACAACTCCACAGTATTCTTGTCATCCATTGACCATGTTTCATATTCTGTCAACACGCACTCTTCTATATCAAATAACATCTGAAATTATAAGGTATAATATATCAGTTATGTAACTGTATATCTTAAATGTAAATTGAATTTGTACAAGTTTTATCAATATTGCCTTAAATGACAAAAAATAACAACACCAACTAAAAACCTGCTGTATGCTAAACTGTATTGAAACAGTTATGTGAAAATACAAATGTTTAGGTGAAAAAATACTTACTTCTTCTGTAGTTTCAATTATAACATCATCAGTCTTAGTAGTTATTAACTCTAAATATACTTCTAGGAGTTTATTATTAGATCCTTGCAAACAAGGGTTTTCAAGAAGGCGTTGTAAGAGAGGCTGCGGGGCCACAATAAATGATGGTGCCTGAGCTTTTTTCAGTGTAGTTTCAGTAGTATTGGAATCATTACACAGTCTTCTAAGCTTTTGAAGCTCCTCATTTTCTATGAGTAGACGGCATTTATCAGATTCTTGTGAGAGTTGTGCCCTTTCTTTAACCAAATCCTCTGCACTCGGCATTTCAAATGGCATCTGGAACTGACATTTAAATAATTGCACAAAATTTCTTACAATGACACAGAAACAAGTAAAAAAAAATCAAAAGTAGAATAAGAATGTAAATAATTTTAAGACCTCAGTTCTTCGTTGTTTGGGTCTATTTGAAAGCATCGTATCTAGAAATTCGTCAGTTATCTAAAAATATGTGTCCCCGAAATATAATTAAAGTTTTCCACACTTTCTTATAGGTTTACTACTGTTTACCGTTAGTAATTAGTATTTCTAAAAGATCCAGGCAATTCAGGAACTTTTAACTAAAGAATTACCATACTATATAATATATATATATAACTATATAGTATACATGCGACCACAGTTAAAAAATGATAAAGATGTTAATAGTATTTAGTCTGTGGATGCCTATAATGTGCAGTATATTTCTCCACGAATTAGGTATATGCCTATTACCTATGCCTGCAAGCAAATAAGCAATAAAAGTATTCATATCATTCCACAATTATTACAAAAGCTAAAATGCAGAAATTCAAATAAAATAGAAAGCAATAACACTAGTCATAAAAGTGAAGTCTTTAAAATGTTTTTCAGCCGGTTAACGTTGCACAATAGCTAAACCGAAAATGTTGAATATATTGTACACAGTACAATGGGCCGGTTATATAAGAAATGAAAAATGCTCTCACTCAATTTGCAGTCAGAAAATACCTCTGTTCAATATGTGTTTTGTAAGTTTTTAAGAAAAAATATAATCTGAACGTTTTTTGCAAATAAAATAACCGTAAATCCGGTTTTCAGGGCTCAACACGAAGATGGGTAGTTATACTAGTGATAATCTTCTGCAGAAGAGTAAATGTTCAATTCGCATACCCTGTCTTTATGCCTCCACCTCCACCGCCTCCGCCCATGCTCGCAATGCCACCGCCCATGCCCATTCCGATTATAGCCATCGAGATTCCTGAGTTTACTACCACGACTACAACGACTACAGAAAAAAGTGTTGCCATCGCTATACCTGTGCCCATACCGATGCCCGTACAAGTAGCAGTACCCGCTTTTGCCCCAGCATTCTGTGTAGCGAGTCCGAGAGCAAAGAGTTGCCCGCCGTGCCCACCTTGTCTTTGTATGCCCCAATGCACACCGGCCTTCTTTTCCTATTGTTCTCCCTGTCATCTCAAATGCCGGTGTCTAAATCCAGGAGATTCTCCTATACCATTACCTCCAGTTCCACCTCTGCCTGTCCCCGGTCCGGCTTACCCCATCCCGGTGCCGATGCCTGCTGGACCGCCAGTAGTAGTCGTGCCCGTGCCACCTCACATTCAGTACAGGCAGCGGCGGCGAAAAGCAAGGCCTAGCTCTACAAGCGAGGAATCTAGTGATTCGAGTGACTGTGATCAAAGTAGACGATTTAAGCGTCGAAGATTAAGCGTATTAAGGACGCGAGGCAGTTTTGACAGTGATGATGAACTCGTCAAGCCGTTGCTAACCTATGTGTCTAACAATGGTGATGTTAAATATGAGAGAAGAATAAGTAACGATGAAGCTGAGCGCCTTCTCGGTGAAAGTGACGCGAGAAGGTATAAGAATGTCAAAGTTATGACTAGAGACGGTGAACAGAATAACCAGCAAGTAGTTGTCGTGTCCAATGACGATAATAGTCATGGCCGCTATAAACAAGTCGTGTTACGAGGCGGGGTTTCTAGCCACCTCCTCAGCAGTGGCAGAAAAGAGTTGGTGTTTAAGCCCCCGGACAATAAAAGGATCAGTAACTTATCTGTTTCCTTTCAAATAGCTTAATTGTATTTCTATTGTTGTTTTTATTTTAATAATAAAGGCTTTTTTCATAATGGTACCTAAGGTTTTTCAGAAACTTACATAGTTACAAATATTAACTGTTTTTTTTTATTTATCAAAGTAAATATTCAAATTAAACAAAAAAATAAGCTAATACGGAATATCATAATTAAGTATCTAGTTTTTATTTATTTTAAATTAAAAAGTGCCCGTTTTTTTTATTATTTAATGGAACGCCAAATAAAAATGACTTTGAACAAACATATTTATTTATTTTATTCAAGTAAATTATGACTTCATTGATACTATACAAAATGGCAGTGAGTTCCATAACGTATACAAAATGATATTTCAGTGTACCAGGGAGTACATTGTTGTGTTGTGTTAACAATTTCATTTAGCAGCACTGGTCTTCGGACTTGCCCAGTATGGTGACAGTTAGTTAAATCTATACTAATATATAGAGCTGAAGAGTTTGTTTGTTTGTTTGAACGCCCTAATCTCAGAAACTACTTATTCGAATTAAAAAATTAATTTCGTGTTAGGTAGAGCTTTTATCAAGGAAGTCTAACGCATCGCGTAACTAATAGGAGCGATGAAACAGCGAGAAATGTAAAAAACATGGAGGAAATTATTCATCTCTCTATTCCTTTTAAAATAATCTAAAATATGTCCGCGACATTATATCTATCTTTTTAATAAAATTTTATAAGAATAACATGCAAGAACGAGACCCGAACGACGGGACGCGACCGATGTCGTGGGTACCTAATAGCTTAAATTTTTAAAAATGAAGAATAGGTTTACAAAGTACAAATTTGGATGTCGATAGTAACTATTCCACGCGGACGAAGTCGCTGACGCAGCTAGTATATGGTAAAGTTTGAGATAGTTAAACCATAACACTTTAGCTGTGGCTGTCAGTTCAAGTTTTGCCCATGTTGTACTTTTTTCACCCTCTTAGAACCAGTTCTAAGAGACGGAAGTTTCAGGCGGAGATTGAATGTGGTACATACATCAGCGCTCTCTTAGGAGGAGGTGTTAAAGTTCTCGGTGCACCCGTAGTATTACAGCGCGTATGTACTTACTCTAATCCTACGTAACGTAGTACTTACTTACTCTTAAAACAATGCTTGAACACGTAACAATAAACAATTGACCACACACGTATTGAGTCGTGGAACGTCTTAGGTGTAAAAGTGCGACCATTCTGTAAAATGATCCTAACAATTCTCGTTTTGTCTTTCGCCACGAGCGGTATGCATCCATCGCCAGTGAACACAGTGTATTTAATGAAGGCGCAGGGAGCAGGGAATCAAGCCGTCAAAGGTGTGGATTGGAAGAACGCTAGTACCACAAATGGAGGTTGCTGTTTCGGGCAGATATGTACGAACCCGTGCGTCATACCGGTTCCGCTGTACCAACCGCAGATGCCGATAGTTCTACCGGCGAGGACCGTATATGAACCGGTAGAACACGACCATCCCCCGCTCGGTGAGATCCGGGATATCATAACGGCCGATAAGCAACGTTACGCCAGTAGCGAGTCTAGTGACACCAGCGACACAGAAACTGACTACGATTATTATGAAAGTTTTATTGGAAAAATATCTTAATTATTATAATACTTACCTGTTCCACAATCACGCACGAAGACGAAGTGAAGGGAGAGAAATATAGGTACTGCTCCCATAAATTATTCTTGGTGTAACAAGGTCTTTTTGTGTAAGAGTTATTTGATTGTACTTAGTAATTTGTTCATGTTTTTTAACTTAGTAATATATCCGTATGTGAAAGCATAGTTGGCGTGCTGCCGCGGCCGACGAAAAATTTATTGTTTGTCGAAGCCTTTTTTTGGCGTTCCATTAAATAATAATAAAAATAAATAAATAATTTAAAATAAGACAAGTACTTACAGATGATATTCCGTATTAGCTTATTTTTTGTGTAATTTGATCATACTATTAGATTGTTGAATTATGAATGTATAGGTAAATGTTTTCTAGGAATCTTCGGCCAAACGGAGGCTTCATCGTAAGTGTAATATCTAATAAGCAGCTATTTTTCTAATTGTGAATCTGATTGTCTGTTTTAGCGAAACTTTTTTATTAAACTATAGATTTGTTTATTGTATACGCCGTACAACAGAAGAGTTAAATAAAATTATTATTTTTGAAACTTATAATTTATTTATCATTTGGTTTTCCACTTAGACAATAAACTTTACATTTGCTCATACTAATACAGAAGTTCGTTAAAAATAACAAGGAAAATTATTACAAATTAAATATGTAAAATGAATCTCAGTCTACTCCATCACTAGGGATTTAAGCGCTGTTTGGTAAGTACCATTCAGCTATTTCTATGCGTAAATTCGAATTCTCAACTTTATATACAATTATATTAACTATTTACGATTCGTTTCATTATCTAAGTATAAATCTTTTAGGTTGATTTTTTGGCTATCGAACAAGGGCTCGGCTTGCGGGTTTTCATTGATGACGACGCCGTTCTTCTCCCTATGGGTATAAATGGGCAAGTAAGTCTTGATGGCGAGGAGAAGCAAAACCAATCCTACCAGAATGAGAATGATTTCCACCGAGTGAAGGACGTAGGGTAGGACGACGTATAACAACCAAATGTCGTGTTTCTGTTTTTCACGTAAGTCGGGTAGTACCTGGAATAGCGAAAGAGATATCATGCAAGCTCCATCTTGAGTCAGCCTGCGGGCTAAGGACGCATAAAACAAAATATCACTTCTGAAAACAACTTTTGAGACTTGAAATGGTGTTTTTTAATAAATTTAGCCAATAATCAATTCTGTAAAAACCAATAAATACAAACACAAAATAAAAAAGTATATTGTTTTTAATTTAATTTTCGTCTGTCATCCTGTGAAGACATTCACTGACCTAACTAAAACTATAATTTATATGTAAAATGAAAAAATAACACGTAAATAACCTTAACCCCAGGAAAAATACAACATTTTAAACTTAATGTCCCGAGGTATAATAATGAAGCTAGGGACATACGATTTTAAAATAAGCAGCCGGAACTATCATTTCGGAGAAGGGTTCGGTCGCTCCATTGAAACTGACGTCTGACACGGCCACACTCAATTGTAAAGTGAATCGGGTGGCCAACACCGCACCGAGTTTCTAAAAGCCGAATAATTAAGACTTTATTATTTTGCACATAATGGCATTATATAAATGAAAAAAATATATGGATACTGTCTATAGTTTACGCGAGTAGTACTCATTTAAATAAAACACTTTAACAGTTCAAAACGCGATATAATCGTAAAGTGTTTTATTTAAAAAATTATGTGGATTATGAAATATATCTATTAAAACGAGCGGCGAAGAATCAGCATCCACGGCGTTCCGCGCTGCAGATCTAACCTATTGAGCTGGAGTCACACACGTTATCGTTGAATTTCTTTACCCCTTGATATATATGGGGTGGATAATAAATATATCTTACATTTAATAGCAACCTTAACACGTACCACTTAAAACTTCAATGTGTTATTAAAATTTTGTAATTTTCTGAATTATGATTAATCATAACAATGATGAATTGATTGACACTTTACCGGATCTATGAGAAATTCACTTCCGTGGAGTTCTTCCGACGGCTCCAAGCCCTCAATACGCTCGTAAATGACTGGGTCGGCATTTAAAAAGTGCGCATTCGACAACATAAACTTCAGACCTGAAAAACAAGTATGTTCAATACCTACAGCATTTTAACTTTTATCCGTTTGGGTCAGATTAGGTTGGTATAAGCAATTAAGCATGTATAGCTTCCCGCGCAAATCGACAATTGAAATGTCAAAGTTCAAGAGCAAAGTACGTTCGGTTATTTTGACATGTGACACAGACTGCATAAGTACTAACATAATAGTAATAGTAATATCTATAGAACATATAATTTTTGGCGACGTATTCTTGTTTTTTTCTATTCATACAGCATATAAAACATACTTACCAAAGAAGCAAGGTGACAAATCGGAAACACCGTTGACGCAGTCGTCATCTTTGCAAAGACACGCGTTGTTCGAGTTATTCGAGAAGACGTCTCTTCCAAAAGCGTAGTGGAGGGCTTCAGGCCCATAGTCCATGGTCTTGGTACCTTGGTACTCCAGATCCATAATGCGGCAGAAAACGTTTCGATATAGCCGGAGGACCGGAGGGTCGTCCCCTCCTAAATCTGGGGGGTACACGATACCTTCGTAGGTGTCCTCGAATGTGTTGCAGCGAGATCTATAAAAACCAGTTTGTAATGCAGAAAGATCGGCAATAATTTTCATGTACTGATATTTTCACAAATACTTACGGGTTCGTCTTAAAGCCCAGGTTTGCGAGCCCGCCATCTCCATTGTATGTTTTTATTCTGAATTTATCTTTTGTCGTGGAACCCACTTCAAATCTAAAGTCACCAACATCATAAAGCTATAGACGAAAAATATATGTTAAGGTACTTTATTAAAATCGATCGGTCGATATAAACATTTACCAGTTTAGTTAGTAATAATTACTTACTCTGTCCAAGATTCCCATTTTGTCGAATGTGATGACACCAGGCATGAGGTTATGCCCAAATTTAATAAGAGGCTCTTCAAATCCCCAAAGGAATTTCTCAGCGTCTATGTTTAAAATTGGCTTCGAATGCAGCTGTTTCGAGAGCATGTTGAAGCCAACGCGAGTGATATAAGACGATTTGGATACCATTGATGATACAGCCTGAAAGACACATAGAGTGTATTTTAATTTACAAAACCAAGCGAATTGCTTATTATTAATATTTACAATTTATGGATAATAATTAATTTATTAATAATTTTGTAAAGTAGCCTTACCAACATAGCAATGTTAGGTACAGTGAGGTTTACATCCTTCGGATCTGCTATTGACTTTTCCGGAATGAACCTTGTAATGATCTTGGGCGAGTACCTCATAACACCGTGCGCTTCGTCCAATTCGTAGTCTGCGTTAGTTCTGAACTCTCTAGCGGGAAAGAACATGACAGGGAAATGAGGTTGTGACAAAAGAAAATGACTTATCAATTAATTATTATAATCATTAATGTACAAGTGAAGTTTCGGCTTGCGCTGGACGTCTTCACCCAAACCTTCATCAAAGCTGAAAAATGATTTGCAGAAAGTTTCGTGTTTCTCCTACTCGTAGACTTTGCTAGATTTAAGTCTTTGTCTTTTATTTTATTTTATATCTGTGTGAATCTTTCAAATGTCACAGGTAAAAGCAACAGCGTTTTCTGTGGTAACAGCGGCTATGAAGCGTTGCGGTGCGCAGTGCCGTGCGCAGAACGCAACTAGAGAGCGAACGTGCGCCCTCTGCTTAAATAAAGTTTTTGTAACTTACTGGTACGTAAATGGTCCGACTTCTTGGACTTTCAGCTTGGAATCAATTCCTGACGTGAACTCGTCCGCGTTAGTGATATTGAACACGTACGTCTCCACGTGGGCGCCAGCGAGTTCCGGTCTTTGAAGAACTTCGTGGTACAATGATCCCGCTGCGATTCTTGTTTTCTGGAACATATAATTGCATTTATAAGGTAAATAATATAGTTACCCTAATTACAATGGAATGTAAGTCTGATCTCAACGACAACTTTTACTTAAAATAAAATGTATGTAACAGCATATTTTGAAACTACTCAAGGAATCTAGCAGTAGAACTGGGTATTTCTTTTAAAACTTGCTCGGTAGCTAGAGATCACTTGAATGTAGTAAGTGATAGTAACCCAACCCACCCTTGACCCGAGGCATTTCAAAAAACAACAATAAATGATTGCTTAATTGTTTGATATAATAATGACTTACATATATCGCCAGTAAGGTTATAGGATCGATGGCCAGCGAAATCACAACAATGATAATGAGGAACAAGCCAACTAATGTGTATATTATACGTTTACCTGAAAGAGGGAAAACCATAACTACATGATGATTCAATTGTACTTAAGACTAACGAGTCCTGGGTTTAAAATTTCAGGGACTTCTTTAAATTACATATCCGAATATAAAAAAAAATATGTTAAATATGGGGAGAAACTAGGGTAATTTGTTTTTTCACTGAGCTACTGTTCAATCTACCCTCATCGTAGGTTTGACAATGTGAGCTATTCATTTATATAGCAAATGCAAATTGTAAAAATACGTTGACTGTAATTTAAATGTGTAATTAAATGCATTAATTTTTTGTTTCAAAACTCTCATCTCTTACAGTACATTTTTGATATATTATCACTAATAAATAATAAAGACACACACTCTTGACATTCGCCTATTAGCATACATTTAATATTTACTTAAAATAATCTTTTAAATTGGTGCGTGTCATGTTTCCAACTAGCTTAGACCGCGACTCCGTCCACGTGTAATAGTCATTGGGACCCATTTTATTTATTTTACAAACAACCTCCTCAGCTTTTTAAATCATAGCTGTTACCCACGATGTCGTCTGAGTCTTGGACATCCTGCTCTACAGAGAGACATATACTAATGCGGACACTAGTTTTATATAATTTAAAGAAGAATTATTATTCCATACATATTTTTTTCAGTTTGTGAACCGTGCCCTGAATTGAATTTTTCCCATTTGTTTTCACAATTCCCTCTATGTCCTTGGTCGGTCGAAGCCTGATGCTGAATAGTTCGATAAATGGTCTATCTCACTAATTTTTCAATATTGAACCAGTAGTTCCTGAGATTCGCGCATTCAAACAAACAAACAAACTCTTCAGCTTTATAATATTAGTGTTTGCACTGTTATCTAAGAATTAAATGTACTAACCGGTTTGCCACCTTTCGCCTTCAAGACACTCTTCTTTTCTGGGTTTCATTTTCACTTCGATACTCTGCGGAATAAATAAGAGAATAATAGCTTTAGCCGGATATTGTAACATTGTGTTCTTATTAACGTATACAACTATTAGGGCATATTACCCACTTTCTACAAAAAAAAAGAAATCTCTTATCAATAGAGACTTAGACGTTTAAGATCATTTAGGCTTAGGAAAAATTAAATACCTAGTTGCAAAGAAAATTTAGAATGGAGCTTAAAGCATACACAACGGGCTCAAATTATTCTCATTAACAATAAGTTTAATCGTAAAGATGATTAATGCGACGTTGTATATACAAGTTTTCTTCAAAAATTCTTTAGAAATTATCAGCTGATTGTGAGTTTTTCTTAAGTTAGGCCAATTTTAAACGACATTTTTCATAAGTCGCCATCACCTTTTTGGTGCGCTCGCAAAGAATAAATGTAGGTAGGTACCTATGTGATACGGGAAAGAGCTTAAACCCAATATTAGTTAAACTTATTTGGACATTATTTCTTAATTACCATTTATAGATTACGTCTGTTCTAAATTAAGAGAAGTCATGATATAGCCTAACAAATGATATTATCATGACCTCTAACTTACAGAGCTGCCTCATCCCTAATTCACCTTCAGTGCTAAAGTTTATCAAATTAAATTGTTTTTTTATTTTACAATTATCAGTAAACGATATTTAAATATTTATAATGCAGCATTTGTTAAAAATACAATCCAAACATGCTTAATTAATTGAAAAGATTATTGTAGAGATGTAGTACTGGTTATTTGATTGCAGTCTTTTTGTGTTTGCGTCTTTTTTACCATTACCGAAAACAAGTTGCAAAATGCAAATGACATCTTGATGCAATTTTCTACAACGGTTATTTAGTTAAAACTTGAATAAGTCGAGCTCAGGCGCTTTAATAAAACAATTACGGAAAACTACTTGAAGGTCTTCCCATAAGTTTAAAGTCAACGCATTCGGAATCTCCATAATAAAAACATCGAACCTTTACGCCCTCTCATCTTCCCGAGAATGAGTTTGGAATTTGGCCGTTTTTTATTGTAATTCGCTATATTAAAGAAAACTACTTCAAAATTACGTGTTTTTACCGATTAAAAAAAATAGACAATTTGCTTTAATGCTTACGCAGTGTGTCCGAAGCCAAGCCTATTATTAATAATTGCTTTTACAATTATTTCTTTTAATAATTAGATATTAATTTATATTCATCCATCAAGTACTCGCGTGATAAGTAATAAACTTGTAGAATGTTGACGTGAATTCTACGCTTACATTATGTTTCAATTTATTACCATAAGAAGTGCTATTACAGTAAAATAGTTTTTTCCTTCTTATTTATAACAAAACGTTTCTTAAAGGACGTAGAACGGAGTCGAGCTCATTATCCCAAAGCAAGAGACAAAAATTTATAATTGGGCGTATTCGTTTGAGTTTACTTCTACATAAAAACACAAACAATAAATACTTTGTATTACCCTGATACATGAAAATATCTGAATAACTACAATCTTGAATAACTAAAAATTTGAAACTGACACCCGTGTCTCAGTCATTTGATACGTAACTATACGTTAAAAAGTAGCTATTTAATCGTATTTGAATTGATTCGATTTTATTAACTACCCTTCTCTATCTATAGATTGGTTATAACGAAAAGTTTTAAATTCATAATTGAAGGTTAGAGAGTGAATAATTATTATATATTTTTTTATAAACAACATTGCAATCAATAATAGCGTAAACCTTTCGCGTCTTCTAACACGTAAAGGGCATCACGAGCAACATTTTATTACACGATTTTATTGACGTTTCACTGTCGGCCATTAATTTATTATCAATCACGAAAAGGTCAATCACTTGGCACCGAGTTACACGAAAGGGAAGATAACCGAAGTTATTGCATTTACCTCTTTATCTGCAAGGCTTCTCGCTCAATCCTTGTAGGGCTATTCGAAACGCTCAATCGGGCCACTACGCATCGGCGAGAACTTCCTCGTTTCGCGTCGGACTCGTCGACCCGGATGGACGAAAGAGGAATTATTCCTCTACCTACGAATTCTTATTTCGTCTGAAAAAGCCTAGTATTTTTTGTTCTAAAGGCGCTAGTGCGGAAATTTCGTAATCTTAACACGGACACATTTGGATATTAATTATTTCACGCAAGTAAACTATTTCGATTCCAAAATTATTTGCCGAATATCATTTTACTTGACTCCAAATATTAACTAAATTCGCGGTAGTCGTCTAGCAGGAGCTGAAAGGAATCCTTTCTTTAGACATTCCAATGCCAAATGCAGTTTGAGCACATTTATATAACATGTTAAATTTGTTCGGGGTGAGAAATATAGTCAATAAAAGTTTGTCCTAGAGTAGGGTTAAAAAAAGGAAGTAAGCAACTAAATTTTAATTAAAAAAAGTCTTAACAGTTTCAGTAATTTATGTTCCCGCATGTTTAACTTTAGCTTTGTTCAAACTACGCCGTAACCTTCAATTTCGTTACAAAATTTGGACTACAAAAAAAATATCACTATGTATGAATGTAAAGACGTAAATGTCGTCTGAAACACTTTTTGTAAAGTACCAGCAGCTCTTATTTTCGATCATATTAAAACAAGGTATTATTATGTTTATTCTTAATAAAAAAGTAGCAAAGAATTAAATTTAAAACTACCAGTTTAAATGTATCAGGCACTTTTCTGCGCGTTTGTAAATAAACGTTCAAAAGGTAAATTCAAACTAACACCTTGATCATAATTCTTAACATATGAATTAACTTTCAAAGTTCACTATATTCGATCTTAATATAATAGCAAAATGATTTACAGTGCGCATTATCAAATTGTAATGAAAATACGCGTATTCATTGGTTCAAGTTTATCGTATCACATTTTCGATTCATTCTTACGTCGATTATTTTATAAACATCAACACTGCGAATATTTGTCATCAGAATTCGAATGACATTGATACTCAAAGCTAACGAAATTTTATTTCTAATAGATGTAAATTAAATATGGATAGGGCTATTAAAACCACCCAACTAACGAACTCACCAACTTCGTCGAATAAACAGTTAAGCGTGTAGGTAGAAGAAAATAATATTCACTAATTTACAGAACAAAATGAACACAAACGCGTGAATTTAATCAGACATTTATTATAAGATTCCACATGAATGTGTGAATTAGTAATACAAATAAACTATATTATAGAACTCACATGAGCGTCCCCAGCCGCGTCCCAATACCCACATTGACACGAGCGTTCGCTCCGGCGCAGACGTCAACGCGAAGTAGGTCTTAATCGGCCATCTCATAATCGCTTTTACATTTATTATTCATATTGTGTTATATATACGCATATTCCGAAAGGGGTTTTTGTGGGCTCGCTTTAATCGTCTGTCGTTTATCTGGTTCTTCCGAGTGCGAGGTCTTTTATCGTGGCGCGGTTTCTAACAGCGAGATTAGATATTTGTAGATTTGCCGTAAAAAGTGCCACAGTGCCATAAAGATACGATCGAATGTAATGAAACTGACTACTTTTACTATTCTAATAATAAATACTTTATTATTTTAGCCCGTTGTGTAAAATGGTATTGGTCTAACGCCGGATTGGAAAGATACAGATGGTATGTTTTTATTTGCGCTTAAAGAAAATTATGTGTTAAAACAAGCTCTATAGCACTGTATACACGCTAATAATTTTTAACAAATATTAGTAATTTTTGTATTAAAAGTAGTATCTATTTACTTTTTCTAAGAAGCTTTTTAGCTAAAAGGGTATATAAATGTCCGTCAGGCGACTAAATGATTAATCAAGGTTAGCTCTCGGTGAAATGGACATCGTACGATGATAAACCACGGGTCACGGCGATATATTTAATCGTGAGATAAAAAAGAAGATCTATTTTTATCACGGCGTAAGCTGTTTTAATTTAACTATCCGCTTTTTTTTGTTATTAATACATAACTTAAACATTCCCAATGAAATCATAATAAATGACACGAACTGGTCAATAAACAAATAAAAAAGTACAATTAAAATATAAATTTTACTATTGAAGGTAGTCCAATCAATTAACGCGCAATTACACGCCGTCGGGTCTACAAGTCTTATTTATACCGAATCTATACAAATAAGAAGGATTTAAATAATTATTATTCAAATAAATGTGACGTCATAATGTAAGTATAAAAAAAACACTACGTCACGTTCAACGGCCTTTGCGTAAAACCATTATAGGTACTAAAATATAAATATTGTTGATATATATTCTTTGTTTCTAAGTCCGTTAGCCACCCGTTTACATTCTAATTGTGGGGCATATATATATATATATATATATATATTATTTCAAATCAATTATATATGAGATATGTTGTAGTAACTTAAATTTTAGAAGTCGCCTATGTCTTCATTAATAAATAAATAAAGACAGAGAATACATTAAGAATTAACCAATTCCAATTACGATAAGATGTTTGCTTTTAAATATTCTTTTGGGTTTTTAATTTTTTCGAAGGGACAATTTTTGTCTCAATGTTGTCTATGAAAGTACTAGTCAGGACTGCCACACTGCCACTGTCACTTATATTGTCTTGATTGATCTTCCGGTCCAAGAACACGATATTAATAAACAATGTTTATATCTAAAGTTTATGTCATTTATTTTGAGCATGGTTATGTAAGATTATTAAATAATAATTTTATTTATCAGACCATCCATATATAGTATATATTACATTCAAATATTAAATTTTAATCGTGTTTTACTGTGGCTATAGGGCAGATAGCTTAATTAATAAAAAGAAATGGATATTCGATTTATTGCTATTTCAATTAAATTATATTTTACGAAGTCATACTGTTTTTAAACGTTTTTATTTAGCTCGACCCGTCCGGAATTTATTTCTTTGGGTCAACATTAAAAATTGAAACTTTAGCACCTTCCCGTTGTCAGATTGATCTGAAATTCAGTACACACATTTAATTTAGAAGATACAATTTAATAAAATCAAAAACATTATAAATCCAAGATGACCGCCGATACAAAATCGTGGTTTACATATTTTTCCTTAACCCCCTCAATTTGCGTATTGATAACTAATTATACCAATTTGTAACTTAGACTGTTTCCACTGAAAAGGCATTTTTACTTATGCTACGATTATCCTAACATTTTCGAGCTGCGAGTGACGTTCGAGTTAAGCTCAGTCACAAAAATTATGTCATATCAATGTATATTTATATGACTAACATTATTTTTATCCACGCTCTGTCCATCTTTTAATAGCTGGACTCTTGTAACGAGAAAGTCCATATTGACGGTAATCAGCGAAGCATAATAAAGTCTGACGGCTTTTATCAGCAGGTAGAACGATGCCAGAAACAAGATGACGACTGTGGAACGCCTTAAGTACGGACCCACGACGTAGACCGCCCAGAGGCCAAGGTTGATGCCATCCGAGTGTTTGGGTTGCTTCTGAAATCATCACAAGTAAGTCCGTCTGTCGTAAGTGCTATTTATTAGCTTTTAGCCGGTGTTAAAAATATTACTTTAAGGACTCGGTCCAAATTTCGTTTAATTCGAATTAAAAGTTAAGGAGAAATATCGTTATTTACATAATTGTTAGCCCGAAATTAATCTTTGGAAGTTTGTAATAAAAATTTAAATTATAATAAATATCTTAATAACAGACAAGCAGCGAGCTAAGTTTAAGAGCAATAAAACGTTAATTGACTATATGGTTGCGCAATTAAGTTTATTGGACTGTTTACGAAAGTCGACTTACAATTTTAAAATAGATCACTGGCACGACCATATTGGCGAAAGGCTTAGAGGCAGGGTTGAAGGTCACGTCGTCAACCACCAAGTTGCCTTGGAGGGTGAACTTAGTCGATAGTGGAATGCCCAGTTTCTAAAACAGATAACGTGGTTAAGTCTAAAAAGCGTTTCCTAGTCTCTACTGAGCCACCGTTTTAAGAAAATCTTCGGTATAGTAGGATGTTAACCCTGGTGGCCTAGCCTAGATGCTTATTGAGCACAGTCAGGATTACGGCTAGTTTAGAGGGTCAGGTCAGTTTCGGGAGAGAAACTTTGTGCTATACGTTTGAAGCACTTCGTTCAGAATAGCTAACTTGAGATTTGAAGTAACGTTCAAAAAATTAAATTATGCACTTATTACCGGATCTATAATAAATTCGCTGCCGTGTTCTTTCTTATTAGGATTTAAACCATCTACGCGTTCTGCGATTTTTGGATTGCTGTCCAAGAAGTGAGCGTTGGATAGTCCTGAATTTGCATCTGAAATATACGTTTATTATTTGAATTATATTATATACTCTATATTCTGCTCGATATAAAATAAAAGAGAAGTCAATTTAACAGAATTCTTTTCGGAATAAATGATACTTGATACTTGAACTAATAATACCTGTCAAATTTATAACCTTTCACCTTCGAAGGACGATTAAATATAGACTAGACTACGTGCGATGTGCAAATGTATACACAGTATAACTTTGTATAAGCTTTGATAATTTTTTTATGTCTGAATACTTGTCCTAACAAAGGAGAAAGATATACAACCCACTAACCGTAAAAACAAGGTGCAACATTAGATATCCCATCGTAACATTTCGGATAATTGCACAGACAATTGGTCTCCGACTTGTTGGCGAAAGTATCTTGTTTTAAACTGTAAACGAAGGCTTCGATGCCGTAGTCCACCGTCCTGGTAGCCTGATACTGGAGCTCTAGCGTGCGGCAGAAGGATTTACGGAAGATTCTCAAACGGGTTTCTTTTGTCAAATCTGTAGGGTAGGAGAGTCCCTCGAAGGCGTCTTCGAAAGAGTTACATCGGCTTCTGCAAGCATTCATTTGATTTCGAAGCTTCATTGGAACATGGTCTCCTTCGATACTTAATCCGTCGTTAGCATAAACGAAGGGCAAAAGAATCGAAGCCGCTATCTAACCGTGAATGCGATTTTTTTTCTAGAGCCCAAAACTTTTAAATATTTTATTTATATTATTGCTTTATTATTTATAAAACACACCACAGAAAATCCATTTATATTATATTTAAAAAAAATAATTATTATAATTGGCGGTCTCATTTGTCAAATATCCTTTATTTTTTAATGACTAATGTTATTCCTGTAATTGGGCAACCATCGATTGATACGGTTGAGTGAAACACAAGAAACGATTGAATTTAATTCATGGATTGACTTACTAACAACTCACAGTGTTTCTGCTTGATATCCCAGGTGAGGTAGACTTTTGGCGCCGTTGAAGCTTTTGATTAGAAACTTTTCCTTTCCCGATATTCCTAGTTCGTATACGCTGTCTTTGTCGCCGCTGTATATCTATAAAAGCAAGTACTAATAATTGACTTGACTTGAGGTACTTTGTACGTACACCTCGCGTCGCGTTTAGGTCTAGTCAGAAAGCCTAAACGCATCAGCCTTACCCGATCCAAGATGCCCATTGTAGAGAAGTTTATTTTGCCCGGAATCAGGGTGTGGGCAAGCTCAATTATGGGGTCGTACTGCCCCCAAAGAAAGTCTTGCACGGAGGTAGACACTATGCTCGTGGAGCGCAGCTTATGGGCCAGCAAGTTGAACCCCAGCTTAGTGATGAAGGGATACGCTGATAGCGTCGAAGCCGTTGCCTGAAACATTTAAGATCAGAATTTACGCTATTAATCTTTACCTGAGGCACTGAAAATGTCCTAATTGCTTTTAAATAAAACACTTCCAAACGGTAAAGACGCCAAATGCTGAATATTCAAATTGCTATTTAAATTCGTTTCCCTTTTTAGGGGTTCGTACCTAAAAGATAAAAAGGACGCCTGTTGCTAATACTAAAACTTCACTATCTGACGTTCTATCGTTGAACCGAATCTCATGTATGGAATTATTTTTTTTGGAGATAACAAAAACAAATCTAGATTACGTATAACTGAAGCAACACAAAAACTTACACATTTGAGTTTTTGTGTTGCTCCAGTTAAGGCTGCGAAACCTTAGTGCGAGAAACTCACTCGAACTTGACCAGTTTATTTTTAATATTTTGGGCAACACAACGCAGTGCAAATCCATTCTGCTAATGACGTGAACAAAAAACAAACTATTCAGTATATATCCTGCATCATTATTGAATAACTACTCATACTACTTACCTTAAGTGATAAAGGTTGTTCACCCTGAATATTATAATAACAGTACCGCATGTTTACTAAACAGTTTTTCTACACTAGAAATAATGTATATTGCAAATCAACGTTTGCCAGATCATCCGTCATCTTTTGTTGATTTGAAGGCGTTTCTATTGATAAGACATTGGCTACCAATAGTCCTGTCTTCAGTTTGGCTTTTTTTTCTCTTAAAAACATATTTCCTCTTACTTTTTGTTTCTTCACGAAGACGTCGACCACGGCTCGCCGTTTCGGATGTTCGGAGCCGTGGTCACCGGGGGACTATATTGAGTGTAAATATTTACAAAATACACACCAAAAAACCGATGTTGATTACTTGCACTTGCACGTGGCGTGGGTCGCCTATAGATTTTTCTGGCAAGAATTTGGCTGTCAGCTTCGGAGAATACCGCAACACACCCTTTTCCTCGTCCAGCTCAAAATTGGAATTGGTGCGGAATTCTCTATAAATATAGAAAAATAATTGCTGAACAAAGTATAATGTACATATATATGACTATTAATTTAGGCGTCATATAATTAAAAAAAAAGGGGGAAAGTTAATATAGTAACTGAATTTGGATGGATTTTGATGGATGATACTGATTGAATTCTACTATTCCAACTAGACCCCAACCTAGGGCTGTTGACGTGCGACGCGATAAATATAATATACTAGCTGTGTCAGCGACTTCGTCCGCGTAGAATTAAACACGCGGACTTTTTTTAGATTATTATTTAAACAGGAATCATTCTTTGTTAAATATTTTTTGTGTATCTTGAACCGCTTTCGCGGCGTCCGCATCGGAAATACAAAAAGATGAATGATTTTCCCCGTTCTTTCCCACATTTCCCACTGTGTCTTCTCACCTCGCACGTCACGGCGCAATGTTTTATAGCCTCCCTCGATAAGTGTTCTAACCAACACAAAAATATTTTTTAATATTTCCATTAGATCTTGCTGAATTAGTGCTTGCTAATTGTGCTACTCACTGGTAAGTAAAGGGCCCCACTTCTTCCACCTTTAACTTGGCGTCCGCTCCTGAGAGAAACGCTTCTCTATTTGTTATGTTGAAGAGATAAACTCCGTAGTACGCGCAAGGCATATTTTCTTCCGTCATTATGTTGTAGAATATCGACCCTTTTGACAGTCTTACCATCTGCATTAAGATTTCTTTTGTTTTATCATTGTTCTATAGTCTTATACAGTGTAAGTGAATTAATTCATAATAACATAGTAAAAAAAATTATGGCTCAAGTACATAAGCGTTTTCTTGCTGGCGGTACTACTAAACTGTCGTATTGCTTAGAGAATGTTTTAATATATTAAAAATTTTTTCTGAAATGATGAGTAAATAATATCGTCTATTTAGGTAAGTGTTTTGTAAATTAAATAAATGTTTCTACACTGCAGATAGATAGTGCTTGTTTTAATTCAGTTTTAAGTTACACTAAGTACGTACGTGATACGTCGCAAAAGACAATATGTCTTATTTCATCTCTATGTAACATTTTCATTTCCATTGCTCTAATATAGATGTTAACATAAATTTCTTATTATAATTGTTCAATCGTTCGTTCGTATTTTTATGTAGTTGGGCCAGCGGAGAGAAATAAAAATTAAACTTACATATTTTGCTAGAACGTGGACTGGATCGATTACGCAGTATAACGTGGCGAGTGCAGAGAAAAGTAGTCCGCACACGAAGTATATTATAAGTTTTCCTAAAATTTTGATTAACATGAACGAAAAATACTTACACATTTGCAATCGAAGTTCAAGAAATGAAAGGGGGTTTCTTTTTGCTGTCAACAACATATATGAGACATTAACTCAGTTGTTAGAGAGTAGGGTAACAAGCGGTATAATTCAATATTTAAGACGCTAATAATAATAAATATATCTAGATTAAAAAAAAACACTTTCCAATGTTCATTACTGGAGTTCTATATGTAAATGCAATAGTTCGTACAAAATGCAAATAATTTGTTTTAAAATAGGCGAAATGCTGTTAAATATGATTCGAGTACATAACACACGTTATTACCGAATTCGCAAGACAGGATACAATCGTCACTTACCGCAGTTTTTTCTATCGATTCGTCTGTTTTGGCTCTGCTTCATGATATTTACGCAAATTATATAATTATATCTTCGAAGGGCTTATTGTGCTACAACAAAAAAATGATTTTAAATACGGGTTTCATTCGATTATGACAAATAAATAATTATACAATTATAGTACTCACTTTTCACTTTCGTTCTTTATCCGCGCTTTAACGCCAGGAAGCTGGCTTAGTTCCCGTTTCAGTTCGTTCTTCGTAAAATTATGCCCGTAAATTGAATAATTATTAAACCTTTTTATTAAGATAAATTAAAGAGCTAACTAAACAAATACGTTTATCGCTTCGCGACAACGATCTTATAATACAGGTAGATTATCGACTATGTCAAGTACAGTACTAGTTATTTATTGCTTAATTGCATTCCGGGTACTACATACATAATACTAGTTGGACGTACGACTTTTACTGACGAGCAGAGCAAATGTTAGAGAATAAAGTATTTACCAAAGACTAGTTTCAAGTTCCTTCTTCTCATTATAATATGTCTTCACGGCACACTACTAAAGTAAACTTTTTAAACTGCGTCACATACGAAAATCTCCCGGTACCCAAAATACAATGTCGCGACTAAATCTGAAATATGAACTAGAAGCCGCATGCGTCGCCTAGTGCAATAGTGAATGATTATAAACAATGTTTTCAATTATATGTTATATTATGTAGGAGAACACGGCTACTAATTATAATAGGTCACAGGTATTAAGTAGTGGCCGTGACTTTGCTTTGCAATTTTTATAAACCTGATTCTAATACCACAATTAATAGCTAGTCTAGTTATTGAACAGCTTTCCTTGCATAGACTTTAAACTAATATTTTAAGAGCGCACATAAAATTGACGATTCCTTTTTGCTCACTACACTAATTGTCTTGTAAAGTTAAATATAAAGCGATACTCGCAAATTTTATTTAGCTCTAAGGTTTCCGTTAAACTCAACCCTTACACAAAGTTAAAAAAAAAATCACACTAAAGAAAACGCGATTTTAAGCTTCGTCTAAATGCGTCTCTGAAAAGTCGAGTCGTATTTCGTATCGTTGTTAGAGTGGTGCTGCTGTACATTTCACATTCAGCTTGAAAATATTTATTAATTTTATGAGTTATTCTTATTGAATTGCAACGGCAAATGAAAATACAGCAAACTGCTTATAGTGGCTAATTTATTGGTAATCATAATATAATTAATTAATAATAATTAATATTATACAGTAATATAAAAATATAACAGCATCAATGCGGCCGCTCCGGTCGAGTGCTCTTTGGTAGAATCGTACACAGTAGCCCGCTCGCTGAAAGCAGAAAGATTCGTTATCTCCCGATAAATAGCCGATGTCCCGTGAAATAGAAGTGAAGATGATGGATACTGACTTATGAGGAAGGAGCCAAACATGTATATAGGCACTATACAGTGCTGGTCCACCAGCGCCCCAAACACCACGTTGCCCACGATGGCGCCCACGCGGCCGCACATCACCGTCACTGCCATCGCCGTGGCCCTGTCACACGTCAAACAATTATTAGCAATATTCACATAATTCATACGCAAGCGTTAAGGTTGAAATTACATTGCGCGAGAGGTACATGTATCAATAAGTTGAAAAAATTCGACGATGACGTGCAACTCAAATGGTTAGAGCACAGAACTCCACAAAACGCTGTGGCTGCCGAATAATTTTCCGCCCGTCTTATAATGTTTTTTTCAATCTAAAATAGATTTTTAAATAACATAGAAATAGCTAGGCCGCGATAGTAAATCGCGTAACCTAATACTTTTATAAACTATCTTGATAAAAAATCTCAAGTCCATTGGACATATTCAACGCGATCTTGTATTCATTGCTTCCGTCCTTAAAAGAGCATAACGGCCATTCCACATCGAATAAGTATCGCTCGACACGTGCTGGTTCCCACTTCTAAGTAAACAGCCGTCCGATAAAAGAATGCTACAGAACCGCTTAGAAGCAATTATATGCATTATCATAATCTGATATTTTGTCCGCCTGAAGTCAATCTTAGATTCTAAAATTAGCTAAATATAAATTTATCATGCTATCTCTCTTATGCATCATTACTGTCAAACTTTTTAACATTACCTATATTCATTATTTTTATATATATATATATATATATATATATATATATGTGTGTGTGTTTCTGTATGATTTATAAACGCCTTGGAGTTATAAACTAGGAGACGAATTACGACCCACATCTATATAAAATACTTGTTATTAATTTGTCTAAACCTGTGTTTATCTTGACGTGCACATGCGTATTAATTACACCTCAAAATCAAAAATAGCAAAGGATACTTCTTATTGCAATGTATACAACCAGCTTAATTTTTTGTATATAAAATGTGCAGGCGCAACTAGGTTGCTGGAGTTAGCTTGTGAAAACAAAAGGATGCAAGAATATACCAAAAGACACTCACGCGACTTTAGTGGGGAATATCTCGCATATGACACAGAAAAGAACCGCTTCTGTGCAACTGACGATGGCCTCGAAGACGCACGAGAGCAACAGGTTCTCTAGAGAAGACCGCACGAGGTTGAGGCCCAGAGCGGCCAGACCGGAACATATTAACATCATCACTGCAAACGAAAATACACGCTTTAATAGCTAAAAAATAAATGTACATAGATGAATCGAGAATAGCCAAGAAAATAATTCTTACCTAACATAAGCTTCTTGCCTACCATGTTGATGGTGAGGCCTACCCATAACGCCATGGGTACACAGCTTAAAGCCACTACTAACGTATGTATGTACACTTTATCATCTATCACTTGCGGACACTCGTGCTTGCCCTGGAAACGAACAACCGTATATACAAGAATTGTATTTGTCGAAGAAGGAAAAATAAGAAACCAAGAATGAAATAACATTATCTTTAAAGTACAAAATGTACGAACCCACAGAAGAAAGAAGGTTATTTATTTTATTGTACCTAAGTATGAAATACTTACGTCATGTTATTATACAAATAATATACTCGTTTAAGCCAGTATTTATTTGAGGAAGTCGAATTATTAATTACTAATTACTGTGCGAACATGATGTTAATCAGTTGTATAAATGCAGAGCAAGTATATTTAGTCTCTTTTTAATCGGAGCGTTTAAATAACAAAAAAGTATGATTTAATTATAAGAAATGTTTTAAAAATGCCGGAAGTTAAACTAATAGACTTACCAGTAACTCACTCCTAGTGACATTAGCAGACACCTCACAGACTCCAGCTGACACGTCAGGGTACAGTGAGGAAAATTGACTGAATCTCTCGAAAAGGTCAGGGAACCACATCATTAACGTATAGTAACTGAAAATACATTAGATAAAGTGCTTTATGCTACTCATTTTTCACTAGAATAAAGTCTCAACATCTTCTGATCAGAATTCCTGCAATGAATTGGCTATATCCTCACCTAAACATAAGTCCAAAATCAACGAAACAGCATAACACCAGCAACCCTATGTACGGCGGAGTGACCAGCATCTTCTTGCGGTTCCAGAAAGACTGCCACCGTTGGTTCCAGGTCAGGGGCGTCTTCGTCTCGTTGCCGTTAGGGTCTGGTCTTACTACTTCCTCTTCCTCCCCATCACACGCGCTGATCATCGATTCCACCTGAAATATTTTATATCCCTTATAAATGCAATGTTTTTTATACATTTACCTTATTACATTATAAATAACATGTTGGAAAAATTGAGGTTGTGCTTTGTATGTAAAATCAAGGTCGTACAAGATTGTCGCTTTTGCTATAAATTAAGAAGACTCGGATCAACTCACCGGGAAGTCTTTTTCAGTAAGCTTTGTGTTGACAACAAATATCCTCTGCAACACTTGCAAAGCCTGTTCGGTCTTGTTGGCGTGCAGCAGATATCTTGGGCTCTCGGGGAAGGGCATCAGCAACAGCACCACGAGAAGACTCGGGATGCCACAAGCTGCGACGAACACGCGCCACGATGTGTACTGGAACTCGGCATTTTCCGCTGTTATGTTGAATCGTGGGTCTTGGATGATTAGCCAAGCAATGCCTGAGAAGGAAGCGTAAAGATTCGTTCGAAATTTTGAGGCGAGGGATCATGCATATTCTTAATTAATTAAAAAGTTAACATCAAAATGGTTAAAAATAAAACAATTCGACGAGGAACAAATTTATGGTAATTCCTTTATTTAACTCTCACAATACAACTTTTTATAGGAACTGATATAATTGGAACCGCCTTACCTGGTAGAAGAATAGTCCCAAAAGTCCAAAAAACTTCAAGTCTACACAGCATTACGTCACGATGTCTAAGCGAGAGGAAATCCCCAAAGTAGGGGAACACTAGGCCCGTTGCGCCGATGATCCCGAAACCAGAGAAGAACCTAAAAAAGGGTATAGAAATGTCTTAGGACAGAATAGTTTTAATCGTAGGCCACGGCTATTGTAAAACGTTGGAAAATGCAACTAATCATGATATTTTTCACTTAACATCGTTGCCTTATTTAAAGTATGTTATTAGAGATACAAAGGGATATAAAAAAGCGTGATTGCTTTGCCAACCTTATGGTCAACCAGTGCTGTAGTTTATACATTCACCTGTAACTATTGCTGGTATCGGTTATGGCTATTATATGTAGCACTAACCAAAGTAATTAAATTGTTATGACGCAAGTATCAAATTTTATTCGAATACCTGCAAGCTAGAAATGCAGGGAAAGATTGCATGAGACTCGACAGGAAAGCTGCTAAGGCATCGAGAAGCAGAGCTCCAATAATGGCCTTCCGTCGTCCGCGGGCATCCGCCAGGTTGCCCCAAAAGTAGGAGCCGACGCACATCCCTAGAAAAAGCACAAATTCTCTTGAACTTTAGCGTCCAAAAAGACCTGAAAGTCCACCGGTTATTAAAAGATAGTTAAGTCAGCTCACCAATGAGCGGGGTGGCAGTGAGCCTTCCCTTGTCGCTGGAGGAGAGGTGGAAGTCGCACTCGGCGGCCGGCAGGACGAAGCTGAGCGTCGTCGTGCTGAGTGCGCACACTGCGTATACGGCGCCGCACGACATCAGCAGCAGCCATTGGAAGCAGCCGTAGCCTGAACAGAATCAAAGTTACAACTTTACATGAAAGCCATTACTGTATATACTACTACTATAGCTTTGTCAGCGACTTCGTCCGTGTAGAATAGTTATTTTGGGCATCAAAATTGGTTTGTTTTTGCAAACCTGTTCAACTCCATAGATTTATGTTATTAGGCCACGACGCCATCCGCGTCCCGTCGTTCTTGCACGTTAAACTTAAAACGTAGGCATATAATGTCGCGGACATTTTTTTACATAATTTAAAGAGGATTTCTAAAGCCTCTAAGCAACACAGAAATAATTTTTGAATTCGAACCAGTTGTTCCTGAGATTGGCGCGTGCAAAAAAAACAAACACTAAAGACAATAAATGTTATTTATTTTTTAAATACTTTAACTATTTTTTATCAAGTTGAAAGTTTTAACGATTATTACCCAAACATGAAGTAAAAAACCACTCGACAGCCACTACTAGTTGGTAACAATGAATAAAAGAGTGGAAAGCGATTAAGCGTGTACGTTTGTATATACAGGTCAGTTTTAAAAGGTCGAAGCCTACTATCCTCTTCTGGATTTTTTGTGAATTTGAATACCTTACTAATGTTCTCGTATTCAAATTCACGCATAACTGCTTTATCCGGTAGCGTTCGTCATATTTCAGATTTTCGAAGACGGTAAATAGATTTAGCCTTGAGGCTAAACTTGGGGCAGCACTTGCCTAATTTTACAGGAAGTAAAGTAACCGCGTAGACCGTGAATCGGTCTTCTCGAAATGTGCTCAGCGAATGTCGGGCAGATTCCGATAATATCCCGAAATCAGCCATAACGCCAGAATCGTAAAACGGCGATAAACGGACATTTTAATGAGTTACGACTCATAAACTGTTGATTCAAGGATCGTTTTAAAAAGTCTGTCAGTAATGCGCAATACTGTAATAAATCTACAATTTATGTCTTTATTGAAGGAGCTACAAGTTCCGCGATAAATGTTTTATAAACATAATATATAAATAATTATACCCTTAAAATTTAATGGCTATCGTTCACTTAAAAAGTACCTCGCAAACGGTTGCAGAATAATAAAAATAGCACGAGTACAAGACACTTATAAAGTCGACTTTCTTTGCATGTTTAGTCGCCTTTTTATGCAAATCTAAAGGTAAGTCACTTTTTGAGATTGGCCCATCGATTTTAAACATCAATGATTCATATGTGTTATGTCAAAACTGCTGAAACAGCTGCTAATTTTAATATGAAATTTACTTAATATTTATTTCAATACAAGGCGGTTTCACTAACACAAAACAAATTGTGTCTCTCAATCCCTAATAATTGTGTTGATTAATAATCGCGACGAGTATATACCGTTCAAAAAGTAGCAAACCTGCGCCCTTACAAGATTTGCGTGTAATAGATGTAACACACGGACAAGAAAACCTCACGAAAACGTGCTACGCCAATGATTGCGATGCTGTTCCTGGCAGACATTCAAGTGAGCCGTCTTAAGCTACGGGATCTTTCGTGTTAAAAAAATAGCGGTACAATAAGTTATTTAATATTTCTTCACTTGAAACGTTATTCGCTTCATGACAACATTTTTACCACACAATATTTTTTTCAAAGTATAAAAAAGCCTCCAGTGACTAGTAAATGAAGCCAAAAATTGCAAGTTAACAATTTAAAAGTACACAAATGCTACACAAAATTGTTACATAGTGGCTGTAGCTGTTCATGGTAAATCCGCTACCTCACATGCTTCGCACCACGTCGCGAATAATGTTTGTAAATACGAAGACAGCTGAGAGAGCGCACATCGGTCTGTCCACTGGGCACTGCGTCTAATTATAAACGCAATACTTGAAAAACACATTCAGAAGTTATTGTGTACGCTCTTTGGCTGTGGATTGCTTTATAATTGCCTCGTTTTGAACGTTCGAGTTGAAACGATCCGGTCGAATATTAACTAACTGCGTCTTCTTCTCATTGAACTTTTTTGCAATAGGCAATTTGTAGTAAAGGAATCTTTGCCGTTTATAAAATGCATTATTATGTGTCGAATTTGTAATGCTCCTGCCTTTTTGCCATTTTGTAAGTACGGGATCGCTAGTAATTCTATCCATTTAATCCGCGTTTTAGCCAAAGCCCACGACTGGAGCCTAACAAGATTGTTCGAAACGAAATCCAATTAATTTGCGGCGCCTGAGGGCCGTTTCATATATATTGCGCATCTTTTGGTTGAGCGAAACGAAACTTTGCCTTTGTATAAAGATTAACAAAAAATAACACGCTACTCATGTTTTGCGTAGCGGTTGAACGAGCAGTATTTAGTATATACTACTTTTGCATTGTTTGTTAATTTGCATAAAACAGATATTAATTCTATTAATTGTACTACAAAATAAATAATAATAAGTAAGGTTGATAATCTAAAGACATTTAATATTAAGCTTAAATATTTCTCCATTACTGATTTTTTTGTTATGAAATATAAGTAATGGCTTAATTGTTATTTCTACTTTCTGAGCGATAATAATCACTCGGCATACATTAATTCGGATGGCTAGCTTCTTTGTTCATTCGTTTGAACGTAATTAAGTGAACTTTCGTGTTACCGTGATGTTCCTTGAGAACTGAGATTTAATCGAATTAGCGTCGACAACAGTGGCGTGTGCAGGACAACCTTCAATGTACCCCAGCGATATCAAAATGTTCTCTTAAGTAGAGTGGAAATAATGTACACGTTTACTCTCCAAATTACAACTTGAAATTTTGCAGCAAATACTAAAAACAAGTTAAAAAATAATTATTTAAGATAGGACCCCAATACAAGTATCGAGATTGTCGATATCAGTAGCTAGCTGTTTCAGCGACTTCGTCCGCGAAGAATAGTAATTTTGGACATCAAAATTTGTTGGAACAAACCTCCCTTTCAGCTTTATAAATTTAAACTGTTACCTACGACGTCGGTCGCGTTCCGTCGTTCTTGCAAGAATCATTCTTTCAACCGTTTTTGGAGCGAACAACGGAAATCCACAGGAATGAATAATATCGCTCCTATTAGTCGCAAGGAAATATTTTATAGCCTATTATATACCTTCCAATTAACACCAAAAATAAAAAAAAATTTTTAATATGTATTCCTGAATTAGCGCAATCATAATTAAAAATATGTAAAGAATAAATAAAAAATACTTGTAATAATTACAATTGCTTCTACAAATGAAAAGAATTAACTACACTTGTAATTTATGATTTGAAATTTTGTTACCTATTTTCTATTATATCTATTGATCTACATGTAACAGCCCGATCTTGCACGTTGCGTTGCCGATTGACGCACGCAAAGCGCATCGCTCGCTTCCGAGTCAAATGCATTTATTTATATGCGCGTGCGTCTCATTGAGAGCACTTGAACTAATCATCTCCAATCGATAAGTGTCCGAGAATTACCTTCACGCCACTTCACACTAAATTAATAGAAGCGTGGATCAACACAGTTCATGTGGATTTCAATGTGGAAATTAGCATTGAAAGGTCAATGTTTCAATCCAAAAAGGACCCCTAAGTAGTCGGTTCTATTTGGATTGAAACTTGTGTCTAAAAAAATAATCAATTCAATGAAGAGTTTATTTCGGTGCTGCTGATTACAAGCGCAAAGTAAAGGATAAGATTGTTATTAAAATATAATGAGATGTAAATAAAGCAACTGTTTCTATAGACAACAATATGAAAATTAATTTTTATTGTTAAAAGTTACAAAATATTATATTTACATTTTTTATTTATTAACAAACAAAAGACTAGAATACAGATAACATACCAATTAATCGACAATAAACCCATTTGAATGTACGATTCGAATTTTGTGCTATGTCACAGTACATAAACCTTTTGTATTATCATATATCAAAGCCGTTGGGACAATTTATACTATCTTTCCTTCGGAGCGCGATAAGGCAGTTAATATAAAACTAGGTAATTGTATTTTTAAATGTGCGTAGGTCTGGATAACGTTTGCAGTTTATAGTGCCGACCGTTTGTGCGAAATTCTTTTGTTTTTCTTTTATTTCGCGCCCGTCAGCCGTCTGTAAACATTGTTAATTCGGTCGGGAGACAGGAGATGTCGACTGGTGTATGTCGCTTTTAATTATCGATCAATTACGTGTTGAAATAATACATTTCAGCACAATTGAAGATCTTGTTGGATTTTCAAATATTTTTTTTTGTACTGCGTTTCAATTCTAATATATAAAGGAAACCTTTTTTATTAACTATAAATGCCGCTTTGCCTCTAGACTTCATTCGACGTGTCTAATGTCAGTAATCATTCCGTCGCCAGTCTTTCGATGTGGTCATATCGATATACTGAAAGAGCCAATGCGTCTATGCGAAGTATTGAACCGTATCCCGGAAATACCCATTGCATGGGGAAAACCGATTGCACTTGTTTTAAATTATCACGCGATATAGACATTGTTACAATGTCGATATCGCTATGGCATAAGTGTAAGACACAAAAATAGCAAGGATAACTTATAATATTACGGACCTATCTCCATTTTTTTAACTAATCTTACTTACACCTGCTTGGAATTACTTAGGACTAAGATTGTTACCCTAATAATTTTATTTACTTTCAATAGCAATTAGTACATTATCTCGAAATCAGAAACATTGTACAGGACTTCATACATTGAACCAATGTTTACTTGTCGTGAGGTTAATTTCAACAAAGTAACGCCTGGCAAATTGGCTGTTTGTACCAATTAGTTTAGTTAATATACTAACATTATATTAATAGGGTTACTAAGACGGATGTTGCCGAGTTTGTTGCAAGCAACTTGCAAGTTTGTAAATAGTATACAAAATAGGCCCAAGAGAACAAAACTCCACGATACAAATCAGCAACCGATGCTGGGCCAAAATAATGCTCTTTTTATTGCATATTAATTCATAGTATCGCTTTTAAAATCCGAAATCGGCATAACAGACATCGACAGGACATATTTAGAATTAAAAAAAATGCCCAGGCAATGCTGTTTTAAAAATTTAATCACTGTTCGTTAATTTACACACATTTTACAATCATTGTTAACGAAGACGTTAAGCGTAGAGAAAAATAATCTTTAAACTAAATTCGACATAACAGCATCGATTGAGATAGGTTTCAAACTTTATCTACAGATGCTTTTGTGCTTCGCGAGCATCGGTTTATTGCTTTATCAAGCAAGGTACCTGCTTGTTTGATTTGTGCTCAAATGCCGAAGGGACGTGTATATCTTTACACTAAAAGTATAACCTGAAACATTAATCAATAAAAGAATAAATTTTATTTTAAGGTCAGGATTGCCTAATACATTATTATAGCTCTTATAATTTTTTATAACGTATACAAAATTGCAAGTAAGATTCTTATAACTTGATCGAAAACGTTTTATTCCTCAAAGGACATGTTAGAAATGGCCCTTATAATGTATGAGTCAAAACGTATTGCCCTGATTTGGACCGTGACCTATAGAAAATAACATCCCGACGGCTATTCGCCTGAATCGTTTTACAGTCCCGTGGATGTGGCGAATGTCATTGCCATCGCTTTTAACTAACGAAGGGCGTGGCGGCCCCGTGACGTCACCGCCCTCCGGGGGCGCCCTTAGAACGCATTGTTATAAGTTAACTTGCACTGTACTGCACTACACTTTAGGTAATAATAATATTTCTTTTAGTATATGTACGTTCACCAAGGAGATAATTCTAGTTATCAATGTTCTACGGTAAATCTAATAAATTTAATAAAATAAATTTTAAACCGAATTAGATCTTAAACTCGTTCAATTCGTTATAATTTTTTTAAGTTGAAAATACCGGGATGAAGACTTATTTTTTTTAACAGCCGTCCGAAATATGCTTTTAATTGCTTTGAAACATTCACCGGAATACAAGACGAGGCCAAAGTAATACTTAAAGACCAATTCGGATCTCCATACTTTGTTACTATTTTCACAATTTCTGTAGTCATCAAAAGAAACAATAAAATTTCCAAGCGCAAGTCTGACGTTCTTTGATCCATTTGACAGCTCTTTTGGCGGAAAAGATAAAGGACGCCATTTTGATTTATGCGAGAGCTCTTCGAAATATAATCGTAATGACAAGGCAAATGAAATTCGTGTCTTGTTAAACCCGCCGAGAGTCGTGGCGGAAATTTTCCAACAATGGGCAGTAACAGTAACAATATGACCTAGCACTTAATTGCTACATAAAGCTAAATGTCTGCCATTTATCACCGTCCTTGCGGATAATAGTTTATTTCCGTTAGCTAAATGAAAGTGCCCGGCGCGATTCTATATCGCCCCAAGTTCGACGCTTCGTTTAAATGCCACATAATAAATTACGGATCATCCAACACGATTATAACTGATTATAATTATTTTCTTTTTGCCAATTCACTATGGAATAAGTTTCTCGTGCGAGTTGGTCTTTTTATAATAATGCAAAAATAAACAAAAATACAGTTTTTATCTACTGAATTTTCGAATCGATACCATAAAATTTTATCAATAAAAGGTCCTATTCTCGTTATTCCGAAGAAAGGTCTCTCGCCAGCGTATGAAGTTTACGTTTATCAATATTATTAATTTGCATTACCTCGAGGCAAGGTCAGCCGAGCCCAGCGGTTGACAAATTGCTAATCTGCGTAAAAATAGATCCGCCGGCCGCCATTCGCGAGCGCGGGGTGGGCGCGCCTTTATCTAAATTATCCTTCTTATTAACCGTCCCTTCGACGTCGCAGAGGTCCCGCTTCGTTCCAAGTTATTCGGCAAAAATAGTGGAAAAGGTTCGCCGAGCGTCAAAGCTAGAGAGGAAAGGGCGATCCAATTTCAGTCGCAAATTAATTGTTTACAGCGAGGGCATTGTAACTCAGCTGTCGGCTGTCGTTCACGTGCCGAATGCGTGATGGCGAATAATACATTCCGTGAATCTTACGCGATCGACAACACATCTGCTCGCTGTTGATGTAATATGACAGAAGCCGTGTCTCGCGTTGTTTTTTCCTTTAATTCTTACTTTTAATCAGCAAATCCTCGTATAAACTTTGTTGTTTAAAATGAAAAGGACCTGTTTTCAATTTCAAGGTTATCAATAATAAATAGATAGCAATTAGTAACACAAAAATACACTGTAAATCTTTAGTTAACCTTATTTTCCTGTAATCAATCCGTCAGCAATTAAGCCTAGAGGTTAGTGTTAAAGCCTTGAGCACACGTATAGTGTAATACTGACCGGCATGATGCAGGGCGGTCTCGAAGGGCGCCCGCTGCAATCTCTCCTTGCTCTCTGCCAACAAAACAGAAATAGTTTCATTTAAATAGACCGATGACATTGCCAAACACGGTGTTTACTATGTACGGGATAACGGGGTGAGCCGATCAAAATTTACATTTGTTATGTAAATCTCGATCAGATGTCGTTTCCACAATGTGGGACATTTACGAGTATCTGACACCAACAGTTTTATACATCCTTAAACCTAAAGATTCGCTCCAAAGAGCGTGCTTTCCAATAAATTATTATGTCTTGTTAGTAGTAGTAGTACAGCCGGTAGACTATAAATTAGGTTATTTATAAAAAAAAATAAAATAAAATAGAACTTGGATAATATCCTAACTACAATTTTATGCCTTGAGTTGTTCATATTTTTATAGTCTAAAAATGTTATCCTACAAGAGCACAGTGAACGAAAATTTGTAGCATAATTCTTACACAAATAATAGTAGAAATTCATTTTCGCCTGAGTTAATTGCGCATTTTTATTTTCTTCCTTATTGAAAATCATGCTTTTTGTTATTAGTTCACTCTGTCTCTAGCAGTCTCAAATGAATTTGCATTGCAAGAATTGAAACGTTGCGCCGGCGCAGCTGCGATACGCGTTTGATACAATTTTCCCGCCACAACACGGGGTCGCTGAACTTGACAGCGACCTCCGCGCGGTTACCGAATCAGAAATAAATTTGTCCCAGAAATGTTGTTATTTGTGGACTATAACACTTTTCAATGCAAGGTTCTTTCATAATGTTCCCATTAAAAATCTTATCAAAACGTTTACGATTTAAAAGCGGCAAGATAATTTATTATTATTGATCTACGAAGATTTTAGTAAAAAAGTTAAAAAAGGTAGCAAAGTGATGATATTAAAAACGTAATAAACACTAAATTCGTATTACGGATACCGTAGAATCTTCTTCGTGCTTATTAAACATAGATTGGTATTAACATTTTTCTGTTTTTTCTCCCTGTAAAATGGCACTTTGTTTCACTTAAAATGAACGCTGTCGACTTTAATGAATGAGTCAGAATACTGTGCAAAGCACTAGTAATTAGCAGTGCAATGTCCTAATTGTAAAGGAAGCTCGATACTATAATGATAATTCTTATGTAACAAGTTTGGATCAGTTATAGAAAAAAATGATTGTGGATGAAAATACTCTAACCATGTAACATCGATGCCTTGTCGTCCTATTTTGCATTTGGACAGACAAAAAATAGAGCAACTAATATTAAAAGTATATTTTATTAGCTTATTACTCGTTCTTTTCATGGAACAAAAGCCTAAAAGAAAACTTAAGTCCGTTCTGGTTTGATGTGTGTTTTAAATTTTATTATAAACAACTTTCAAAACATAACTATAACTAACCGATAAGTATAAACATAGCTACATATATAACATACTAAGTACTAATACCGAATAAATAAGTAGATTTGCATCACTATACATTTGATAGTAATATAAATAATAGGCGATGTCTTTTTTCGTTGTAAAGATGTTAAGCCCTCAGTGACCATTTGATTGATCGTATATAAGACGACCAGTTGTCTTCTAAACTATAAAACGTTTCTGGATCGCGCCGGTGCGAATAAAAAGATAAACAAACATAACGCGCATCGGATCTGTCAAACAACAACTCTAATTTATATCGGCCATGTGCCGATCGGTCGCTTTTATATGTCTTAGTTTTTTATAAGCCATTTATCTCATCTATGACAATTAAATACAATATCGTGGAGTAGAAGAAAAAAGAAACAATTGTACTGTTTAATTTTCTGTTAGAAAAATATTTTATATATAATATAGACCATAGATCTATTTCATTGTAATCGCTTTGAACTGAAAGCTAATGTTAGTTAGGAAATAAACAATTTTGAATATGACATTTACATTTAAGACATGACATGTCCCTTTCGTAGCGAAGCTCCGCTACGAACCGCTACGAGGCCTACGGGGCTACGCGGAACCGCCGCGAAACCGGTCCCAACCGATGAAGGCTAAATATATTCAGCCGAGCGATTAAGCCACATTGAAGTCGATTGGTGCTGATGTGTCGTCTCAAGATCAAACAAAGCGCTGATTTCACTCTCCATTGCTGTGAGAACGATGCTTTAGATTAACGCTAATTAACCATATCATACAACGCCAATTGCCTCTAAGGTTATTTGGGTATCAGTCTTATAACGCAATGATCTTTTCATTTGTATCAGAGCTTTCAAACGTAATAAATCATTTGCAAATGTGATTTATTTTGAATCATTATCGTGGAATAGCATTGTTTTCTTCAATTGGAGCTAGGACCCGAAATAAAGTAAACGAGTAATTGAAAATCGCGTGTGCTCACGTCATATTAGCAGATATCGGCCGTCGAATTACATCGACATCTATTATCTTTTATCACCACTCACGATAGCCACTCGAAACAACTATTAACTTTACAAACGCTCGACCAATATACAGGAGCTACGAGGAGATGTATTAACGATTTTATTTCCCACTGCTGGGATTTAGACGTCCTATGCAAAACATTCCCAAGTAAGCATTTTTTTTTGGTCTTCTGAAAAATAAAATGTTCTCTGTTCCAGTTACAATGCAATTTGAATTATAATGCTCAATTTGTTTTTTTTTTTTAATAATTATTTACAACTAGCTGTGCCCGCGACTTCGTCCGCGTGGAATAGTGACTTGGTGTAGAATTATTTAGGCCGTTTATTAATTTATGTAAGGGCGCATTTAAGGCAGCCAACCTATGTTGTAAGTGCTACTTTGCCGCTACAGTCCTACTCTGACACCCACTCGCATTCCCACAGCCACTCCCACTCGCATCCCCACTCCCACTCCCACTTCAACTTCCAAAATGGCGAAGAAGAAAGTTTCATTGTTCTAGCTTCAAAAACCACGAATTTCCATACAAACTTTTATCCCCCTTTTCAACCCCTATCAACCCTTTGTTGGCATTCAAAAATACTGTGTACCAAATTTCATTTAAATCAGTTTAGCAATTTCGGAGTTAAAACCGGACAAACAGACAGACAAAGTTACTTTTGCATTTTTAATATTAGTATAGATTGAAACATATTTTTACTTTATAAAATAAATATTTTCATTTCATTCACAAAATATATGTTTCACCCGCCGAGTTCCCTTTGGCATTTTGCAAGTTACAGGAGAAGTATAAGGCTTACTAAGCCAAAGTGACAAGCTATCATTAAAATATTCATTAACACGTGTAATTATTACCTACAGAGATTGTTTTGTATTAGATAATCTCGAATCGATTCGTCTGGGCTCAGACGGTGAAGTCATCGTCTCGCAGGCTTTTAGGTGACGTCATTCAGTCAGCTCTCCCATTATCCCATAATACAATTAACAACCTCTTCGTCCCATTAAAAGTGTCCCAACTATTTATAAACTTTTGTTAAAGCAAACAATAACTATTGAATAATGACTGAAAGCTTCTTGTCAGGCACGGGAAAGAAATCGCTTCGTCGTCGCCAATCGCTGACGTGTGCACCATTATTGTTTAACTATTAATTACGATAATATTATAATAGTTAACAACAATAAGACTTAAGGCAATGTTAATTCAAACTGTAGAACCGGTTTAACTTTTTAAGAAATTTCGTGAAGTTTCTTATAATATATTACTATGACATTTGTTCGTTTCTTGTGTTCTTAAATAATTGTTATAAAGATTGAGTCATAATTTTCAAATTACGTATGAAAATGTAATGTCTCGTATCACGTGTAGGTGGAACGCATGTCACTCAACCCATCTCGATATAAAGGTGAAGGGTTCATTTGTTTTGTTTTTAATTCAATTAAAATATATCTTTATTAGTCACGGATAATGCGAATGCTTTTGTCTGCTACTTTGAATATATTTATTTTTTATTACGCCTTAACTGTCAAATATATCGTTCATTTTATTATTCTTCAAGAAGTTCCAACGTAATGCGGAGATCGTATATTTCATTGTACAACCTTGATAAAATGTATGTCATCTTTGTCACGGTTTAATTAAAATTCTTGTTAAGTTTATTTCGGTCCAACTTCTAATTTTTCATTAGCGACAGCCAGCGATCCGGTTACATCTAGGCACGACTAAAACTAACTTGATAAGATGAGCTTGTTATGCCGAGTAAAAGAAAAGCTTTAATACGTAAAACCGAGTGTAAGACGGCCGTACGCGAATTTAAGACAAATATTTAGATATTAATCGAACGAACAACGCCTATCCCAATTCTGAAATAAAGAAATTATACATATACACAGTATAATATTTCATTGATCACTGATCCAGTGACAAATCACAGCCACTTTGCTTACGCTCGCTGATGGTCAGTGCGCTGGACTGATAAGCTATGATGAATACTAAAATTGAAATATTAATTCATCAATATTCATTTACCGAAGTGTCGGCAATCAGGTCTTCTATTGCACATTATTGTTTTGCATCTGCATTACGTAAAACTAGTACTTGGGTCTGACAGCCTCATAATATTACATTTGTCACCCGCGTGTATGAGAATTTCAGTCGTGGACTGTACTTTCGATGCCCTCTTGTAATAACACCGAATCAATAAAATAAAAAAAAAAATCTTTTTCGCGTTTTAAACCGTTAAAGGTGTTTTATTTTGGGCATACCGTCTTTAGAAAAACAACCCATACAGATAGGTATTTGAACGGTGACTCACATCACCACCCCAGCCAACTTAGTTCTGTCGGAGTATCTTTGTTTCAGAGAGCCCGCCGTCTCTGTGATGCTGCCCACTTAAATGAGGAGTTACAGCATGTCAAGCAGGTCCTATGCAAGAACAAGCTGAGAGTCCCTCCGCAGCATCCCAGGAACAGGAACAAGCCACCCACAGTCAAACGTCAGCCCGCCTACCTACCATATGTGAAGGGAGTTACAGATAGAATTAGCAGAGTCCTAAATCGAGCTTCTATTGACACAATTTTCAAGCCGCACAAGAAGATTCAGCAATTCCTGAAACCAAGCAAGTGTACTATCCCTTTACAAGATGCAGGCGTTTACAGACTGGATTGTGATTGTGGCCTATCCTACATCGGCCAAACAAAGCGTAGCATCTCAAACAGAATTAAAGAACACGTCGCGGATATAAAACATAAACGTCTCTCCAAATCTGCGGTATGCCAACACTCATCAGAAGGGCCCAATCACTACATTCGCTTTGACCAACCAAAAATCCTCGCAAAGGAGAGTCGATTTTTTCCAAGATTGGTACGCGAAGCAATTGAAATCAAAAAACACCGAAATTTCAATAGGGAGGACGGCCTCAAACTATCAAACACCTGGGATCCCATATTAAAAACTCTGGATCCCAATAAACAGCATACCAGCAAACGCGAAGACACCGTTAGTCAATTCTGTAAGGACCCGGCCAGTTTCGCCAAATACCAACTTCGACGGAACAGATGGCGCTAGCGTAGCAATTCTTTACTTTGACGTCTGAGACATCCTCCATCTTTAGTCTCCCCGTGACCACGGCTGCTGCAAAGCATCCGAAACGTCGGGCCGAAGTTAAAAATCATTTTCAAATAAGTTTAACTAATATATCGCGTTTTAAACCGTTAAAGTGTTTTATTTAAATCATGACATCTTCTTCTTCTTTTCATCTTTTGTTTTTTTTATTCCATACCATTAATAAGTACATATAAGCATAATAATATTTGATATAATTTAAACACCCTTACTTTAAAGGTAATTTGTTACATATAAACATTCTCGATATTATTTTATTTAAAAGATGGAAACTTTAAGTGACGAGTCATATAGGGATTAAAGTGTATATAATTGATAAAGAAATATCTGGTAAGTAGAATGTTCAACACGGTAGGTGCTACGGATGTAAACGCAGTACAATGCAACAAGTATTTAAAGAACATCAAAGTGTTCTTAATACATTAGTGTAAAAACATTAAAATTTACATAGAAGATATAATAAAAAATACGATATTATAATGCATTTATGATAATACTTACTGCCAGAGAATTACTATACGTATAAAATAATAGTCAACGTATAATTGTCAAAAATATCATTTACTTTTACGATAAACAACTTGTAACGCGTCACTAAACGCAAAACAAAAGGCATAAAAAATATTATTACGCGCCAAATCGCTTCTACAAATATTAATTAACTCATACAAATGGTAAAAACAATACATCAATAATCGTTAACTACCTTCAGACGCTTACAACACTCTCGGCAATCTTACATTTAATAAGTCACTTTATCTACGCCCTGCATTGCTATTTTTAAAAGGACTTTCATATTGCCTTTCCGATATCCCCATTCGGTGCGATACTTGGAAGAGCAATTTTAAGTTTGAGGCATAACATACCTGCTTGATCTTCCATGATTATCGATGAAAGTCACTTAAAAACTAATATCACACTTGCAAAGTCACTTAGATCACTTATCGCCACTTCCAGTTCGCTTTATCCCATTTGTTTTGATGTTCAATGAAATTATTTAAGTTTGACTCGGGATCGACGTTTGGGCGGCATTGATGGCGACCGGGCGACGTCTCGTTTGCGACACAACTGTTGAGAATCGGCCACGACTCCGCGCCGGGGCTCCGATATACCTAATTATATCGATTCTAATCAATGGGAAGCGAAATAAGGGATGTTCTATGTATCGATATAATCTATTCTAATGATTATTAATTTGTATAATTTATGTTAGTACCTATAATGGATTTTAGGAAAAAACAAATAACTTCTTCCAATCGAGCTCAGAGATTAATGATGATTAAAATTATGTAATAAATATATAAAATAACAATTTGTAACGATAGAGAACGATAACTCCAGTCCTATAGGAGAAGTTTAGACCAAGTGGAATTTTTGTCACTTAAAACTATTCCCTAATGACTTTTAGTTATTAAGGATATTCAGCGTGGCTAAAGCGTCCTGAATTTGAATCCTTGTGAAAACCATTTTTTAACGTACGTAAGATGTTTCGGTGAATTGTTAACATTGTTGATTCACTTTTAGAAGTGTCTCATTAATATTCATTGATATAAAATATGCAAGAAAAAGAAAGAATTTTACCTCTAAAGAGTCGATAATTGTGACGTTTTCCTGATAACCTGGTTTTTCAAGGTCAGAATATGTTTAATGCTTCACTAAGCGCCATTTAGTTTTTGTAAGGACGGCTTTACGATTAGCCTCAACGTCTTTTTTCTATAAACTAGAATATTCATGTTGACTTTATTTTTTTATTGTTTTAATGGTTTCTAGTAATTATTCTAGTTTTTCACCCTTTACTAATCCCATCGCCTTCTTGACTCAACGGTTAAACGGGTAAAACAAAATACCTATGTATCGACATAGGAAACCTATTTGCTGTAAGTTTGAAAAAATCGAAATTACGTTTTTTACATCATTTTTATCAGAAGCGCCGACTGCCTCTGTCTGACTGCTAACGGGCAGGGCACAGAAGTCTGATCAACTACTTGCCCGTTAAAGAACGGATCAGTAAAGCGAACACGAAAATGTGTTCGCCCCATGCCCCACGAAGGGGAAACAGGATTTCTCTTTTTTTTTATCAGAAAAAAAAATACTGCGTCGATTGGTCTGGTCTGGTTCTCATATTTTTATTTAATTTTTTTTTAATTACAAATACGTTTTCCTACGTCGATATATACCGGCCGGACAGGGCACAAGCGTTTGAACAAGTGAAAAAAAATCGAAATGAATAAATGAACAAATATAAGGTAATGGAGAACCGCCACCGATATTTAGCGTCGTGTTTTGTATCCGAAGCCGATGTAGGCATGCCTGAATGAGTCTGTTGTAACGAAATTTCGTAGTTGTGTTAGCATTTCTGAAACAGGTTATGGTCATTGAGATGCAAGGAGACCCCATTTTTTACCCTTGTACGAGGGTTGTCTTTTTCGAGTGTTCACATTTCGTTGGATTAAGCAGTAATAATAAAGTCATTAGTATAACCACGTCATTGAAGGTTTTAGGGATTTTTACGTAGCTCGTCTTTTAGTAAAGTAAAATAAAGTTTTTTAAAGTTAATAATTACATTTTAATTTAAAACATGTTTCTCAAGTATAATATTTTTTACAGTGTCGAGGTGAAAACAGGATTTTCCTGCTAGTAAACAAAATGTAATTCATAATGTCTAATGGCTTAGTATTGTACGTTTACTATTGTTTTCTTTTCCCGTTCAAATTAGGGCACAGTTAATGTTGTGGTTTTCCGATGAATTACTTTCAGGTAAAAACAATTTTCCGAATTCGTAGAATTCCATATTAAAGAGCGAATAGTTATCGTATTGCGAAGAATCGACAAAATGACCTCGTATCAGTTTAACATATTCATCGTTTACTTTGGCTAACGGGTCGTGAATTCGATTTTATCCATGATACAATTTCTAATCATAAATTAATAATTAAATCTAATTATGATATTGGTCACAGAAACTGTATCTGCGGTTAAAATTTTGTTTGAAAATTTAAAAACGAAGGACTCTTCATTACTTTGAAATTGTGTAAATTGTGGTCGTGAAGGCAAATAGTGTTTGGGCTGAAAGCGCACGTGTGGCCACAATTAAGTTGACAGCCCTTCCAAGGTCGGCGAGGGATAATGCGTAGTAAAGGTGCGCCCATAATGACGAGTACACAGAGTTGACCCAGACCGACATTACCGCGTCCTTGGCTTTATTTGTAACTTGTCCTGATTAAAGTCTCCCTTCGAGTAACTTTTATTCGTTTGTATAGACGAGAATATAACAAGTAACCGGTGACATCTACCTTTCTCTGGTTCAAAAATCTTAAAGCTTAACACAATTCGAAGAACTTACGTAAAGCTAATAAAAAATATTTGATTTTGAAGAGAAACTTTTCAGACTCGGAAGTTGCGTTCGAACTTTCCACAGTCAACAGTTGTCTGGGTTCTTTTTTAAATTGTTCATTGTAGGGTTGTGCTGATGTGACGTTCAAAAAATGAAGACGGGTCAACATACGCAAGAATCAAATAATTCTAGGGTTTGGGTCCCCATTTTAGCATTATGCATTAGTTTGATAACCATTAGTCACTTATATTATTACTTCGTTTGCGGAAAGCCCCCTTTAAATACTTTCAGTCTGTTCTAACTTTCATTCTTTTCCTCTGCTTGCCCACAAAACTATGCCCAGTGAAGTCTAGCTTGAGATAACCTGGGACCAACGTCTTTGATTTGTAATAGTTCTCCTCCCTAAAATTACTTTTTCTTTAGACTATCAGGGGAGTTTTTCGACTAACTGCTCATACTTACAAATGAATTGATATTATTATTGTTCTCCCTATTACATAGCTTATGTAAATAATACAATTATTATGACGTGTAAAATATGTATGTCAAGTTGCCAACCCTAAAGCGAACTTTGCCCTAGTCCAATGCGAGAGCAAAGTCCAATCCGTGATTCAAGAAGAGAGTATTTTCTTATTTATAGAAATAATTTTCGAGCGTCAAAAAAGCTTTTAAGTAAGAGATATGATGAAATAATAAATATACATTATTTCGTCTCGATAGGCTAACAAGGAAAGGAAGACATTATTTTCCGGACTGCACTTTCCTTGTTTTTCCTTCGAAACAATCATCATTGAGTACTTACACTCTAACTTCAAATGAATCGAGTACCTGCTACCGAACACTTGACTTCGATTACGTAAGATAAGCGGGAACATTTGACTTGGCCGGTTTATTCCTAGTGCTAGATTAGGCCTGTGCTGGGGAAGTACTACTGCTATTCGATAGGATTTCCTTACACTCAGTAGATAAATAATATTTTGGCAAATCGTCATTGTCCCTTACTAGGCGTTTCAAGGCTGCGTTAGGATGTGTATTTTAATGAAAACATATAATATGTATGTTGCGTCCACATACAGATGAAACGATGGATTCACCATTAACAAATATATATAGCCAATAGAAAATATAACCAACCTTTATTGCAAAAGAAAATATGTGTATACAATATTTAATTAAAATGGAATACAATATCGTAAGTTGAAAATTTTGGTTCATGTTTTGGAAACGTTAATACGTTATAAAACATAAGTTATTGCACATGATGACTTTATAGAAATTAAACATCTACAGATTGCAATGTGATGTTATTAAAATATTTTATGAAATTGTATTAATTAAATAATTTAAGATCACATATTCGTAATCTTACCTCACACACCGTGTGCTTAGGCATATCTCCGGGACAGTAGTGGACTACAACATGAATTCAGGTACAATAATAGAATAACAAAAAATAACCGAAACGACATGACCTCCGGCCCGTAAATAACGAACGCTGATATGTAATTATTTTGAATAAGATACAAATTAACAATTAACATTTATTAATTGCTATTTGTCGAAATGGGGGCGTCGTTCGATATTGCACCTTCGCGACGACGTGACAGGTGAACGACCTCTTATCGCCCACGTCACGGTCAAGATGCATCTGCTGTGGCTGTTTCGTGGTGTCGTCGATGGCCTAACGTGTTAATTCTCTATTATACAGATACAAACACACCAGTACATCTAACGACGCAAAAACAATGAGCACAATGGCTAGTCAAAGTGATTTCACTTCTAGTTATATTAGTAGTCAAATGAGTTATTTACTCGTGAATTTACATAATTGTTTGCACTACGCTGTATATTTCTTAGATATATTAGTATAATATTTATTGTTTACTCTTTAATTTATTGAGCTATTATGAGGCCGTGTTTGTAAGTCTTTTTGTCATCAGAGCGAATGCTTGTATGACTGTCGTTAAACGTATATGTTTCATAGATTACATAAGGCTTAGGCGACCTTTTTTGAAAGTTACTTCAGTTTTTTAGCCCCGTTGTCGTTATGGAGCCGTAATTTAAACCTAAGTTTATTGAAATATAATTAATATCATCAGTATTTTCTCCGCGTGCAAGTTGAAACAAAACATAATCAATGAAGTGGTTTATTTTGTTCGGTTAGGAATTGCAACAGTGATCAACGATCTTGAACGAAGCCACGGTGTAGTACCTACATAAGCAATTAAAATACCAATTATATCCAGAAAATCTGAAAACAATACGATACATTTACGTCACAAATTCAATATTGATCAGCAACGCCTTCCTGCAAATTATTTTCAAATCGTTTCTGTTTGCGGCAGATAGCGATCTGGAGGAATACTGAATACTTGAGCATACATTCGTATAGAGCGCGCGATCGATGGTATAGACGGAGCGATCGTAAAAAGCTTGTCCAAATTACCGTATCTATTGTTTTTTTTGAAGTTCATAACTTCTAATATCACTGTCTTCAAATACTTGTAACCCGGGAAAGATTAAACCTATTTTTGGGGTATTTTGATTTCTTTGAAATAATGAATTTAAAGTGGAGACAAAAAACCTATACCAATGTTCGCGTTTTAATTTTCGTCCATACGCGGCACGAAGCGCTCTATATTCCATGTATTCTCTAAGTGAAATACTGTTTGGTCGGCAAACTGGTTGATACACATGCAAACTGTGGAGATAAAATCTTCGTTCTAAGTATATAACGCGGGGAGAGCAAAGCTTACTTCATACTCCGTTGCTAACGTACAATGGCACGGAGCTGTAGGGGTGTGGCGATGGACATACATACAAACAAGTGAAGATGGTGACCAAGACCGACGTGGAAGCGGGAGGGCCAAAGGAGGAGATCCCTCACGACCATCTCTTCAAAGTGACGGGGCTGTCCTCTACCAATTTGGAGAAGTTGGCTCAAGGTAGGGATCGCTCATCGTCATTCGTGGATTCTCATGTATTTTGTGTATCAGAAGCAGGTATCACTGTTAAGTGTTGTCCTAGGTTATTACTGTTAACGATCATATGTAACACGATTATAAAATAAGCCTATGATACAAATATAGTCAACGGTACCGATGGTTTATCTTGTTTCCTTAAAAAACAATTAAACCCATCGACCGACCACGATTTAGAATATCGCCGTAAAATCTCAATAATTGTAAATATATCGTCACTCGGTTTGCGCGCGTCATCGCGACATTCCCAGACTTATTAGAGTTTTATGCGCACTCTGGCCGCGAAGTCCCAATGCGCTCTAGGGACACTGGACACTCGCCAATACCTACCAGGTATTACATGGTCACAGTCTACTAACATGCAGTCGTCAAAACTTCACTTTCGCTACATTTATAAATTGTCTCTTGTGATTTTCTTCATCCTAACTGTTGAATTTGGGTCGTGGAATTATTGGGATTATGCATTTCAATTTTTCACACAAAGTTGCATTTAAACATTTTGCACGAAGCTGGCCGTGACTCCGGCGAGACTTCAAAAATAGCAACCTAAATATTTGCGTACTTTAAGTGACACATTTATTTTATCAGACTGTTTATTCATAGTGAGTGAACGCAAGATCTACCTTGTTGACTGTTTTTTGCAAATATATGACTTTATTTGATTACATCGCGTTCCTTTGTCTTCCAACAACAGCAGTTAAGAAGAACGCGCACTGAGAAGTCGACCTGTACTCGCCGCTTACTGAATTGATTACTTGATTACTGAATGACCAAAGCCCGAGTCATTTTAGTCTTGTTTAGGTTAGGTTTGATTTTTGCTTCTACAAAAAAATTCTCGCATAACTATTACCTCACGTGTGCAATTGTAGACCCGATATCGGACTTCGAAGAGGCGATAACGGCCACGGGATACGGCTGGTACAATGTGGGGCTCATGCTGTGCACTCTGCCCGCCTTCTGGAGCGCGGTGTCCGTCACCAGCGCCACCTCGTACATCTTCACGCGAGCGCAGTGCGACATGGGGCTCAAGTTGCTGGACATGGGGACGCTTAACGCCATCACCTATGGAGGTGGGTAAATAAACAAATAATATCTTTATTGCAGTGATTCGTCATATCCATTCCATACTAGATATATATTTTAATGCCTAAAAATAATAAATTAAAGGAAATATATAAAAACAAAACTATTGGACAGAAATGTAACTCGGACGTACAGACAAAAATATTTACAATTAACAAGTACCTTAAAAACACAATTCGTATAGCTGCTATACTAGCACTAGGTAATCATTGCTGATTGTTTTTTTGCTTCATAGAAAATATGTCAATTTTCTTAAGAGATGTAATATAGTTTAGTAAATGCAAAAATAAACAGCTCGTCTAGAATTACGTACGCGCTACGTTGGCAGAGATTAGCATTTCGCTACTGAAGATTACATTAATTTATAATCTGTATGCATTAACAACGAAGGTGCCTCGTTTGATACGATGAAAGCGGGTATCTTTAATATCTCAAGCTACTACATGTTAAAATAAATATATCTATATCATAAATTATTAGACCACTTCTTCTCCAACATTTGTAATGTGAACACCTAAGTAACTGTAATCTCTCTTCAAAGAATGATAAAAAATGTTTACTATTATAATCATTTCCTGGCTGACTAACATCATTTTTCTCAACTTTAATGGTACTTCTATTTTTTCTAACTGCCGATGTATATACATACTAACTTTGGGCACAAGGAAATGGACTGCAGAACAAACTACATACATATAAAAAAAACACGAATCACGCTTTTATCTTTTAATTGCAATTTGTCAATAAATATTGCATCATTTTTATGACTCTGTATTTAACAGTATATTTGTATAACTGACTTTTTTAAAATGCATGATAATACAGTTTTAGTCGAAAGAGGTTAATTGCACGGTATGATATAATGCTCATACGTGGCAACAGGAATGATCGCGTCAGCCATGTTGTGGGGATTCCTGTCGGACACCCTGGGCCGTCGCAAAATCCTGATGTGGGGATTCTTCTGTTCTGGCTTAGTGGAAGTCGCAGCAGCGATGAGCCAAAACTTCACCATATTACTGGTCACCAGATTCTGTAGTGGCTTTTTGTGAGTATTAGTGGTTTTGTCTGTGTATTTCGTTATTTATTTTCTTAAAACATATATTTATTTACTTATATATATGAATAATATTACATTCACTTTATGGTTTTTCTACAAGAGAACTAAATGACAACTGTTCTGTTAATTCTCTTAAATAGCGTTAAACCGAAATAAAGTTAAAAATGTACCGATACCGTAATGTACAGATTCAACGGCCCCTTCGCTGTATTGATCTCCTATTTGGCGGAGCTCCATCGAACTGAATTGCGCGCGCGCGTCATCCTGCTCACCAGCCTGTTCTACACTATCGCCAACACCAGTCTGCCCCTCTTAGCCTGGGCCATACTCACGCAAGATTGGCACTTCAAACCCTTCGGAGACGTCATCGGTGAGGATTTTTTATGAACACAAACTACTGAACAAAATTCTGTTTCCTTGTCTATTCAATAAATAAATGTACACAATGTTACAACAAACCTCTCTAAGAACCCATATTTGTCCCCATTTTGCATTAGTCTTCTGTTTGCAGTAATTCACGCATGGAACCTGTTCCTATTGGCTGCAGCATTAGTCCCACTTTTGACGGGTGTAGCTTTCGTGTTCATGCCGGAGAGCCCCAAGTTCCTGATGTCGAGAGGCAGAAATGAGGAGGCTTTGGACATCTTTAGGAAGATTTATGCTATGAACACTGGGAAACCAGCTGACACATATCCTGTAAGTGGTGGGCTTTAAGATGTAAACTTTCGTTACGATTACTTAACGAAATTGATAAATTCAGAAGATTATACTGTATACAAAAACTTCGAACGAAAACATCGATAGTTACTTAGCTTGATCAGAATATTATGGGACCAAAAAGAACTTAAGATCTTTGAATTTCCAACGAATAACATCATAAGAGCGACATATGTATAAGCGAAAACTATGTTTCCAGGTTAAGGTGTTGGTGGAAGAGAAGAAGGAGCAACAAGCGCGAGGCTTAGCAGCTCTAAAGGCCGGAAAAGAGCAGATGGCACCGTTATTCCAACCGCCACACGTGGCCTATCTTCTTCTCATCTGCGCCACACACGCCGGGTGTATGTTTGGGTTAGTATTGAAGATACTGCACTTAGAAGGGAAAAACAATTATAAGGAGTCTTCATAATAATATCAGTATCAACTCACCTTAAATGATTATTTATTTGTGAACAAATAAATAACATACCTAGGTCAATGTTAAGCATTTCTTTAAAATAAGTAAATTTACATAGGTAGTTAAATTTTGCGACAAAAAAGAAGACTTAGGAGTAGGTATCTGTTCAAATTCAACCGTAACTTTCTTTACTAAAACGCGATGAAGCATAAAAGAGCCCTTTCGGTCATAAGTCGCGAACAGATATTACTTTCTTTCTTTTCTCCTTCTCCAGGTCAAATACAATCCGGCTATGGTATCCCCAATTAGCAGCCATGATCGGTTCCCACAGCACCGAGAGCCTCTGTTCAGCAATTACCCCAGCCCCACTAGTGGCAGACGAAGAAGTATGCCAACCAATTGAAACCGACCTTCTCACGTATCTCCAGAGTATGGTGGTGGGAGCAGGGTCTATACTCACCTATGGTATTGGCGGGGCGCTTATTAATAGGTAAAAGTCGTTTCATGTCTGGACTAAAAAAACACAAAAAAAAAAGTAATCGTCGTCGATATGATCTCTTTTGCGAGGTCCCTTTATTATTATTGAAAAAAAAGTAACTAAATACTGTCTATAGTTTACGCGAGTAGTACACATTTAAATAAAACACTTTAACGGTTTAAAACGCGATATATTAGTTAAACTTATTTGAAAATGGTTTTTAACTTCGGCACGACGATTTCAATCAAAAAGCAGCGAAATTTCAATAGGGAGGACGGCCTCAAATTATCAAACACCTGGGATCCCATATTGAAAACTCTGGACACCAATAAACAGCATACCGGCAAACGCGAAGACACCGTTATTCAATTCTGCAAGGACCCGGCCAGTTTCGCCAAATACCAACTTCGACGGAACAGATGGCGTAGCAATTTTTACTCAGTCAGAGACATCTTCTATCTTTAGTCTCCCCGTGACCACGGCTGCTGCAAAGCATCCGAAACGTCGGGCCGAAGTTAAAAATCATTTTCAAATAAGTTTAACTATCATATTGCGTTTTAAGCCGTTAAAGTGTTTTATTTAAAAAAAAGTAACTAATAATAATATTCTTTACGGAATATTTTCGGGATGGAATTAGTTACTCTTCGGCCCAAACTTATCTGACTAAGTCCAATTAATCGAGGTTTGATTCTAGCGCAATCAAACACCGACCTAATCTTAACGTTTGTGAAAATGTTCGTCCAACGAAACAGGTGCGGTAAGAAGCTGGTAGCTGGCGTGTGCAGCATCCTCAGTGCGGTGGTAATAGTCGCGATGCCCTTTTTAGGCACCAGCGCAAATGCAGTAGCTGCCATCGTCACGACAGCCTTGGCGCTCACCTCTTTGGCTGGTGCCTCGCTCTCCAGCATCACTGTTGATCTCTTTCCGACCTCACTCAGGTAACACGGACGAGACTCGAACTCATGAACAACGTCAACTACTTAGGCGCAATGTTTATACTAATTTTTTTATTTGCGTTTTCTCTAATAAAATGATTCTACCTTTTGCATCCAATATTTGTATAGAGCGTGTGTTTAAGAAAAGGGCAGATCGATTTATTTGATGTGTACATACTTTTGTGTAGGTGTGTTAGTGTTTGTTAGGAAGAATTAATTATTACATATTGTTTCCAGAGTCATGGCGATGGCGACATTTCTGATGTGTGGCAGACTTGGTACAATATCAGGAACAGTAGCATTCCCTGCACTCATCGACTACGGATGTTTACCACCATTTTTTACTATTGCAGCCGTGTTAATTGGTAAATATATTTATTTGATAAAGCGACATCTAGATAAATAATGTTACACTATATAAAGGTAATGAAACAACCACATATATTACCATTAAACAGTTCCACTAGATTTTACTAGATGGCGCTTTAAACAATTTACAACTGATAAAAAAAAATATTGCTATATATTTTTTTGTTTTAGCTAAATTTAAGGGTATTCGTCATTTTTAATAATTATTTTTGTGTTCATGAGAATATTTTGAAGTAACCTAATTTTTGTGCCTTTCTTGATAATTCCAGTGTGTGGCATTGCGTGTTTCTTCGTTCCCAATACGACGCTCAAAAAACTGGAGTAGGCCGATAACAAAGTTATATTGTTCGTCTTTGTCATTTAACTTTGTCCATACGTGTCATAATGTATATAAAAATTGTAAAATGTAAATGTCCCGTCGTGTAAATATTGTAATGAAAATGCTGTAGTAAAAATATTCTCTTCTTTATTTATAATTTATCATATCCTAATCTCATCCATCTCAGTCAGACGCGTAACAATTATCGGCGAATAGTGGAAAACTGTCGCTATCTACAATATAGCTTTACATATTTTCAACAATGTATACATAATTTATAAGTACGTTACGTATGTAACAGAAAATAAAATGGACCTATCGGCTTCACCATTGTGCCCACAAATAGGCCAGTCGTTCTCGTTTAATCTGTAAAACTGTCAACGGGCATATTTCTATACATTGTTCGAAAATACGGTTGTAAGGCGCTCGATCAGTCTAAGGTAACGACTAAATAGTGTTTTACAACATTCTGTGATAAACAAAATACATTATGTACACGAGTTAACATAAATAAATAACAGATTTCGTTTTTACCACTTAAGTACCTAAAAGGACTGATAGACGATAAAAATTGTTGTGATCCCGATAAGTTAACCAAAGATAGCGGAAAGTGAAGTGCTCGGTCCAAAGACTGGCCAGAAGTACCGAACTAGACAAAGCGAGCTCGTTATAGACTAGAATATATCTTATTGTCAAATCGCTTGCCCTGTCTAAGCACACTCGGTTAAATTCGAGTTTAAACAATTAATTTGTGTATAATTAAGATAATTAATGTATACTTATTATTATAGGCCAGAATTGACTGTATTACCCTATACGTTTACAAGAGAAATGCTCTATTTTTATTGAATTGATCTACACCCAATATGGAATTGATTTAGCCAGGAGTACATCAGTTGGCTCCGGTCTTAATAGAGTGACGGTGTACACCAACTTAGAGCATTTCGTCTTTGCTTTTAAATATTATAATTATTTGAATACAACGCAAGGCACAAAGTTGAACGGTTACAATAATTACATCTACTCAATCGATTGGACTTTTTTCTCATTTACGATGACAGATCTTTGAAACATTAATCTAGGGACGTTGACCCCACAAAATGAGATATTTAATTTAAAATGCGTTACACACAGCCCTTATCCACGTCTCGTTACAAAATTACTCCATATAATATAGATTTTGTACAAAAAATAAACAGCCTGCTGTCTCACCATGAGAATAATTCCTTCTACTCATCCTTTTCAAGTAATGTGTTGCTGTTTCTTTCAATTTAAAGTAAGTCGAATTATAATTATGGCACGACAGCACAGTAACCAAAACTAACAATTATTCCTACGCTAAGGTAAGGCATATGGTTATAAATAACTATATATATAAAATCATTTACATTAACTTTTATATACAGTCTCGCGTTTAAAGCAGAGTTTATACAAGTACTACGATTGTACAGTTTTAACAATTAATCTGGCGAGTAATGACTTTGTGAGTACGACATCGGAATTCCGGTTTAATCTCGGTTAGAAATCACAAGATCACATTGTACGTAACTTCGACTCGACTGCCAAATTGTCGCTCACAATTTGACGGAGTTTGAACAACATTTATCTTTTTTACGCCATAAACGGCGAGAAATCATTCGTAATAATTTAGGTGTCGCTATACACAAATTGGTTGTATGTACAATTGTAAAAATAAATATTGCCAGAAGATAAAATAAAACGCCACTCCAATCACTGGGCTAACCAGAAGAAATGCATCTCGAAAGAAACGGACCGAGTGTTCGTCATGGTTCCAATTTCTCACGCACAGTTGAGTCACTTCACTTCACTTCGCGTCCGATTTACGTCAGCTCGGAGGTGCCAGGAGGACTTCCAGCCAACAGGGGCACGCCGTCACGTCTCGCCGGGAGTATTTGGGACCCCAGCCCTTGGCGAACGATATCCTCACGGAGCGAGGGTCCACCGGGCCCACGTGCGGGAGGGACACGGCCGGAGGGGGGCAGGCCGGGTCGAAGATACAGAGGCAGTGGCCGGGGGCTACGCGCCAGACTAGTAAGGCTTTCGCCGCCGCTGCATCTAAGGCCGGCGAGCTGACGAAAACCGGCTCCTGGCTTCGATTGTAGAGCCAGACCCCATCCGACTCCAGGGACAGAGTCACGCCTAGGCCGATTTTCGCACGAGTTTTCCGCACCTGGAAAAAGTAAACAGTTTATGAGAAACAGTAGAAGATGTACATTAATAATTATCCTAAGTTTTGTTGATGTAGCAATACTGTATGCACCTCGTGTATAGATTATAGAAGTAAGTAAATCATAAACCTTTAAATTAGATAACTATAATATACACTATGGTAAGCGTTGTTATATCTTTATCAATGTTGAAATTATCCCCCCCTGACATCTTCCGCACATAATAAATGACTTTTTCGACGTTCGCATTGCCGTCAACCTTGCTCGTGTAGGCAATGTCTAGATGTTTGAGTCCTGGTCGACGTGTTACAATGTCTACTCATAGACCGACATCTGCGAACGTAAAAGGCAAGTGGAAGGATAGAGGCCGGTGTTCGCTGTTATCTTGGGTTATCGGAGCCCGCTCTCCGCGCTAAAACAATTACAGAGGCAATCGAAACGTTTTCTGTCCTATTCATTAATTTAGATTTATAAACACCTAAAGTTTCGGTTATAGCGACACACCGACTTTGAGAGAGAGACTTTTAGACCACCACTTTAATGGCACAATGGCGAACTTCATGGCAAAACGTTGGACCGTAGTCGAAAGTCAAATGGCCGATCCATCGATACGTCATATCTATGACCTATTATTGATGGAAGAGGCTTGTTACTTCAATTTGCGGAAGATGACAAGTTTTTTAATTAAAAAAAAATTAAATAAACAGATTAACCGAATAGCTGTTTTTAAACACAGACACTGTGAACTAGTGGACTGTGATTGGACGGTTCATGTCGGTAGATGGCGCAAAGTACAAACCCCAAAATAATGAAGGGGCGTGGAAGGCCCACCCGACTCCGCCGCGAGTGACGTTGACAATGAGCGGCGTATCAGGCTGCGATCCGAAAATAAATCGATAACAATAATGTGGGGTCATCGTTCAATTCGGCTAATTGTATCGGCGCGTACGCGTCATGCCCGAGATCACGTATGCACTCTCTTCCCTGCGTTTTGCGCCTTTTCGCATTCGCCAAAGAGGCGTCATATAAGTGCTCAGGCGCTTGTTTCTTAGCCAATAACCTTCCTATCTTTTTATTGTCGTTTAAATAAACGAAATCATATTTATTTTATTCATATGTAACTTTTAGATTCTACACGAAAAGAACAACTCAATCTTTGATTGTGAAACACAATATGATCATTTATGACGTAGCTGATATCGAGATATTTAAATTGTAATTTAAGAATAAATATTGTAGAAGTTCAATCATCGTGAATTCCTTTGAAAATAAAAGTGTACATTTTAATGATATAAAAGCGCCTTATCACGCGCTAATTACTTGCGATCGTGGGAGCATATTACACAGATGTTGTGTATATTGCGTCACGGGATTTCCAATTAAATGGACTATAAAAATTCTTCTAGCTTTCTTATAAACAAGTATTAGGTTTTAAGCGAATTTTAAAACGATATTGTATTAAGGTTACCATTACGGTATTATTCATTCGTGTAGCTAATAGCAAGAAATAGAGATCTAGCATACAGCGCTTTATGATTGTATGACAACATATAACTCGTATTCGTATGCTTTAAATCTTAAGTCAACGACCTCTGCACGTCACTTTCGTATAAAAACTGTGTGCATCATAGAATCAGCAATGTACCTGTTCAACTTGCGGTTCCCGCGTGTCCAGTGCGTCGAGACATAGGCCGTGCCTGCCCGAGCCACAAGTGCCTCCTCCACCGCCGAACACATCGACCGCCCTCACGCGGACACTGAACTGGCGACCCACTCGCTGCTGGAGTTCCCAGTAAGCCAGCCGACACCATTCGGTCTCCCAGGTTTGACGCTCTGTAAAGAGGCACAAATGTATTTATTACTACATATTTAAAATTTTCATATTTATGACAGAAGTGGTGATTAGACTTAAAAATGATTAAATACTCGAGCCATATAACATCTAAAGGAGATGCGTGGTCGACCTATTTTAGCTTCAGACCGAATGAATGAAACCGAACCGCGATTAAACTCAACAACTTTTCATCTGTAGACCGTAGTTTTGTTGATACTATAAAATAATTCTTAATATTGTGTTTTAAGACAACTTAGGGAAAGTAACCTTTTCCTCCTAACTTACGACTTTTTAGATGTCACATCTGTGTGTAATAAAAAATCCTAATTAGTTAAATGTAATGAAATACACAAATCACTTGTTCCAGAACGGAAATGACCGCTTAACTCTGAAAAGGTGTGACACAATATTTGCTCCGCGTTACATCATATTTTTTCAGGAACTTGGCTCCAATGTGACGACTTGATGGGTGACGCCATTCCACTAATTAAACCACTACCACTCGTTAATTGGCACTCCTGAAATAGTGCGCCTATTTCTTCTTAACACTTCGCGACGCACACTGGCAACATCGCTTTCCACTCCACATTTTCCTCTCTCATTTTCTCCCCTTTTTCATAACTTTTGAATAGCGTTCTACTCCTCGATGAGCGTTACCGATCAATGAAGATCAATTGAAAAATAATGATATTCATATGAGAATCCTCAAAAAAAAACAGTTGAAAAATTCACAGATGTAATCTGCCAAACTTTTATCCTACACGAGACAAGGCAGTCATTTCTTAATCTTTTAGTGTCAGTAGTAATCATTTAGGAGGGACTCTTTCAGTCTCAATATGAAAATCCAAAAAGCAGCTGGTTAACAAATCCAATAGAAATGTGGTGTGGTGGCGACAGTGTGGCGCCAGGGCGATCGATAGTCAAGGTTACCGCCACCAGAATCGTGGGACTTATCACCACTCCTCTCTTGTATACATTCTGCCATGGGACCTACTTGTGGACTGAATGAATACTCTTGTGTTTTATTGCTTTTTTTTTGTTGGAGGGCCATTTTCCAGACACAATTGCGTTATTAATATTGTTTGTTCATAGCCTACATATGTTTAAAACACAAATAATTCTTCGCTGACCAATTGTTTTGGAGTAATATAGGACATTGCATTAGAATCGAGCAGTAAATGCTCGCTCGTCTAAAACTAGGACATCTATCGATTGAAAGAATGCTAAATATTTGCAAGATCTCTGGCCCCGTAGACGTTTATCCTCACTTTATTTATTTATTTGTGTTGTCACGATGATTATGTTACATTGACTTTTGCATAAGAGACAAACGGTTTATTCAAATATAGATTTTCGCACCTTTCCCGGCCAGGGAGTAAAACAAAGCGAAATATTCAAGGGTTGAAAAGTGGGAGCCGCCCTGGTGGCCCCTGGTGCCTGTGGCTCGATATAGCACAGAGAAGACAAGGAAAGTATGAAGTCTCGAGAGCGGTCGTCGACCGGGCAATTGTGGCTAATTGAACGCAACTACAACCTTCGCTCGTGTACCGGCGCCGCGTCATTGAAATTTAATACGTGCGCAGCTAGGAGCAGACTTTAATGGACAAGTTAGCCGGGGGTTTGATCTCCGGTTATGAACCAAAATAATTTAATAAGTAAGTTTATTCGTAAGCTGAAAACGACCTTCCTAAGAATGCTGAAGATAATAACTGAGTAATGGCAAAATTATAAAATTGGAGTAACGCTCCTCTTGAGGCTCCTTTAGATGTGGTGGAACCCTAATGAAGCTCTTCTTCGAAACTTGGAGCATCTAGGAGTATCGTAATCTCCTTCTTTATCTCGACAGTTGAAACACAGTCTATAAATTTCCACATTTTTACATAATTATTTTTTAATTGATACAAAAGTGTTATTACGGTCAATAATTCATGATTTTATTTAGATTAGGTAGGCAATTCCTAGTTTATATATGCATGGTTAAATTTTTAAGTGATGTGATGTATGTATGCTAGATTCAACCCCGGGACTCTAACATCTTAGTCAACCTAATCTCTAAACAAATAGTTGTAATGTGGCCTTGTACCTTCGCCATCAGTAGCCAAGGAGCCCGTTGCCTGCAGCCGCTCGTGGTCTGTCCTCCTTGCATCTTGTGTGTTTTCACCTTTCTCTGAAAAAGAAAAGCTAATTCAGTGATTTTCAGTCTCGAATCTTTATTAGACGTTGATATTCACGCCATCTATTTAGTCGAGTCTACTATACATATACCTTCTAACATTCGGACACACAGATGCCGCCACGTTAAGATCAAATATTGAGATGGCCGCGGTCAAAATGACATATATAAAAAATGAGTGATAAAGTTCCGTGGAACGAGTTAATCGAGTTCTCGATGACATCAGAATCTGGACACCTGCGCAGACGCAGCCGCCGAAATGTTCACTTTAATCCGTACCTATGTTCGTCAGCTCTTTTTGACTTCGGTTGCCGTGGGGATATTTTACAGCCAAATCGATCATACAATATTCGAGAGACACACTTTTAAACACGTTCTCATGTTTGTGTTACGAGTGAAGATACGACTGCAAAATTAACGAGTGTTCTACCATCCGTCTTAAGTTAATTTCCCGCAAGCGACGCCGGGATCAAAGTTAGGTATATAATCAATTGTGATAATCTTAAAATATTACTGGAATCATAAAGACAAATCGTTTAGACTTATTATTTTCGTGCCTTAATAAAACTGTTATCTATTTATCGCGGGCAGTTCCGTGGGTAGGTGTAGTACATATTATTACAGGCGTACGAAGAAATTAGCATATTGGAGATCATATCAAGGCGAGACGCGGTACAGCCTATATGTTTACGTCTAAAAGCTTATATGTTAAGTTTTAAAGATAATTCCTTACTGTTTAAATAGATAGATAGTCGTTTCTAGTTAATCTAATGATTTTAATTCTAGCAAGGATAGGCCCCGAGTTACTTCAACGCAATTAGTTTATAAATCGTTAGTCAATATTGAAATCCAGAATTTAGGAAGCAAAACACGAGGCGCAATATTTGGTAGAAATAAAACAAAACTAGAAATAAATACTGAATATTAACGAGCAACTAAAGCGCGGCGCCGAGAACGTTACACGTTATTGAAAACAGTTTAGACACGTGTAAATTGTTTAGAAACGGCTTCCTTCGCTTTATTATTATTCGATATTTTCTCATTGGAATGTGCTTCCTGTGAACCTCGATCAGCTGACGACGAGGAATGCACTCAAGCCGAAGATTACGGCAAATCAACGCGTTAGGTTTTTAGAACTTTTAGGCTGAAATAAAAGATGAAGAATTCGGGTCAGCTTAAAGCTATGTCAAGTAGATGCTACTAGTAGAGAGAGTAATATAGGTATTTTTTGAAACATTTCCGAATACATGTACAATCTTGTTGCAAATAAAGGTTTATTCATATTTACTCCGTCTTGTAATAAATTATTTATTTTCACTTTCATTAAAGCTATTTTAATAAATAACAAAAACGATCACTTTTTACGACACAAAAACTAACAATATGGAGAATTCAATTCTTGGTTTCATCGTAAAGTAACGAATGCGTGTATTTTATGAAATGGCGGTCAATTTAAGTTAAGCTTTGAAGCACAATAGCTTACCTCGAAATGTATGCATAGCTATTTGGATATTTCATAAGTTATAGTTATCATAGCATTTATTTACTCTGGTCTCAAAGATAAGAGAATGTTATGGAAACTGAAGAATTTTCAGCTATTACCTATCAGTTGACTAGAAGTCTCACTATTTAAGCTTTCGAACCGAGGTGGAAAGGCACCCTATTACTAATACATACATATGACAGTACAAATACTTAAGTCGCGCAATTACAATAAATATGTAAGGGTATATAAGTTTCTTCCATCTGAATCTATTCAATCGTACGGAACCTTTGAAGAGTTGAAGAGAAGAAAATATAAGTACCTACCAAGTGGTTATCTGATCTTTCTTTGTTAAAAACCGACTCTTTTAAATTGGGTATCATACTATAATCAACGTGCCAAGTGTCAGCTGGGAGGAATTTTCACCGAATTCCGTAGGAAGACGAACTGGTGTGTCTAAGGAACGAGAAGCAGTTGAAAGCTCATCGACTGTAACCGTAGCTCTATAAGCCTAACTCTCATGTATATTAGCTGAGCCGATATCATTAAAGCTGAATTATTTAAAACTCTATATAGGTACAAGAAGGGGCAAATAATTTAAATTTTGAGAACGTCATCTACAAACATCAACAATCTCGAAGTACAAACCGATGGGAGCCGACCTGACACTCCAACGCCACATTTCAGTGTCCGCGTCTTGTTTGCAGAGCGATCGCATTCGCGAGCAGTCGGCTACCAACCCAAATAAACATTTAAAAGCGATCCCGACTGAAATAACCGGCGTGTCACCCCGACGGGGTCTAGCGCCTCGCTCGCGCCCTTCGCAGTGCGATGTTTGTGATCTCCGAATTGTGTTTAATACAAGAAGATCTTCAATTACTTAAAATACGCCAGCACTACTATGGAAATTATATTGTACAAGAGAAAAAATGTAGGTACATTAACAGAAAAGCTTGTTAAGTCCCGGCTACTGCTAAGCACCCGAAACGTCGGGCCGTAGTTAAAATAAATTAAATATATTATGTTGTTACAAAGTGTTTCATTAGAAATGTGTAGTACTTCTTGCGTAAACTATAGACAATATTTTAGTTTAAAAATGTTATTATTAATTCTGTTTTATTATTTAAACTACTGCAAGTAAAAAGGCTTCGTGCTTATTTTTAGATTTACTGCAATATTCCTGCCCTGTTTATGCGTTTAACTTAAATACATGAAATGCAATCGACAATCAATCGATTTGAGCAAAACAACCACCCACCGAGAAATCCAAAGTGTCGACAAACGACATGTGTTTAATTAGGTGATGTAACGATCTAATCGATATAATCAGTTATATAACGCGGCGATAACGATAATTGTCTCGCACTGCAATCGCCGAGTGGCACTCGAGAGGACATCGCGAGGGTAGTCACCGAACGCGCGAGGACAGCAGAGACCGGCCCCGGAGCCGCTCGTACACGTCACGTACGGCGGCCGAACGGCGCCGGCGCTTCGATAAGTGACGATAACGTTAATGGATACCGGCGTTATCGCGACACTTCGATACCCGCGAGAAGGGACGCGCTCGCTTAGGGCGAGAGTCGGTTCGTTAAAAGCCCTTTTAACCTCAACGGTTAGGGTTGAGAGTCCGCTATCTGGTGGCGCGGTCGTCGCCCGACTTCGGTATGAATGGATTCGAGGAACCACGTGAGAAACGCCGCAATGGACCGCTAGGGATGGCGCAGGTAACCGCAACCGAACTGGCGCTGAACCGAACCGCGGCGACTGAGATAATACCTGAAGACTCCGGGATAGACTGTCTTATGGCGTACAAGTCAACCAAAGTGTATTTTGACCTTGACTACTCTACTCACATTATGTCAGAAATGTTATTAGCTCAGCCAGTTCACATTTGTGTAGAATAAAAATCTTTCGAACGCGACTTCGGAGCACAACACTTGCCCAATAGGAATGTCGCCGTCGGCCGTATCGGAAAAAAGAAGGTCCAAATGGCGACATCCATTCACTTCGTCCCGCGATACGGCGCTCGTATCGCTCTCGAATAATATTAAGATAGGCCAATGCACCGCACCAATTAATTTTCCATCACTTTTTCACATGCTTTTAGCTCTTACGTTTTATTGCTTCGGCTAACGAGGTCGTATATTCCCAAGCCGTTTACGAAAAGGCCGCATCATCAACGATAAGACGAATGCGTTCGCGGCGGAAAACGTTTAGGAAACGTATGTGAACCTGGCATTAATTACGAAAAGGGCCCGGCGAAGGGGTGGAACGAACGATTAATGCGCAGACAAGCGTCAAATTAACTAAACGCGGGGGCGGAGGTCGTCTGTACTCCCGGAAAACCCTATGATGAATGCTGGCAATCCCGGGTGGCGAAGAGTCGAGTTCGCGACGGGAGTCCTGCGGGAACATCGATTGGAGATGGGGATTTCCTGTGACGTGTGGGATTTACACCGGATTAGGCCCAAACAAAATTGATATGTTGAAAGAAATTTCTACGACGTAAATTGCATACAACAGGGCAAAACCAAGCTAATTCTTAACGGCAACTTGTTCTGTTGTCTCGTGAGCTTATCAATTTGTCGTGAAGCAAAGACAAATACAAAACGATTATGAGAGGTCTTTATTAAAAACAAATACATCCTCCCCGTAGGGATGCAGTCGGGCGAGGGAAAAAAGTGAGTGATGTTTGCCGTAAGCATTAATAATGTAGTTTAAAGATGGCGACCGCCGTCGGAATGCGCACGGGCGAGGGCCCAGCTCCGTAGGGTTGCGTAAGAGTCGTCTAATCGACTACCTGCCGTACTTTATTAATGGTGAAAATTAATCAGAGAACCGTTTCGTAATTTTTACGGCGAATATGCGAGCTGAAGTATAGAGAAGTGCGAGGTACGCGTCCCCATATTATTATCAGCTTAAACGTCTAGAGATAAAGTTACGTCGTTTCTGACATTAACATTACAAAACGATTCCGCCCGCTTTGCATACTGAGAAACGAGAGTGCACGAGGAAATAGTGTTGCGATAAACATCGACTATCGACACATTTCGCATATCGAGTAGCGAGCGATGCGCGGCCGCCGTTTAATTAGCAGATAACACTGTTTGCGAAACGGCGCACTTATCGTCACGGTCTGTTTTTAATGTCGAAGATAATTCATTTTTATCGCGTTTAATGTATTCGCGCGTTCGTTAGATTCGTTGACATTGTACTCAAACTTTATCGTAAAAAAACAAGTCTTACGCTAGTGATACGGCACAAGTGCGCCGCGTGTTCTGCGAATAGACGCGAGAGGCAGCCCTAGCGATCCCGAATTTCCAGGAAGCTGCGCGGGCGCCGGCCCTCGCCCGGATTCCTCGATCTTCTGCGCTTTCGAGATCTATGATCTACTCTGACGAACGCTGAATCATACCGCTTTTGAACTGGCGATTTATTGTCCCTACATTTAGTTCGGGGCATTTCGTACTTTGCGTTGGCTCTGTGTGAGGCCGACGGGTCCGAATAAAGTACTCAAATATGTTTCTACCTCAACTGCCATTTCATTGAGTCGTAGTAAACCTGAATAATTACTTAAAATTGGGAGATCAAAACGTTTTCGGCTTCGTGTATTCGTTGCTTTAAAGCAGACAAACTCCTAAAATCTCGATTCGCCACTAAGGCTTAGTTGAATAACTCACCTTTGCTTTTGACTTCCTCCATTGCTAGGCGACTGTACGGCGGCGGAGGCGTTTCTGAAAACAATACAATAATATAACTATAAATTGCAAGGAACCTAAATTAAGGTTACAACTTTTTACATTATGGCTATTTAATCAGACCATTCAACATGTAAACTAAAACCTGCCATTATCGAATCGACTTCCCCCAAGGCTAAATCAATGGTTAACCGACCGAAGAAATAATTACGAGGAAATCGAACCGGCGATCCTGTATTTTGGGGCCATAAACTGGTGTCATTTGGGTTTCGAAATTGTCAATTTTGTATCATTAAAAACATGTTACCGCTGTCAAATTGTGGGGAAATATAATATCACCTGTCTAGTATTAAAAACTTGTTACTGTTATATTCTCAAAAAAAACTGAACAAGAGTGGTAAGAGATTCTGTTATTCTGGTTATTTCTGGCTCGTACGAGGTGACATGGGTTTCGGGCGGAATTCGATGACGGGTTACAGAACAGCGCTGCATCTATCGATCGATGTAAATAAGCCATTAAATAAAAACGGCACGCGCGAATGGCGAATCGAAATTTTCGGGCGCCGTTTACCTTTTTGAATTCAGAATGCGTGTGTCATTTGCGATTCGGCGCCGGCGGCGGCGGACGTGTGAACTTTGAATACGATTTAATAAATCAATTTCAATAATGCATAACGATGCTTCGGAACGTGTGCGGTGATGTACAGTTCTGAGAAAATTTTAACGGCGCATACGCGAGACCGAAGCCTCTGAACAATCGACGTATGCACCTGCACGTCGACTCGATTCTCCGGATCGAATTATGACATAGAAATAACAATGAATCGCCATTTATAGGCCTCCGTTTCGGATCTCGATTACGTTTACGAGCGTCGCTCGGTGTTTTCAATCCTAACTAATAGAGAACCGCTCCGATAATGTTAAACTAGTATAAATCATCGACTTCGTCAAACATTCCCTTGAATCCGAAGGCGTTTCTTTGAGACACAATGAAACAAATCAGCACGCATATATACGCACTCCGCAATAAATGAGCCGATTGTTGACACAAATATCTGGCAATAATTAGCTCGTATCTTCGCGCGGGTGTCGCTCGGATGAGCTATCGAGCGCGATTCGGTGAGAAATTCCCCCGCTCTGAGTCATGCTCCGGCTCCACTCAAAAAGTAAGAGTAAATAATGCAAAAGTAAATGACCCTAAACGTCTCGCACTATAAATAATAACGCGCGGCACATTTTATGTCCGTCTGTCTAATATAAACGCGAGGAAACGCGAGGGAATGCGAATATCATGAAGCGTCGTTTCGTTGCCAGTGTTCGCATTGGGCTTTTTAGTAACGAATGTTGACATCAATTATTAGAGAGAGAGTTAAGTTTAGTTTCAATTAATTCGATTAAGGAATTCTGGAGCTTAATACAAATTCTAATCTTTACCTAATCTAAACCGAATTGCTTCGCACATTTTCATAAACGTCATTCATGCTGCACAATACATTGCATATTTGGAAACTCCGGATGACTTGCCCGGACTGAGCTCATCGATTGAATAGATATTCGTAGCAAAGAAACGAAAAATCACATGGTCCCTTATTTGTATAAACATACGGTATGCAACGTGGCGTGACCGCACCGGCTTTAGAATCATTAAGTCATAAGTGCCTCAATTGAATATGTCAAAACGGATTCTATAACAGAAACAGTTAGGTTTACTTAATTGGACGTACTAGCGGCGATAGAGCGACGAGCGAATAACGACTGTAATTTTTCCAATATAAAGATTAAATTTCAATGGCTCGAGTCGCAAGATCGTATTTCAATTAATAAAAATATCTGACGATCGAAAAGCGACGGTGGACCGAGCGGTTAGAGTCGTAAATAGCTCGGATCGAATGGAATGCCGACCGGTCGTAGTAAATAGTAGGTATTGAAGAGTAATGCAGTGTTAAGTTATATTTTGATACGAATGCGGATCGCCGAGTCGACACAAATCGAGATAGTTCTAGATCTCGACGAAAACAAAATCGAGCAGAGGGTTTGATTATGGGAGGATCTAGAAAACATTTGGAGGCAGAGTCATTGCGATATTGTGGACGTTGAATTAATAAAAACGTATTTAAAATTTGGCATTATAAATTTTAATATACACCTTTACTTAGAAAATCAAGCACACAGAGAAGAGAAATCGAAAAGGATCGGGTTTTGAATCAGAACCAATAAATACGTTCGCCTCGTCAGTTTGTCCTTCGATTAGTGCAAAACCGGTCGTCTAGAATTAATTGCTCTATCGGCGGAAACCATTACCACATTTCTCCGTCGGTTAAGGGTTATCTGTAGTTGCAATAAAATGTAACTTAATTAAATTCGCCGGTCGGCTCATTTGAGTCTCCGAAATCTTTTTAGGAAATGAAATACCATTTCCTGGTCTGATGATTATTGACAGTTCTATTTTTGTTATGTTTATTCTGCCTTACAATTTAAAGCCATCGATCGAGATTTCATTGAAAAATCAAAGTAGACATCAGAATAGGAAAATAATTCTCTAGGTATAGGTACCAAAAGATTTTACCTAAAAAACCGGGTCTCAATAATGTTTGATTACTACATATCAATTTTACAAATACAGAGGGAATAGAACGCCCATTTGAAGAGACAGAAAAAACAAACAGATTATAAATAGACAATTAAGCACAAAGCGCCGCAACCAGGAAGAAGAGTCAAGGACAATAAAGACGAATTAATGCGCTTTGAAGAGCTTTAAATTATTTATTGGCCATGTTCTCGAGAGCTCGAGATAGGCCGATGTTTAGGTGAATCATCGCTCATAGCTTCCAACTTGATACCTGACTACACTAAACGTAAGACATTCCCTAACCAAACGAGCTACCGTGTCACGGTATTATTTTATAATCGGTTTTTAATTTGAATTTGTCTGTTTATTTCTATATAGTCAGGTTTTAACTGCCGTGTCTGGCACTGAACTGGTGCAGCGGAGATGTAGGAATTCAATAAGATGTTCAATAAGAAGAGAATAGAAGGTGTCCGTAGGTACTCCATTAGCGTCCGAGCAGCGAAGTTTAATATTGGAAAAAACGGTATACGCACGCAACGGCGCACGCGTGTGAATCGCCCGAAATAGCTCGCCCGAATTATAACACGTCGGATGGCGCCAGCCGCTAGTTAGCTCGCGCCCACGCAGCGCACGCGTATTTACTACCGATATCGGCCAAAAACACGATATTCACGTTCGAATCGCTTTAATATTCATTCGCGGGCTCGATCGTCTAGTCACCGGCTCAACTGCGCAGCAAAACATCGAAAATACAGTAGCCCACCGTGTACATGTAATATCGAAGTAAGGTGTCAGAGGTATTCTACCTGGAATGGGTAGGTACGTGAGCTACTATCTAATATCTTCGTTTGAGACCAGGCACCATTATAGGTATCTTATCATCGTTAATTTAGATGTGTATTTGCAAAAATCACTTAGCATTTATCCCTGTTATCTTAAAACCGGCGATCTTAAGGGCCAAGGTCGCAAGATAACTTTGTTCCAGGGCGCCCGTAACGCGTTAGAACGATCGCCCGAGCGAATTTTGAAACGAAGCAGATAGGAACAGGATTTCAGATTTATCAGCGAAAAGATAACGAAACTCGAAAGTGTTCGTCGATCGTTTAAAGCATTCGTAGTCGCAGTAGATGTCTCAAATGCAGTAAACAAGATCATGCGGCGCCGTCGCTGACGTCAAAAGCGCGGATGCCAACGCGACGCGAGGAGGAGTGGCCGAAAGAATGCAAAGCTGTACCTGTCCAGGCCTCCGCTAAGCTCACAGTGGTACATTGAATGTAGGCGGAGATTAGCCACCTCGGACACACCTCATTTGTCGTCCTCCGGCCACATTAATACGCAAAACTGTGCACGTCTATGTTTTATTCAGTTTCGTCTATTATTATTCCACCTTTGACAGTAAATACCGGCCACTTTTGCATAGATGATAGCAAATTAACTTCGAAAGAAATAAAAACGAAACTACAGACTACAATGACTGATGAAAGAATTAATACGATGTAGTCGGTGAAGAGATTATTTTACATCTTCAAGGAAGAATGACACCAAACGCAGGTGAAAGTGTAAAAGTGGCTAAATCAATAGAAAGGAAAGCGGCGACCATTGAGGATGTCAATCGACGATCAAATAAATAAGTCGGAGCCGACCGGAAGAATCCGTGACGCATCCAGCATACGAAACGACAATTTGGACGAACCCTCGCACGACAAAATACTCCTTTGATCCCGATTTACGATAATAGATAATGATACGGCGCTCGCACATAGGAATTTCAAGAAAATTTATATTATCGACGCGAAAACTGTTATCTCTCGCGATTTTATTTTATTTCGACGACACACTTCATCTTGCGATAAATTATACTATGAGGAATTGTATTATGAATTCCTTAGAGGCAATAAATTACTTCCACCGTTTACCATCGAAATAAAGTGGAAGACTAGGTAAAACAGAAATCGACCGGTTTCAAGTAAATACAAATGATTATTTTATGTCAGCAACAATTCGAACATTGTTTTCTAAGTAACGTTTAAATTGTTCGTTGAACAATACGAAAGAGAGCTTTCGCCTCGCATCGGCTAATCATTGGCGATCACCGCGATCAGCGATGAAGCATCTTTTATAGCCCATATAATTCGGGCGTTCAAAAAGAATTCATTAGCACTAATTAGTGGGAAATTTGAGGCTAATTTCTCAGTCCAATCACGATATACAAATTAAGATGATTAAATTCTTGATGAGATAACATCTCGTGCGGCATCTTTGGTGCCGAATACTTCAGATCTCGTCGCCGCTTTGGAATACCACTTTTAGTACTGGATACCGTCAAATCACGCATTTCAGAATTGATATCGTCGCATGTCACATTATACAAACGAATAGTTTATTTGTCCTTTAAAATCTAGTCTCGGACATTAGGAATAAATTGTGACGTAAATAATATTATTATGTTAAATAAATATAATATCGACGTCGTTACGTAATGTGGTTATCGTCAGACCTCTAGAGGCCCCTCGATCGGTATAAGCCACAAAATACGATTTTATAGGAAAACTAGTTATCGAGATAATATGATCAATTAGCACAAACTTCATACTAGTCCTTTCAAGAGGCGCGTTTGGCATTTCCCAGTCGCGTTGTGAACTTGCCGAGGCCTCAGTGCCCGTGTCTTTACGAGGGCTTCTACGAATTTACCTTTTTACAAATGCCGTGCAGAAAGGAAAATATGTAATTTTTACTCAAACGAACGTGAAGCTTTACAATCTTGCGTTGAAACAAATAAAGGAAAATTCTCGATTTCCGCGAACCGAAGTGAGCCGTCAATTACTAGACAATCGGCATAGCATCGCCTTAAATGGGCATCGTTCATGAAAATGTAAAGAGCTAAATACTAGAATAATTCATTGATTCCAATAATTACAGGAAAATACTTGAAGTCGGACGAAATTGCTGCGGAGCGATAGTAGCTCGAACCCGCAAGTGCCCATGTAAACAAAATTACAGTGCTCTAACATTTGTAGATCGAGTTAACAAACTAGTTTTGATTAGCGGCGTCGTCTTTGTGAGCTTTTAAATAGTGGTAAATGGTCTTTTATTTGTAGCTTACACGTCCCCGTGCGCGCTGTATGCAACAATTGAATGAAATTAAATGGTACCTAATGTGTGAATTTTGCTGGAACGAAAGTTACCACAAAGCGGGAATTCCTAATTTTAAGACAATTAAAGCATGCACTCGTAGCAAGAACGGCATGCGCCAGTGACCGCGACAGAATAGTTTCACTATGCGTCAAGCATTTGGCCTGCGAGCCCAAAAGGATTTCTATCTGTTAGCCCGTTGCATCCTGTAGCATTAAACATTAAAATGTATATATTAATTACAACGTACAATTTTAAATGAAGGATTAGAGAAAAGATTTCTACTTAAGGTTCTTAGACAACATTCGAGGATCCAATAGCGCTGAACACAATGGCAAAAGCGTTACACAAGAGATAGCGAAGTTTCTAAAGATTAAATCGGAAACTAGCGAACACGCCGTTGCGTGACTTATTACTTGTAAAACAATCATCTCGGCTCCCATACAAAACTGATAAGGCTCAAATCCTGAGAAAGTTCCATTCAGACACGAAAACCTTCAGTGGATAGACGAGGCGCGATAGAATAGACCGACAGGCCTGTTTAGAAATTCGTACTGCCGTAAATTGTCACTTGTATCCTTCGCTTGTCAAATTGTCTTATGTGCTGTGGGCGTATTATATTCTATACTAATATTAGAAAGGTGAAGGAGTTTGTTTGAACGCGCTAATCTCACAGCATTATCGAGGACGGCTTTAGGCTATAATAGCATCGCGCTGTGACAGACAGGATTAAAGAAAAAAAGGGGGAAATTATTTATCTTTAAAAGCTTCCGTTACGTGCACAGCAACGGTTCAAGATATCCATAAAAATATGTATCAAAGAACGATTCCTCTATAAACAATAAAAAAATGTCTGGGACAGTGTAATATGTCTATCTTTTAAAATTAACTTTCAAAAACGACGGGACGCGGAATACGTCGTAGGTAACAGTGGTTTGCAAAAACTAATTTTGATGGCCAAACTAACTAAGTATTCTACGCGGACGATTTCGCGGCCACGGCTAGTATAATATAAAATAGCGAACTACGAACATAAGTAATAAAATTGCCCCGGCTTCGTCGCCCCACCTGTCAGATATTAATATTAAAATGCTACCATAGTATAATATTATAACTGATAAAAATCTGGAATTATTTTAGTCGTACTAATGCGTCCCGATAAGTATTAATGCTTTAGATGTCATTGAGAATAACTCACGCCACATTTCTCTGCCAAACGTACGAGTCGGAGAGTGTCTATATTATAAATGTAGATAATTTATATTTTAATACAGGATTCGCTATGAGACGGCGGTCGGGGCGAGTGATAAAGTGAATTCGACAAGTTTCGCGAGATACCGGTTGTCACGAGGCACAGGTGGCGCGCTCAATGGGCCGACAAGGTGAGCAGACCGGCTGTGCTCCTATGACCGCTCCGTTGGGGAGGAAGTTAATGGGACTCTTGTTTTCGTGTTTTATCGTACGTTTCATCATTAAGATTTCCAAAGTTCTTCACGAGACTTTATGAATCATGACGACGAAAAGACTAATCGGACCCCATCAATCACTTTGGCATTTCGTTATCTACCGAAAGGTTTCGGTTCGCCTACGCGTAAAATCGACACAAACACGACGACGGCGAGCGGAAGCCCTCATTGAGCGTTCCACTCTGTGAGCGGCGAACAATAGAAAAAGACCATTCACAAATTCAACAAAGCAACCCAAAAACACGGCCGTAGAAAAAACCGAGTTGCGCTTACGCAGCGAGTCTGTACCTGCCGCGCTCCCTCCCGCCGCCCCTCAGGCCCCCTTGCGTCGCGACGTGGCGCCGGCGCCAGCCAGCCGACGAGCAATTATGGCTAAATAAATATCGGCCATGCCTTCATTGCGATAGCAGATGGATTCTGCTGTGTTACATTCCGTCGGGAGCCGTCTAGGGCCCGTTTTTTTGGCACGTAACGAATTTTTACTCGGTCTTCTTCTTAAACGCACTCTTCGACTGACTTCGATTGTCACAAGTTTTCAGAGCTTATAAGACGGCGAGAACACCTGAAGAAACTCTAACAAATCTTTGGTTCACGCGATGTAAGTCGAGTGAGATTTCGACAAACATGACAACGATCCGCTAAGTTATTTTGGCTTCATAGAACTTACAAGCGACATGTCACACTAACCGTCATAATATTATAGTATCGTCTCTCTGTCGGAGCGACCACAGGCCTCACCGTAGTCAAGAATGTGGTTAACAAGATATTTACATACAATCTGCACAATATTATTATCGTAGTAAATCGTTCTGCACTCTATAATCGCAGAGCCGCTCTTAAGGCTTAACTTAATAACTAATAACTTAATGGAAAGCTCTAGTATCGCAGCTATTGAGAAAAAACGTGGGCATCGGCCGATGATTAATTTAACAGCATTTTTACGACGCCATGGATTGTAAATTTGGAGTGGCTAAAAAATCAATTTGCAATTTAAAAACAGTCATCGAAAACGTTTCCTATTGGAACGATAAAAACGATATGTTAATGGATATACAGCGCGTAATTATATGTCTGCATATGCGACAGTCTGCGGCCGACGCGGAGTCATCGGAGGCGGGGACGTCTGCGGCGAAAGTCAGCAAAAAATCTCGGCGACGACCGGCTGACGGTCGCGCCGGAGCCCGCAGGTGGGCGCCGAGGACGCAGCGTGCCCCGCGACGCAAGCCTTTCGATTACGCGCTTATTTATGTCGAATCTATCTCCGAAAACGCACCGCAATACAGTTACGCTTCCCATTACGATAATCCGCGTTCGACATTGTAAGTGCCCAGTGCGGTGTCGTAACTTCGATGGAATTCAATCGAATGTTATTAAGTATAACATATTAAATTTAAATTCCTACGTAGAAGCCAATTACTTATGTTCTCATTGCAGCATTGTAAGCTTAATATTAGTGTTTATAGAGATGTAGGAGAACAGAGAAATCGATTCTAGTTAAAGTAAAGTGTCGGCAGGATACGCAATTCTTTATTTTGAAGGAGTTTAACGGAATCAATGTTTAGTTATCACCGTATTAAGTATTTTAACAATATTATTGTTGAAATGACGTTGCTTGTAAATTTATGTAGGAAAGCCAATGTAAAATATTGACAGGGGTCACTTCAGCAAAAAACAAGTAGGTACCTAACTGATGACCAAAATACTCTTGAAATTGGAAACAAGTCGATTTTTCCCTGTTCCCACACTCGAATTTAAGTAATACGTAGCGAATCGCCTCATTAATCAATGTTCAAGTAAAGTTGGTAATTAAATATTAGCTTTCCCATTAATTAATATGCTAACATTGTCCACACGCCTACACGGGTACACAACTACACGAGGTGAAGTACCGACAACCGAACCGCGCTGCCGAAATGTGGGAGGTCGTAGGCGATGCGCGTGAGTCGATCGAACGTTAACGTCATCGCTCGTTATCTGTTATCGGTAGTAATGTCGTCGATGAGAAACATTAATATTATTTCGATACACGCGCAATTACAAGAGAAGAGAAGGCGCCGAAGGATACGAGCGACGTCGGCGGTCAAAGGAGCCGCTCGATGCGGTGGTGACTAATTAGGAAATAAAAATGAAGGAAGACAAACGGTCGACAAAGGTCAGGCCGGCGCGACTCGCGAGGAAATCGAGCGAGAAGTTAAAATAATTACGCACAAAGGCTGGCGCTCGGCGAATGAAAAAGTTAACGGGCTGCGCGCGCCGGGCGTCGCGGCACGGCGGCGCCAACGCCGCGACCTTGTCCACTTATCGCGAACGAGTGACCCTCGCGACGGCAGATTAGGCGTTCGCTACGTACTTCACCTACGCCGACGCAGCGCGCGAGAGTGATCCGTGCGACGAAGAGCGGGCGTCCTACGCCGTTCGCGCCGCTCCTCGAAAACCAGATACAGCGCCTGGCGAAGCGACCTTTCCGACTCTGATGTCAGGCTCTATTAATAGACGGGCGAAGACGAGGGACTCGCGGAGCCGTCGAACCGCCGCGGCGACGTAACGACAGATAGCGGAGGCGATAACGATTCGCAGCGATACCGTCCAAGTGCAACCGGCCGGAGCGGCGGGTTCACGTGCCTCGGCACCACGCTAACGTGGAAAAAAACTAACAGGCGCGATCGAACTGGAATCAAACACAAACACGAGACCGCATCCAACTGATCGAAGACACTTGTTGCGCGGGCAGTCGGCCCTCGCTCGTCACGTACCGGGTTCGCAGAGTCGGCTGAAGTGGTACGGGTTGCAGCAGTGCTGGTGGGCGCAGTGGGGCAGGGCGCGCAGCTCGTCGAGGCTCCGCAGGTCGGGGAACCGGAAGGCTCGCAAAGCGGGCAGCCGCAGCGGCGCTCCCGGCACGCAGGCAGAGGGGGCCGGGCCGGCGTCCAGGGCTCGGGCGAGCAGCCGCAGCGTCTCGTCCGGGACGGAAGGTGCGCCGGCCGCCGCCAGCCTCCGCCGGAGCGCGCGCCTCCGGAACATCACATGCCTCACGGCGTCACGTCCGCGCCGTGCCGCGCCACGCGCCGCGACTTCGCTGCCGACACAACATCTCACACCGCGTGCGTTCTCGCCACTGACTTGTCACCGGCACTCCGCTGCCCGCTCGCCGCACGCGTCACGTACCGGGGCTGCCAGAGCCGCGCCCCACTTCGCCCGCTGCGCTCTCGGGGAAATTGTAATGACGTTTATAGCACTTCGATCATTAAATGTTAATGTTCTAAATTCAATATAAGACTTAAACATTTTACTAGAAATGATTTAATAAAACAGAAAAATACACTGTTAAAATAAAAAAAAAATAGGTTACCTATGTAATGATTTTAAATAATAATAATAATATTAAATATTAAAAACTCATAAAATACGTAATAATATTTGACTAGTGAAATAAATGTTATGTTGTCGCTTAGAAGTGGGAAACTTTTAGATGCTGGCAGCACCGCACTGGGTGGGGCGGGGTGCAGCAGACGGGGCCGGGGGGAGCACGGGGGTGTCTGGCGCCACCGGCGGCGTCAGGTGCTTGTCTCTGTGTGCGTTCGGCGCCACCGCACAAATGCGTCACAGAACCGCCACTGCGATGCTTTTTAGGCAATCCGATCTTGTCTCAGAGAGTCTTCATTTGTAAATTTATAACGATAAAACCAATCGATAAACGGATACAGTTACAATAAATAAATCCTTCATACAATTTAAATCTCTTGCGTAAATACATTAAAAGTTGATGTAATAAATGCTTTTTAAAATTGTATAAGCGCTTTAGACATGAAAACACAGCAGTGTGCGGCTCATTTAGAATTCTATTATTGGTCTTAATAGTTGTTATACTCGTATCCACACTTGCACGCTAAGATTAGATACCATGTGCCTATTACGTGTTGTAATCGCGGATTTCTGTTGTGGTGGGCCTGGCGATTAATCTTTGCCCGTTCGGCGGAATGCGCTCAGCGAGTGGCGACATAGCATCAAGTTAATAAATAACAATGCGTCCGCGCCGCGCAGATAACACCGAATCTTTGACATCTCGCCTCTGGGCCCGGCGCGGTGTGCACGCGCCTTTACAGCTGCTCACGTACAGTGTACACGCGGCCTTACTTGAGCGAGTACCTTCAACTTTTAATATAACGCATAGGTTTATTCATACGCCTATATATAACGCGTTCTTTAAAAATTTCGACAACACGGACTAGAGAACTATCACGCAACCGCTTAAACACATCGGTAAATCTAAAGCATACTATATTTTCAAAATCTATTAAAAATCATGCGACGCGAAATTACTTTTACGTAATTTGTAATGAATTTTAAAACTGAATAAATCCGTGTTGTAGGTATCCTACTACTCATTCCCTTTGACCGCTTCCGTAGCTCACCTATTTTAAACGAGTTCGAGAGAAACATGGGTTCGAATTCCGAGGAAACAGTAGGTCTCGGTCGGGCAGGGCACAAATTTGAACAACTACTTCTCTATAAAAAAAACGATCACAGAATCGATATGGGAGTTTCGGCTGGTCAATTTTCATTTTACAATTGTACCTACTGAAAAAACTAGTAACAAGCAAAATGAGGTCAACTTTATGTAAAAAGTTTTGTGCGTAGATTTTGTAAACTCTAAAGTTCAGATGAACGAGTTCGAAGAGTTCGGTTTGCGGTATTCAAACTAAAGACTTCTCTTAATATTTGTTCTAGAAGAAGTTCTACTTTTACATTGCCAGATTCCGAATAAGGAATCTAGATAACTATGGTCGAATTACAACTACCGAGCTATGAAAGGAATCACAGGCTACTTACTTAACTAAGGCGGGTCATTTATTTCAAGAATGATTTTTATCGATAAATTGAATGAAGAAAAGGCGCCGGTAGCCGATAAATATAACTTCGCTGAATGAATTATAAAATGGTGGAAGAGGTCAGTCACCAGCACACCACCGAGCCGATCTTGGCTTCGATTCAAGCGCTCATCTTCGGAGTCTTGATAGATTTGCACATTCGTTGGCGATGTCAAACGTCGCCGATAGATGGCTCCGTACCAAGAATATTTATTTCATGAATTACACAAACTTATTGGTCTTAATGTTGCATAATGTCGATGCACGAAGACCGTTGTCTACTTATAAACCATACATCGCACGCACGACGTAGAGGTTCAATGAACGACCAATACAATAAATTAGCTGTCACGGTTTTTTTAACAACAATAATTAGTATGTAATTATCAATGATAATGGAAACGAAATCTCTGTACCTACGAATCTTGACAGACAGAGCCTTACTGTAGTATGTTTTTAATAAAACATCTACTACTCGCTTTAACTACCGGCAAAACTTCATCGTCATTTGGTATTAATAAGTAAGATTAAAAATCACGAGTAGGCTTAAGTATCTATGGTTGATCTAAAAATAAACTATTTTAAAACGAAGGACACATAAAGCCATTAATAATAATATAATTGTTTTAGATACATACATTGAAATGCATGGAAAAGTGAATCGTTTATCATGCAGCTAGGTATACCTACCTATTTTATAGGGGTTTTACAAAATCTTCTGAAATATTATTATTATATACATTATACTCAGTAAACACTGAACAAATATGTAACCCTCTAGCCAATCGAGTTATATTATTTTTCGTGATAGAAAAATAAAAAAATATTTTCGCGTAAGAGCAAATGATTTGTTTATTTTGTTGAATTACAAATACTACTTACATTTAAAGCTGTAAAATCATTCATTTTAATTCGACTTCGTTCATCACTGACTTTTTTGCTCACTTGTTCATAGAATGTTACGAGTCTGCTCGGTACAGATATTGCGACCGAAGAAGCGCGTAAGTGCGAAAAGTTTGGATAGCGCGGCGTGCGACCTCCCGAGGGGACGATGCCGAAATGGCGCAATTCACGATTACTACTACTATTTAGCGAAAGCTGAATGAAACGTACGCATGCCAAAAGATATACTATAGTACCTCGGCGTTACTCCGTATAAAATAAGGGGAATTTACTAACAATACTCAAATCTTCATGGACATGGCCCCTAGGGAAAATGCACATCAAATAGAATATCGCTTTTCATAATTTCTAAAATATCATGTCTACGACAATATATGAGGAAATTCTGCTTTTCTGTCTAAAGCTTCTTTGATGTAGGATTTGTTTAACATTTTTCTAACCCGACGTTAAAGACTAAAAAGAGTTCCTTGGTAAAATAAACTTCCAAAATTCAAAGATCCAATCCAACTTTATAACTATATCGACCAGTTTTAATTGTGCGTTGAGTTTAGAACGATGTATAAACTTGGAAGTGCTTCCAAATAAATAAACATTTCAAATGCCCTCCAGCATTTGAAATAAGGTATGTTTGAAATAGATAAAAAATTATGTTTTTATATAACAGTATTAAGATCTTATTTCTATTGAACAAAGAACTGAAAAAAGTATTTTTATATCATATTTCCGCCCTAGTAACGAGATCATTCCCTGAATTTGCTAACAGCTCCCTACGTCGCCTCGCGCTCGTTGAATTCTAATCATTAGCATTCCTGAATTTTGTCACAGCGGATGCGATATTCAACACTACAACTGTACAAACTGTAGGCTCGCTCAATATTTTAAGCTTTTTTATAGAATAAAAAACATTGTAAAGATTTTGCTCTAGTATATTGTTCCCATTTATTTAGGTTTATTGTTAAGAAACATATCTGTTCAGTTTATACCTTCGAAAATATTTCTTATTATTGAGGACACTCGCTCTTGCCTACAGATCTTCAAAAACTGAAGAGTGTTCTTAAAACCATTAAATCCAATATCTTCTCGGTCCCGTTTGGTAGATCGAATTCATTTATATTATATGCTAGCGGCCCGTCCCGGCTTCGCACGGGTAGACATAAATAGGTACAGATATTTAAATTATAAGCATGCTAATTAAAACGTTAATGAATCACTGAATTAGAAAAAAAAGTATTGCGCGTCCTAGCTGTTAACGACCGTTATCTATCTCGCGGTGTCAGGAGCCGCTGCAGCGTTCAGTGTTAGAGTCCCGTGGACGCGTTCGCGAATTTCTAGCTCTATTTCCTTCAGGTCGCTGCGAGCGCTCGGCCCTTGACTGTCATTCGTATAGCTGCGACGATCTTGCATTTCGTTCTGCAAGACGAACTGAACGTTCGACGCTAGATTCTCTGGCTCGCGATTGGGACGTGTAGAGCGTACGCTCTAATACTTTCCCGACGATCATTTTTTGGAAGAAGACTCTCCAATAGGACGAACTTTTGATAATCTCGCTTGGGAACTATTCTTAGGTATTTACTTTTTTTTTACGCCTTCCGTTGGTTTTAGTAAGCATTTCTATAGATGCCTATAGTAGGTAATCAAGTACTAAATATAGCTATGTTACTCAGTGATAATGTAGCTTTCTAATGAGAAAAGAATTATTCAAATCGGTCCAGTACGTTGTGAGTTTATCCATTTCATACAAAAATACAAATCTTTCCTCTTTATAATATTAGTATTGATTATTTAGGTTGTCTTCTGTTCCTGCTTGGCTGAAAAATCCCATGTTTACGTAGCGTTTAAACTCAGTAAATTTTTAATGTTATTGAGTATGAGACCCTTCGACTGGTGGTCGGTAGGCCCGTTTCAAGAAAGTTCACGAGAATAATATAATCTATGTAAGATTGTGCATTATCTGCGGTGCGTCGGGCGTCGGGCGTCGCGTCGTCCGTCGCCCGCCCGACGCCAAAGCGCCCGTCTGCCTGCTGCCAATCTGCTCTGAAACTTTACTTGCAGGTAAACTCTTTATATCACCACTTCATTTATTTATATCTGCCTCTGTAGGTTAACTGGTCAGCGCCGTGCCTAGCAATTCCTTAAGCGCGAGAGGACTTGAGTTCAATTCCCTGGGAGATGATATCGCCCCCTCCGCTCTTTTCGCACCCACGCGGCAAATCGGGAATTCACCACTTTTTAAAACTATTCATTACGTGACAACAAGACAGGCCCAAAATAATGTTAGCGTAAGCCACGAGGATAAACTAATATATTATTTTATATAGCAATATGAATGACGAAAAGATTAAAGTATTAAGAGGCTATCTTGAACTGAAAGACTCATTTTAATGTCTCTATACTTAGCGTATTATATATCTTGATAAATATTATCATAAAAAACAAACAAGTCACGCCGCTAACCGCTTATGAGACAAAGATTTAGAAAAATGTATCGAATCGATCAAATCATTCGGTACTCATAAATCACAAGGAACGACTCTTCATCAGTGTATCTTGAATAAATAAAATTATTATTTTTTATTTTATCGTTCAATGAATGTCTTAAAGACCCGACAACTTAGTTTCGACAAGTCTAGACGAAAGCTTAGTGAATTCAAAATGTGTGCAATCGCTAAGGCTACATTACGCCTTATTACCGAATTGATTTAATTTGGAAAGTCGGAGTTGAGGAAATGTTTCAACAACCTCGCTATTAGGAATTACATCAAAGCATTGCTTATGAAATTGTACATACCACAATCCATCTAGGTGTTAAGTTCCTGTCAATCGTTGAGAAGGTCTTTCGACCGTCTCTCGGCATCATCATCATCTTCTCCAATGTGGTGTGTTACAAACACTAGCTGTAAATAAGATTTTTAAAATCCCCCTTGATTTCTCGAAAAATCGACCGACTTGGTAATATTCGCCAAAAAAAGATTCATCAAATCGATCTGTAAACGCCGAAGTGATTGTCGCGGACATTTTTTTAGATTATCTAAAGAAGAATAACCCTCACGAAATAAATCATTTTTCCCGTTTTTTTTCTATTCTTACTAACATACTTGATAATTTGTACTGATTCGAATTGAAAAAAGATTTTTTCAATTCGAACCAGTAGTTCATGAGATTAGCGCGGTCAAACTAAAAAACAAACTTTTTTGATGTATATATAATTAATAGCAATATGTACATATATTTTTTAAATTTCGGCGACTTTCGAGGACAGCTATACACTATCCTATATTGCAATTTAAACAAAGCCTACAAAACAGACCTTCAAATTAAAGTATTGAGAGAGACGTCGCGGTAGGATTCTAGTGTCACTACAGTATTAATCATTATATTATGCAAAACGTATGTAATATGTACGTCATATAAACATCCGCTATATTCATATGGGTTGCAATTGACGTAATTACAGCGGTGTTACTTTTTCATCAAATCTATTTGTATTAATAGATTCCTTGCTAATGTACAAACAACTTCGGGTTACTAAGTAGTTCTTTTACATTTTACTACAACGAGAGAAAATATTATTTCGATTTAGCAAAGAACACAAAATTTATGATGTTGTACAAGTGTGCGTGTAAATGGCATTTGTGCTTACATCATTTTTATAATATTGTTGACTAATCTATCGATTTTGCACCGAAGCTAAGATTCAATTCTAAAAACCGGAGAGTCAGAAACGAGTTATAAAAATCGTTACCAAATAAAACAATTACTTAAGAAGAAGTCTGAAATTAATCAACAAAATAATAATAGTTAAGAATATCGATCAATCAGTCGTAAAAATACAAAGGAGCTGGACAAAACAAGTGTTCAGATCTGTCGCCACTGCTCCCATACTTTAGTCGAAGGCGCTCACGAAATATATTAAACGCTATACGGTACTTTGGTACTTATTTTTACCAGTAATATTATCTATTTTGCGATGGGAGGATTGATTCATATCTGTAGTTGAGTTGAGACGTGTTTAGTCCAAGACAGCGCCGCTGCGACGAGCCACGGTTGGCCGTTTGGCGCCAAATTCAGTCGCCATCTTGTCACATTCACATGATGTCACACAATAAAATAATTCGCCTCCGACTGTTTAATTTGTAATGCGCATATTAAAAATATACTGGAATTAATTGGCGGTTTTTTTTATTTGTTTGTTTCGGTCATGGTCAGGTTTTTGGGTAGTGGTTGGTTTGATGTTTAGTAAGGTTTTATTGTTGTATAAACGACATAGACATTATCCGTTATTATAATTATTTTGATCCGATAATGTTCAAATTATTATTACACACAAAACCACGACACACACACTACTTAGATTGTTGTACTGAAATAATGTGAACTTCGTTTTTTAAAACATTAAAAAAACTGTGTTTATCTACACAGAAGGCGTTCCCTAGCTTAAAAGAAATGCCGATTGAAAATTTGTTTAAAACCCATATACCTAATGCTAGTAAGTACTAGGTATATGTTTCTCCTAATTGTCGTTAGTTTTTTTTAGGAGGCATGATATTTTCTCAGACGAGGTTAGTTTTTTACGACAGCGGGTGTCGCCAGTGATTTCCGTATAATTTCGTTCCCCCAAAACAAGGAATCAATATGAGTTGCCCCAATGTCCCCTAATTTATATTAAAGTGCCCCGACTATGCATTACTAACATTCAAAACATTTGGATAACTTTAGCGGGGCTACGAAAACTGCGCTCCACTTTGCTTTAATAGTGTTTAAAAAAGTATTTGATAAAATGAAATTGAAATATTTGGTTTATACATATAATTGGCCCATCTGTAGCATACGTGGAATCCGATTATTTATTAAAGAGTGTTTAATGAGCTTATCTTATGAGAATGTCTTATTTGAGAAATGTCTTGTAACGGGGACCAAATAGCAAATCCGTGCGCCATCCGTCACGAGTTCGAACTGTACACGTAATTTTTTTTCTAGTTTTTAATGTTAGACAAGGTATCGACAATTTAGGGGCCGCCGTTGACTAGTTGTACTGGCGTCAGGCGAAGCCCGCGCCGGTCGTCGCGACGAATGATGCCACCGCGCCTATCGACAGTCGACACCCTCTGTCTTGTACGGGGTACCTTGATAACGAACCCATAGTTTCTTTTTAATATCACTTTCGGAACAGAAACAACATATCGCTTGTAATTAGTTCCTTATTTGGCGTGTTATTCAAATAATGTAAAGAATAAAATCATATTTACGCGCAATTAGCCTTAGTTTTGTATATTTTAACAATCTATCTAATTACAGATGAGGCCGGGCAAGCTGGAATTCATAAATCAACATCGATTTAACGGCACAAATAGTAATTGAAAGCTTATTTATTTGTTATTAATCTTTTCCAATAGTTTTTTATATTGAAATTAGTATGAAAGCTTATTAACTAGTAAAAGTGAGCACAAAGACACGTTTCACTTTTATCGAGTTTAGGAAGATGTGGTCCTCAATAGAGTAGTTGGGATACATTGATCATACCTAGTTTGTGTCATAACTACATATTCAAAAAGAAAAAGCGAAAGGGTACACGTGTAGAGGAGAGGCGCACCCGGCGGTCGGGACGAGCGCCTCATTGATGCGCCGAGGTGCATTTCTATAACTTCAACGTTCTCATTTAGATGTATAATATAAGACACTAAAATTATGTTAAGTGTTAATTCGTAGTGTTCCTTTTCCTGAAGCATCAAGTTGTAAGCTAATTTCAGGAACTACAGGTTCGAATTGAAAAAAAAAATTTTTGGGTTAGTTAGGAGCATTTATCGAGGAAGGATACATCGATGCGACTAGTAGGAGCGAAGATACTAAAAGTATCAATATATATTGAATACTATGTCGTTATTATACGCCTCTAAAAAAATTCTTAAAGTTGCTAATGAAACGTCTTTCAGGTTACTTTGAATAAGACATGTCGTCAAGCGTCGCGCCCACCGGATATGAAGTCCCCGCATCAAAGAGGTGAAAAAGCCCGAAATATAGATATGAGCATCCGAAAGACGATTGTTTATAATACGTCGGTTAATTGAAGGTATATGGCGAACGGCGGGCCGCTAAGACAACGTTGGCGCCTACTTATTTGTGCTCGGGGCTCGGTGCCGTGGTGCCGCGCCCTCACGCCGCCGCGCCGAGGCGCCCTGCGGTCCGAGCGGTGGCTGCGAGCGAGGGACGCGCTGAAGCGGGTTCGCCGCTAAAGGAAGTACTAACAGTATAAAGTGGTACGACATTCCTCGGATCGACTACCTGTACTTAGATATGTAGAAAATATGACAACGGCTTTTAATGCAAAACCTTTTATCCCTAGAAAAGCCAACAGCCATTGCTGTCTGGCATGAGGTAAATAGACGCAACCCGCGCCGCTCGCGACTTGCGCCGCCGTCCCGAGGACCCCACTAATGATTGCCCATGATTTATTCGAGAGCTCATTTTTATTGCCGCCTGATTTCTGGCGTCGAGATGACAAGGTGTAGTGTTGTGTTTGTTTCGTAATATGGGGGCTACTTGTCGTCGTATTGGGAAACAATACAGCCGTCGTATTATTGTTTGTTTGTGTGGGCGACTGTTTTCCCATAGCGTTATATAGAGTCGCCTAAGTACGCGCTGCAAACGAAAATATTGTCGTGAAGTCGGCTCTATTTTCGTATCTTGCTATTCTGATCGTCGTAAAATTTCCAAAAAAACTTGATTACACCGGTAGATAAAAGGTAAAGCACATATTTTAAATTCGGAAGTGACTCGCATATCTTGGCAGTTCTGTTGTTCTAAGATTTTGTATGTTTGTTGATATAGTACAAATGTTCAGGAAAAATTTACCCCTCCCACTCTTTTACCAAATATTGCCTATGTTCAAAATAACTCTAATTTGGCATGCTAATTACCAGTTACCAGACCGCAATACTTACCAGATCTTTTGTTCTATCTGTCTCGCATCTTGTATCTTTCAAGTCCCTTCGGTCTTTCTTATAAAGAACTCGGTTTTGATGCACTTCTAGATATCTAACCCGGGGCACGACACAATCTAAAAGGTTTGAATGAGAATGAGAACCGTTTCACATAATATTACAATTTCTTTTAATTTTTGTAATCCCTATGTAGCTTTTTACGAGTGAATATGTAAAATTGCCTGCACCTCATTTGAGTAAAGTAAGTTGCTTTATTTTTGCAATGGGTTGATTCGGTTTGAAACTAACTAGTTCATGGGCCAAACGTGAAACAAAACATGGAGAAGCTTGTGCTTACGATACCAAAACGCGTCTTAAGCGTGACCGTCTTAAACGGGTTTTACTGCAGTGGCAATTTGGGATTGATTACTCCAAGTTGTCTTTACTCGCCTTTAATTAAGCTGATACTAGTTTGACATAACACGACACATGCCGAGAATTAGGTTCAAAAACGTTTTTTTCAAGTTGTTCTTAAGAAACTACGATAATAATCAATTTAATATTATTCACATGTTTTTGCACATGAAAGCACTATATAATTAAAAAACGATAATTTGATTTTTTTTTGTAAAACTTTAATACGTTAAGGTTAAAATTACATTGAGCGAGAGGTGCACGTAAGATAAAAAAAAAACGACGATGAGGTGTAGGACTCGGTAGCTCAATTGGTAGAGCAACAGCACGCAACGCTGACGATGCCGGTTCAAGTCCTTATTTTTTCAATTTATTTTCGATTTTTAAATTATAGAGAACAAATCTTCCATTGATACCAAAGCAACATCGCTGCTTGACAACTATTTACTGAACAAAGACTAAGTGTTGAACTATTTGTGAAACTGTTAAGGATGCATTTAACCTTTTTTTTTTTAATTGTTAATCCTTAGCTACTTATGTAATGTATCTGTTTGTTTCCTTTGTCTAAATAAATAAAATTACTTTCTACAACACTTCTATTATTAAGTGTATCTTTTCTTTATATGATTTCATGGTATTTTTATACCACTACCGGAGTCGGTACAAATAGAACTAGCCGGACGTCGGCTGCAGCATGTTCAAATGCCCAAAATAGGGCGACAAAGCGTCTTCTTGTGACGTTATATGCCAGGGAGTTTTCACCTTTCAACATCTTCTAATATCAAAAATAAATTTATACCATATTCGATATTTCTGACTGAAATCAAACACTTTAGTAATATAAATACATATATTGTACATCCAATTTCAAACGCCATGGTCCAAGGTTTCAGTTCCTTACATTTGGACTAAAAATCATTGTAACCACGAGATAATATAAAATTAAGTACAAAAGAGGAATCGGTCGGGACAATAGTAATTACGGAGGTAGCTTACATTTAGTAATTAGACTTATATTAAGGCAACTCACAAAAGACTATTTTCTTAAGTTCCTTTTAAGACAAAACTATTTTTCTATGAAGTGTCCTTTTACAGACAAATAAAACTATCTGTTTCTATGAAGTGTCCTTTTACAGACAAATAAAACCAGTCTAGTACAAATTTAAAGTAAGGATTTACGCATGAAGGGTTCTGCACCATTGCCATTGCGCATAATTATTATTGCAATCCATATTCATTTCAAGTGCCTTGTCACAATATATGTATGAGAGCCCCTTAAAAAATTCAATTTACCTATTTATTTATATTTAACTTGCTGCGTATATTAAAATTAATTTTAAAATACGCCAACTAAATATTTATTTCTATCTGTCGCATTTGTATACAGGACCCAAAAATGCTCCAGGTGGATTTGTTCTGTATTCGGGTGGGACTTTACTAACTAGGTACGAGTGGCGGGTAGAAAACGCAACTACATTTTAATTTCCTTCTAAGCGACATTTCCAAAAATTAAAGCACGTTAATTTTAATATATCGCAATAGCTTACCCTTTCTAATTAAATACACGAGTCTTACAGTTTCTAGCGTCCTTACGAATACGAAAATTACCTCTATTCGAACAGACCAAAGGCATAATTCTTTGTATCATGGACCTGCAGCATTTCATCGGTGTACTAAAACACTTGGAATTTCTACTATTAACAATAAAATATACTGCTATATAGTTAATCATTATAAAAAATATAAACGAATGGTGGTTAAAATTACTTATACTATTTTTACTGTACTTTATTAATATTCTTTGAACGTTACAGACCCAACTTTATTATTTTCGTTGATATTTGAATTAATAATCGATACAAACGTGCTACAGAATTAAATCGATAAATATAATTAAAGAGGGCAACTTGTAGAAATATTTAAATGGGCTAGTTTAAATAACAAAGCTGGATTGTAGCGGACGAGAACTTGTAACGAATAATCAGCACAAAATTTGGAAACGGAGCGAGTATTCTATGTAGCTAATGTCATGCGTCGACGAACAAGCTACGCGGGCTGTGGGTATCAGTAGCTCCGGAAGTTCCTGTTGGACTTGAAGGCGCCTCCACCGCCCCCCGGCGACGAGTTCAAGAACAACTCTATGTATCTGTGGTCCATGTTGTTTTTGTCTCGTCTCATCGCCTTTAAGATATTTAATTAATAATTTTATTCGAGATTATAATTTATCACAATATATTATATGTGTGTGAAGAAAAATAAAGTTTTTTTAGATAAGTTAATAAGCTCACCCTCATGGCGTCGTCGTGGCACTCAAACTCGACGTCCGCCTCGCCAGAGGGCCGTCCGCTGCTGTCGTACAAGATCGAAATGTCCACGGGGCGAATCGGCTTGAAAAACTGCAAGGCATATAAAAAGCTATACTAATAGGTATTATAAAACAGAAGAGTTTGTTTTACTATCTTTGAGGGTTTCCATTGCGCGCGCTGCGAAACGAATAGATTGATAACTCTTTAAGTGATCTATAAAACGTTCGCGACAGTATAAATACAGTAAACTCGCAAGAACGACGGGACGCGACCGACGTCGTGTGTAATAGCTGCAACGAAGATGAGGAGGATGTTGATGCCTAAAATAACTATTCTACGCAGACGAAGTCGCTGGAATAGCTAGTAATATAACTTAACAAATACTTACGTAAGCAATGTCCTGCGGTGTCGCTTTGAAGGGAAGTCCACGCATGTGCACGCAATGCATTCCGCTGCTCCTGCGCATGCCCCCTCGAGCCCCGCCGTAACCTGCCCCACCGCCACTTCCGCCACCGCCTTGAAATTATGTACAAACTTTGTTTGACATAGGTTATCAATTAAAATGTGGAATATATATATCTTCTCTTATTCTAAATTAGATAATTACAGGTGATTTCTTTCGACCAAAAAGGGAATATTCCTACCTCTTCCAAAAGCACTTCTGCCACCCCTGGAACCAAAACGACCTCCGCCAAATCGATCGTTTCTGTCGTAGGGGGTAGGCCTGTACCCTCTGCTGGAACGGAAACTACCTCCATCTATTCTGGACGCGTACGCTCTCACTTCATCAGGAGAACTCAGAAATACCTCTATATATCTGAAATATTTACACATTTGATAATACACTTATAGAGTTAGTTATATTGCTCTTATAGGTTCGTTTTGAAGGTCTTTTTAGTCAAAGATGAAAAACATTTGACTCTGCTAGCAAGTCCAGGTTAAATATATGTATATGTTGCAAGACATTTTAAAGATTTTTCATTTACAAAACCCATTTTTAACTGTTTCCTCGTAGAATTCGATGTTTGAATTTTATAATAATTTTTTTAAAGTAAAACAATAATTAATAAGGTGATTATCCAATTGAATGAGACACAAAAAATATGACAAATGTTTTTTTTTTATTTTATGGACCAACACCTTCCACGTTTGCCTTCTTATAGCAAAATGGAATTCCTCGAAACTCTTGCCTCTTCTGTTCACCCGTCGTTCGCCCCGCTCCCTTCGCACGCCCAACCTTCGACAACTCAACAACCAATCAAGTGCACTCTTAATAAATGCAACTGCCATAGTTTATGCATTATTGTGATCATACGAAAACAAAAGGATAATTCTACTTTTGTAACAGAAAGACGTAAAGGTATACATTATCAGATGACTTGAACATCTACAGTTGATGTGAAGACATTAAAATAAAATATGGAAATAAATATCTTTCATTTATTCTTGCATATTATTATCTTTAGTTGTTTAAAACACGAAATATATGTGTTAACCTTATTTTTAACCACCCAAAGTTTTAGGTCAAAGCATTTGTTGGTTGTAATCAAAAATGAGTTAACTGACATATTTCACATTTTAAACAGTTAAAAGTGTCTACTCAAAATAAGTCTCTGTTTAAAAGACTGAGTTCTCTCTATCTGTAAATTCTCTTATACTCCTACACAATGATCACAAAAATGAATAAAAGCAGTTGGCATTTTTAGAGTGCAGTAATTAAGCCTTTATTTCACTAATTATCCCAAATGTTATCTCAGTAAAACCTCATTATAATGGAATTTATGATTTATAGATGCGTCCTTTTTTTTTGAAGTAACCAAGTGTTTTGTGATAAGCTAAATTCATGTCCATCCTATAAATCATATTCGTCCAAAAGGTAGAGGTCCCACACTTAACCCGCTACACCAAATTACGGTAATTGTGGCAAATACCTTGTGCTAATATATGGCAACATTGCTGATGGAGTGTCTTCGAATAAAACTACTATGTCAAAATTATATATTTTGCTCAAAACTAAAAAGGTTTACTAAGAAATAGTATAGTTTCCCAAACAAATCTATTTGCATGATAAAATTTTCCAAACTGTGAGATTACAAACAAATCCAAATCGTAACATAAGACTTAGAGAAGTTCTTGCGAAATCCTGCCTTTGAGAAGGATACATGCAAATATGCTAACAGACTTAATTTTAATGTTGCCCTGTAGTAAAAAGCCCATTCCAGTCTCAACGTATCAGCAATGCTACCAGACACCCACAATATGCCACATATAAAAACGTGCCCCCCACCTGTGTCCTATTTTGTCCCTGTCCCTGCCGAGAGCGTCTTGAGCGCCCTGTTTGTCAACGAAGTAAACATACGCCTCGCCCGAGGCCCGCCCCGTGTGGTCCGATAGCAAGTGCACCCCCTCCGGGGCCACTTGGATCCCTGCCCACCCGATAAATACATAGTATTGTTTCTGATGCACCAAGTTCTTGAGAGCCCAAATAACTAATACTATCCTGCTATATTATCTCTATTATAAAATATTGATAATATTTAGTAAAAAGCAATCTAAGTGAAAGATATATTAACATTAGTAATATTGAATCAGCAGAAATGTGTAATCAATTATCCAGGCTCAAAACATAATGTTTATTCAATTGTATCATTTATATTCAAAAATTAAATGAAAGAAGAGAATTGAGTCAATTATAAATGATTTATCTAGTCTAGTTTTATTATTGAATTTCTATGTGTAGTGACTAGTAGGCAGCAATGTTATTTGTCCGATGACTTAAGGACAGATAACAATAATTTTTTAGAGTTCACACACTAAGGAAGCACTTTTATGAGTTTTATCTCTAGATGTTACATATAAGACAGAAAGTGCACATACATTTTCACTACTAAAAACACATGAGAATATACCATAATCCTTACCGTCAAAGAACTGTATGACTTCATCCTTTGAACAGCCAAAGGGCAGACCTCTCAGCTTGACCACACCCATGTCATCATTGACACTAGGTAAGGAATCAAAGCCGTTTTCAGATTGCTTCATAGCATTAAGTGCCCATTCCATGTCTTGACGGTCCGTAGAAAAGACTGAAGAAAATGTAAATAATTTGTAAGGCTATGAAATGAATACTGTAATAATAGCCAAATTTTACATAATTTGTTAAAACATTGTTTATAAAGACCTGACAGATCTTGAGAAACACTTTTATAAACCAATTAAATGCATCATATGATGAGTTCATTAAATCAGTTTGAATGACTCTGTGGGGTTGATTGCTATGGACTGTGATCAATAGCAATCAAGAACTGAGTAAAAAGTGCTAACATAATTCAATTCAATAGTCATCTTTTTTGAACACCCCTATCATATCTGTCTAGTTTATAAGCTGCATTGATTGACACTGCATTATATTAAAATTTCTACTCAAAACTCTCAGTAATGAGAACAACAATATAAGTAGCATTATTTATAACATTTATTAGCATGATAATGAAATAATACCTTCTATATATCTCTTGCCCATATTTTCTTTGTCTTTCTTCATCGCTTCTTCTACATCTTCTTGACTTTCTACTTCAACAAAACATTCGCCCGATGGACGCCCCGGGCGTACCTCAGTGAAATGGACACCTAATAATAATAAGAATAAATAACTTAATTTTATTAAATCTAAACATAATTGCGAATTCCCATAAGAGTAATTTAAGACATATTATCTACCATCTTTTCCATTCAAAACATTGACGCCACTGAGGAATTCCAAGACATCGTCGATTGTAGTTGAGAAAGGCAGCCCACGCAATTTAACGATGTTACCTCCGTCACCTGAACTCAACATTTCTACGCTTTACAAATGTAAAGAGTGTTTCAAGTGAGAAGCGATAATAATAAATATGATTAAAATGTAGCTTTTCCAAACTTTTACGAGGTACTTTATTGAGAATTACAACACTTTTTCAATGGCCAAAATGGCGTTTACACTGGCGACGGCGTCGCCTTAAATCCGGTGACACCTGACAGCAAATATCTGTCAGCCTCAAACTGTCTTAAAGTTCATATATATTTTCAAGCTATAGTGCATCAGCTAGATGGCTGTGGCGGGCGCTGTTTAGTCTGTGTCCTGTGACACTAACTAATGGCTTTTAAGTTTTAACCTGAAGTCAAAAAGCAATATGGATTATGGACTAAATGTATTTTTGGAAAATAGAGATAGTGTTTGAACAGTTTTGCATGTAGCGAAAATCATATCCATAATTCAGATAAAACAATCATTACTTATTGTATGTGTAAACTGCTGATTAAATTGTACGTGAGTCTTTGAAGAAAATTATACAAAATGACTGTCGACGGGGAAGCAAACTCTAGGGACCGGGTTTTCATGGATATATCTATCGGCGGGCTTCCATCTGGCCGAATTGTTTTTGAGCTATTTAACGATGTGGCGCCGAAGACTTGTGAAAATTTCCGCGCCCTTTGCGCCGGTGATAAGGGAATCGGCGAAGGCACTGGTAAACCACTAACGTATAAGGTTAGCTTTGTTGAATTTTTTATATTAGCATGGTTGTAATAAGCTGTTCAGCTAATAGTAATACTGCGGCATTAACTTAAACAGGGTATGGTGTTCCATCGAGTCGTAAAAGACTTCATGATACAAGGAGGGGACTTTTCCAATGCTAATGGCACTGGTGGTGAATCAATTTATGGTGGAACCTTTGAAGGTATGATGGTCACCTTACTTATTTCATTGTATTAAAAAAATCTATGTAAACTCATGTATAGTAAATGTTTTACTAGAACTGTGACCTAAATTCCACTTCAAACAATCACAAAGCAAAATGACTAAATTTAAGACTAGAAGGTAAATTTGACCAATGATGCGAATTTGTTATCTTTTACAGATTAACAATAACAGAATTATTACACAAATCAATATAATAATATAATTATATCATATCTTTGAAATTTTGCATTTTAGATGAAACCTTTGAGGTGAAGCATGACAAGCCTTTTCTTTTGTCTATGGCCAACCGAGGGAAGGATACAAATGGGTCACAATTCTTTATGTAAGTTAGGATGGATTGGTGAGAACAAACGGAAAGGTTTTATTCCTTTTACTTGAGATAAATTTTATTTTTTGTAAAAAAAGCTTATTATTTATACTTATTAAACTGGTAAATATGATTTTATGCATAGAATAATATTTTGATAGAAACCCCAACTTGATCTTTAAAACAATCATTAAAGAGTTGTTTTATGGACACAATACAAGGATTGAATCTGCAAAACTTAGTAAATTGCTTCCATCTGGAAGGACATAACTATAATATACCAAGTATTACAGTTAACATTTTAAGTTTGGGGATACAGGATATCTTCTGTAAGCTAGACTGAGCGAGATCCTAAATGGCATGCGCTACATTATAGTGACATGTATCAAATGTACGTTGTGTAAAGGTCGCGTCGGCGGCAGGCTTGCGGCCCGCTATCATTCTTTGTGTTCTGTGTGTTGTAGAACAACACAGCCGGCGCCGCATCTCGACAAGTAAGTAGCACTTTGTAATTTTTACATATTTATTATTTCAGTAAATGATTCAGTACATCATTTCTACCCTCAAAGTTAGTGATGAGAAACTGAAATGTCATCATTGCTAATTCAACAATCCATTTAAGAGCTGGGCTGAAAAAATATAATTAAGTAAAGAGTTGCCTATGTTATATAGTCTCTGAAGTGTGTTTTTAATACATAATTAATATAGTACTTTTAAGATGCATTCAGTAAATGTTGGTCTCGCTTGTTCACAGTGTCCACGTAGTATTCGGTCATGTAGTGAGTGGAGCGACGCTGGTGCGGCAGCTGGAGGCTCTACCTGTGGACCGTAACGCGAGGCCCCTTCAGGACATCACTGTCACCAACTGTGGACAACTCATCAGGCTCAAAGCTGGTGGGTGTTTGATACAGCTTTTTAATTTGCCTCTGCAAACTAAGACGTTACAAAATCTAATAAACTTCCAAAATAAAATGAAATTTTGCTTTTGCTTTAGGTAAAAAACGGAAGCAAGATAAAGAAAAAACTAAAGATGAAAGTGACGCTGAATCGGAGAAGTCTATCAAGAAGGAGAAGAAGAAGAAAAAAGATAAAAAGAAGAAACGGTAAATAAACATATTTAAAACAAATAGTTATAGTAGTCATGAATAACCCAGCTTTCTATTTTGTTTATTAGTCAAAATAAAATATACTTTATTCTCTTTAAAAGTTAAATTATTTAGATTTGTCAAATTTTTTTTCGTTTGTCTGTCTGTTCGTCGTGTTTCTACAATTTGGTCTCACCACTATTCATTTTAAAGTTTTGTATACTGTACATACAAATAATAATAATTACTTTTAATCATTATACAGACATCAATCGGACCAGTCTGACGGTGAGCTCTCGCCGGAGCCAGCTCATCCGCTCGTTACCACCTCCAAGATAGACCCCAAGGAGATTCCTGATGTACCCACCAACCGATTCCTCATGAGAGCTACTCGGGAACAGGACAAAGACAAGAATGATTCTAGGAGGGATAGAGACAGGTAATTAAAGATGATTAAAAAAAGAAAGTAGTGGCCTTCAGAATTACCTTGTCGTAGTTAATTAAACTGGTATTTTAATGTTTCCAGGCCAAGATATCGTGACAGAGAACGTCATTCCTACACTAGGAGCGGGCGTATTGTGAAGGGACGAGGTGTTTTCGTAAGTTTTCATAAATTATGCTATGTACCTGTTAAGTACACAAAGCTTTTGTGAAGAAGGGATGGCTATAGTGCGTTGAATACTTATATCTCTTTCTCTCTTGTAGCGATACCGCACGCCGTCCCGCTCACGCTCGCGATCGCGTTCCGTTACACCGCCGCATTGGAGACAAGCGCAACGCAGGATCGTTAAACTGGCGGATGTCGAGGTGAAGAAGCTTATGTATTTGGAATTAAAGCCACTTTATTTCGTGGTCATATCCATATTCCACACCATTGACACAAATTTAGGACACAAACAAGCGTTCCATTTACGTTTAATTCCCAGATACTACAAAAGCCATTGTCTGTCCCCCTCTGACATACAACTTTAATATTTTTCTAACTGCTTTATAGCGCATCGATCAGGAACGCGAACAAGAACCTCCGAAAAAAGCACCATTGAAGCACGCGCAGAGTAAGTTTTATTATAAGTGCACATACTGTTATTTAATTGGTTATAATTTCGTGTCAATCTAACTGGTACTGATGGTATATAGGAGAGGCTGCTACGCCGGCGCCGCAAGAGAAGGAGGAAGGCGAGTGCGACACCACCCTCGGTTGGTCCTTTTAAGACAATTATTAATAACCAGCAGACAATCTATACTAATATTATAAATACGAAAGTAACTGAACCGATTTAAATGAAACTTGGTACACTGATATTTTATAGCCTGAGAAAGGTACTTTTTAGTGCCAAAAACGAATGTTAGGGGTTGAAAAGGGGGAGGAAAGTTAGTATGGCAAATTCGTGATTTTTGAAGCTAAAATGATGAAACTTTCTTTTTTGCCTTTTTGGGAATGGGAGTGAGAGTGGGAGTAGGAGTGATGTGAGGTGAGAGTGGGAGTGTACCGGCCAAGTAGCACTTACCATATTGATTGGCTGCCTTGAATGCGCCCTTTTATAAATAAATAAACCGCCTAAATAACTAAAAATTCTACCCAAAGTCACTATTCCAAGCGGACAAAGTCGCGGGCACAGCTAGTAGTTTATATATATTTTTTAATCTTCACGATAATACATTTGTTTCAACTATTTTCTATGGCAACCGATTTAAACCGATTTAATCACTGTCGAAGTTTTCAGTCTGGCAACTTTGGTAATAACCACAATTCGTTGTTCATAATTTTACTAAAGGTAAACACTAATTGATTATTGTATTGCCGTTTTATGACAAACAATTCCTTTTATTTTAATCAGACCAATCTCGTGATGAAAAGGTAGATTACAACGCGTTGGATTTCGAGGAGGACGTGGAACAAGAAGGTATGTTAAAACACTATGAATGAATGAACTACACTTGCAATAGCACTAAATACATACATATACATATATATATATATATATATATATATATATATGAATTCATTGTGGATGCTATATCGAATGTTGTGCTCGACAGAAGAAGGCGAAATTCCGCAGAAACGTATGGAACAGAAGCGCATAGCACGACCCCCCGCTGAGAACAGAGCTGATATATTGGCGCGAGCACTCGGAGTCAATCCTAAACACGATCAACTCAAGTAAACTATCCTAAATTATTGAAAATCACTTTTTTAAAAGCTCACAAAACGTTATTTTTATTTCTAAATTCGTAGGTTCACATTTATTTTTATTGTTTTTCAATATCTAACTATTTTAAAGTGAAATAAACAAAATCACCACAGAGATGGAAAGGACACTCGCGACTACCGTCGGCACGAAGGGATATCTTCCAGAGTAGTGCAAGCCGCTCCCAAACTGTCCTCTGCCGTCGCCACCGTCGCAGCAGCTTCTGGTGGCACACCCGAACCCCAAGACAAGAGCGAGTATGACCCCTTCTCATTACTCAGAAGCACCTTCAGCAGGAATAAGGAGCAAGACGCGTATGTGTTTTCATACAATATAATTTGATTCTCTACAATGATAATAATATGTATAGTTAATACTAGTAGAGCTCCATGATTGAAATCAATGTAAAAAATCAATATGTGATTCTTCAAATTAGCTTACACCACTATGACTTCTTAAAAATTACAGTTCAAGAAGTACTGACAACGGAGAGAATCGCCGAGAGAGGGAAAAGCTCAAAGATCACAAAGAGAGAGAAAAATATCGCAGCGAGAGAACAGAGCAGAAACACGATCTCAGGGACAATCTTAGAAAACGAGAGATCAAAGAATCAGGACAAGAAGAACGGACGCAAAGACCTCATAAAAATGAAAAGTTCGACTCTAAAGACAAGTCTAAGGATCGTTCTGACGAGAGGCGTAAACGTCACGATAAATTCGTTAAGGAATCTGATGAGAAATCAAACGATAGAAGCGAAAAATTCAAACCTAGACCTGACGAAAGGAAATCCAAAGACAAGTCTCCTGACAATTCTGACCGAAATAAGAGACAGAGATCGGAAGATAAATCGGTTGAAAAGGAAAAGTCTAAAGACAGAAAACAAAAAGCGGAACTTCGGGACAGGTCGCACGACAGATCTAGGCTGTCTAGAGACAGGGATGTTCGGGATAAGTCTAGAGAGAGAAATAGACTAGGTCGGTCGAAGGATAGATCGAGGGAGACACGTGATAGACGCGACAGATCAAGAGATAGGAGAGATAGGTCGAAGGATAGATCACAGCGTAACAGATCGAAAAAACGCGAATCTAAAGAAAAGGTGCCCCTCGATGAATTTGATATAGAAGGAAGGTGAGTGAGGTCGTAATAGTGATAATTATAGTGAGTAACCTCTTGAATTTTTTTTTACACCTAACCTCCAGTCTTCATTATTCGACAGTCCTCCCTTGGTCCGCTGTGCCTAAAAGTGGTTTGGCGCAAAGAATGTCTGGAATTTTTGATTCCTATTACATAAAAAAAAATCTGCATCCCTTTAGGTATATTTTCAAAGCAGATCTAAAAGTAATCTTAATAGTAACCAACATGAAAAAATTTTAAGCAAATTTTATATTAAGGGAAGCTATTTATTGATTTTAATTTTATTCAATATAAAATTCGTATAGAGAAGACATGCATACTAAAAATATGTAGACGTGCAAAAAAGGCTTACCTTAGACCTTGACTTATTGTTATAATTATTTTTTTGTTAACAGTAACGAAAAAAATTGCAGGAAGTCCAAATCTCCAGACCGGAAGAAAGCTGTCGATAAAGATAAGGATGAAGAGCAAAAGAAGAAAGTACGTTTTTTTTACTTCTAACTGCCTATTTATATATATTTAAGTTAAAGCAACGACGCCGTTTAGTCGTCAAAAGAAACAAACGGCTTTCCATACATACCCATTAAGAAGATAAAGTCTGTTAATTATTTATTTTAGGAGGACGAAGCTCGTAAGGAACTGTTGGAAATAGTTCGCATGATCAAGTCCCGACAACGTGACAGAGAGAACAAGGCCGCCGGTATGTCTAGTATATTCAGGCTTTAATATAGACCTCAATACTGAGCAAGTACTCTACTACTGAGTAGTCAACATACAGAAAGGAATAATCATTTGCGGTTTGAAATTAAATAATTATTTTTTCTTGATATGATTTATTCTTATTTAATTTACAGAGGCCAAGAAGAAAAGACGAGACTCGAGCGAGAATTCCTCTGATGATGAGCGTTCGAAGAGGCGACGTTCTTCCGACAGAGGCAGAAGGCGCAGTAGAAGCAGGTAGAGGACCTATCTAGAGTTGCTGTAGTAGCTGCGCCTAGTTTAATTTCTTAAACTAACTGATAAAATAGAGTCTAGGTACAATTGGAATAGAGTTTTAAAATGTAAAAACACAGAATATTTTAACTTGTTTTGAAATACATTGCCACTGTTTAGTATTAAAATGCATTTATTCAGCTCTTCATTTGTTAAAGTAACGCGTCACAGATGCACCAACTTCCTGTTACTGTTTGTTACCGTCTTACTAAAAAAACCTCACCATAGAGTATTTTACATTCCACCAAATAAATAACAGAGCTTGACTCTCCTTGTCTTGTATTGTCACCAGGTCTAGAAGAAGCAGCTCCCGTCGTTCTCGTCGCCGTTCCGGATCAGGACGTCGACATAGACGCCGATCTTCGGACTAATTGGGCTCTGGTATAGCTTTTAGGCACCACAGACATAATAGCTAGGTTGCCTTAAGATCCATAGTCGAGATCGACAGAGTGACTGTATCAAAATTAGAGAATCGAACCTGAGACTAATTTCGAATTGTACATCTACAGAACTATGTTATCACGACATTCTTATGCGGATGTACTTTGTTCATTTCGTTTGTAGTAATTAAGTTTAAAGAGCATTTAAAATACTAGTACTTCGACTCTTAAGAGATTGACATTTTCAGGGATCGTATTCATAAATGTCCGGTCATTAATAAAATTGGTTATATTATATATAATAAAACTTTGTTAGAATATATAGAAATAAAATGTAATAGTATACAAAATTAGTTTGCCAATTTTAAATAAGTAATGTAAAGTCCATAACGTAGTTAAGATTGACCAAACTTTTTCTTTTTAGGTATATAGTCTCTAGATTTTCTCCAGTAAAAGTAATGGCCAGTAACATTGTAACGTAGCGAAAGTATAGTTTTGTATCATAGACAAAGTAACAAATTTGTATAGTAAAACACTTTGTTTTACCATACAACCTTCGAACTACTTTACTGTCTGGCCAGAACTTAAAATTTCATTCAAGTATATATGAGTTTTAACATAATGGAATTAACTTTAAGGTTTAATAGAAAGTGACAAGACATTATTTTATGTAAAAAAATTGATTTGCAGCAAATAATTTTTTACAATATGGGTTCAGCGTTTAAATTTTTAAAAAGGTCATTATGGTGTTCTTTTCTTCAATAAAGTTTTATTGGAAATGTCTTTTTATTTTAAGGAACTGAAATGTAGGTATCCCTACTTCTTTTTTCTTGTCCAAAAAGAATCCTACAGGGAGTAGAAAATTCTTAGTCAGGTATTGTTACTTCTTAAGCTCCTATATTTTAAGACAAAGCAAGTGAACATTTTAGAAAACTAGTGACCTTAGAATAATATGGCTACTGTCTAAGATAAGCACTTTACAAGTTTACATTCAGAATAAAAGATTGAATATTAAACGACTTGTGTGACATCAAATTACGAAAATGCCAAAAAAATATAACGTAATATCAATGTTAATCATTGGCAATGTTCCAAACTCGTATACATATAAGAAGCGTTCGCTTCCTGGTCCATGTCCAACGCCCTCAAGACTTCCTTTTCTATTCGATAGCAAGAAGTGTTGCCCACTCCAATATTTTCCTTAAAATATAGATTTTTTTGGTACAATAATTTATGATACCTGCCTGTTTTAACATTTAAATTTGTTAAAAAAATTACGAACTATGTGATATAATTGCTATGTTATAGACTAGGTTTAAAAATTATTAGCGCAAAATGCACATTTGGGAGTTAAAAAATTCTAACATTTATTTTACCGAGCAATATTATTGTTAGAATATTATTTTTTTCTAATTTCCATGACGTTCTTTTTCAAATTCGCCATCGACGCTGGTAACCCCGCTAAAACAGTTTGGTGCGTCGCGTTCGGTGCAACTTTTCACTGACCTACCACTACGCACTACGCGTTGTTGCAGATCTATATGTTTTTATCTTACGGTTTTACGACAAAAAGATATCGATATATTAGGGTATCACAACTCATATTTAACCAGAAGACAGGAAGGCATTATTTTTTCCGAATATGTTCATGACAAAAGAAAATTTAAATAAGCCTTGTTTTATTAAATCATTGAATTTAAACTCTCTACTTCAGGAATAATAGGATTGGTTATAATACAAAAAATATAATGAACATAAAATACTGTCTATAGTTTACGCGAGTAGTACACATTTAAATAAAACACTTTAACGGTTTAAAACGCGATGTTCATTATTATTAAATAAGTTTAACTAATATAGTTATAACATAACGTATTTAACACAAATAATTTTTAAACCCGTCGTCACTTTGAAAAGAGACATTGAGTAAGAATAATCGTTAGGCACGTGCTGAGTCGATAAAGAATCGATATTTTCTATTACGGAACTACTAAACATTAGTATGAATAGACCGGTTGCTGTTGCACCCGCAAACGCGCAAAAGTTATGCGTAAGTTAGAATAAGCATTTTTCCAGTTTAACTTTTCGGAAGCTTTATTGAACTCTTCGTGGACATGCAGTACTGCCTTTCAAACGAACGGCGTACAATTTATTGACCGAGGTGTCAATGTAACTGGTGACATAGTTTGGATGCAGCGCGCGTGCTAGTAAGCGGAAGTATGATGCGATTATCGATTCGCTTATGACAACGCGTTGAATGGACAGGATTGTAAGCGGGTAGTGGGGGACGGGGCGGACATGCCAATATAGGTAGTGATGTGTGATCTCCAGCGTATTTAAATAATTTACAAATATTATGAGTAAAATCACTTTAGAACTGATGAGATGTACGGTATTTTAAGTGACTCTTGGTCTAGTTAAATAATTTATTATGTCGTTCTATGTAATGCTTGTGTTAATATGTATTGAGTAATATTATTTAAAGTTGATAAACTGCTTTTGTAGAATTAATTATTTAAAACTCCTCTAAGAATAAATAGTAAAGTGGACGTTCGATGGCGTATCGATACTCGATAGAATCGCCGGCGGCACGTGCCTATATCGAAGTTGGAAGCGCGTCCCTCGTCAGTGCGCCGCTAACAGCGGGCTGCGCCGTTCGTGTTACCGCAGCCCGCATCGTTGTCTGATATCGTGTGTTGTGCAAATGATTTTGTTTTTATGGCGCTGATATTACTTCATGTGTTGTCGCTGGGTGTGATCGCGGCCGCCGTCGACGGTGCGTTGTGTATTATTGTTATTGCGTAGATAGCACGTGGTGTCCGCCGCCTGGGCGACTGTTTACGCCGTGCACGCATGCGCCCGGCTCGTTTGCGTCTTCAGGTCAAACACCGGCTCGAAGCCTTTAGCTTCCAATAGTAAAGTGGCCTTCCAAGTAAGTCTAGATTAAGGAGGTGCCGCCGCAGCCGACCGCTGCCCCGCGACCAGCTCGGACGGTCTAACAGGATTCCGTTCAGAAAACGACGTACGTTCACACAGAATCGAACGTATAGGTACTAAATTAAAATAAAACGCAATCAAAACATGAATTAAGGTGTCCTTGAATCGGCCGCGGCTCAAAAGCGACGGCGTCGGCCGCTCGTCGTGAATACTATAAAACATGTATAAATATATAGCGACGTAGGTATAGGGCACATGTTTTTCCGTTTGTGGAGCTCGACGTGGAAAAAACTTGAGTAAAAACGTTCCCAGGCTATTACGCAATTTGTAACGGTGAGGATATGCATTTTTACATCAATTTATGTTTCTAATACCCCAAACTAATTGGTAATTCAACGAACGATTCTGTCTTTAGTAAAATATTGTCCGAATTGTTTAAGTTTTATTGCGTTGTAAATTGGATCCTTATATGTCTATACTGTAGATCTAATTAGCCCAAGGTAAGCACGTTTCATTGACATAAGTTAACTGTTACGTAGTTTTAAATATCACATATATATTAAGAAAACTATTTGGAACTATGAATATATGGATAGGTCCATATAATCTAACCTAGAAATGCATTGGTTTCCTAGATTTGCTTAGGACAGCTCGTATTGGTCAACGAGGACGCCATATTGCTCTGCTTAGCATTTCGAATATCCACTGACCTATACCAAAATATGGGAAGTTGAATGCTAATAATAAATATTATGACGACACGAAGCGAATTAATCAAATCCTGACGTCGGGCGGACACATAGGTACCAGTAATATATCAATACATATTTTCGAGACGTAACTAATTAACTAATTCTATTCTCTATTTTCTAGTTTTACAATTCTAATAGGATTTATAGAATAGAATAGAATAGAAATACGTTTATTCAGAAAACAACATAAATTTACAACAATATACATTCTAATATTACAAACATACTATAGGATTATAATGTTTATAATTATATATATAATGTTTTTTGGATGGATTTAACTGTATAACTTACTTATAGCTTTATATTTATTACGCAATAGTTGTATGTTTCTGACTAGATTTTAAAGAAGACATTCCAAGACCAAATAGACTGACATTATGGCCTAATGTTCCGATTTTAATACAATATCAATTTTTTATAAGGAGTGAGTATCGATTCATCCGAATTGTGAGGGTTTTCTATGATTACATGTAATAATATGGTTAGATATCGTTATATAGAATGTTTCATAGAGTTTGCACTCCAAATTGTGTATACGATACATAATTGTGTATCGGCGAAATATCTCATTACTCAAAATTGTGTTTGTCATTCCGCCAGTCCCAACAATAATCCCTATTTGCCTTCATATATCATTTTGTCCCGAAATTATAGGGGAATTGGACCTATCCCACCCCATGATCCCATTACTGATGTGCGGGCAACCCGCCAACATAATACTTACGAAATACTTTCAAGAAAATACCCTCAAACACTGTCTATTCAAATGATATCGACTTATATAGCCGTCTCTTCGTGTGACGATCTCTGCCAGAAATAATTTGCAGACTCATTACGCTCATAAATAACGTGTAATATCCGAAGATAGTATAATTTATGACGATATGTATGTAGATCGACAGATCTAGTCTTATAGATGACATTTTTGTTTGTTGAAGGAAAGCATTATCTCGCTAACAACGAGTGTGGAACTTCTTTCCCGAAATTATATTTGTATTACAGTTGCAAAAATATGTCCGCCTCGTACATTTTAAAGTAATGGAATAAATAAATTGTACTTTAAGAGATCAAAGTGTTTCAAAGCATGAACGTGGGAAGGAATCTACGCCCCGCCTACGTGCTAACACGTATTTCGTGCCTTCATTCATAAATGATTGATTTTCTTAGAAATATAAGCTTAAACGTACATCATAATAGTACGACGTCAACTGGAACCACTTCAATAGACACGACGAATGAATTTGGGACGAAATTCTGTTTTTCTCGTGTCGCGTTATTTATGAGCATCGTTACATAAAT